CATTTCTGAGTCAACTCAACTTGTGTCCTCCTTACTCTGTAAATATGACCATGATTTCCTTTGGAAAAACATGGAAGACACTCCCTCTAGGTAGAAAATCTTGAGCCAAAAACACACCCCAGTTAACATCAAATCCAGTGATTAATGAGTAACCTCCTTGGACACGGTCACTGATGGACTGATGTGAACCGTTGCTAAGAAAAATCCATAGAGACCGGAGGTGTTCTGTGGTTTACAGAGAGATTCGTGCATGCCTGAGCATATTCTCTCATGTAGAAATAGCAGCTGAGGGTCAACATGAATGTTTACGGAGCAGGTTATCGACTCGTACCATGCTTCAGACAACACCAAATAAACTGAAATTGAGTTCTCAGAAATCATTTCAGTCAACAAATTAACAGCCAATGATTGTTCATCCATTTAGTCAGCAAATATGGCTTCTCAGACTGAGGTTACACTGATTGAAAAGATAGTCGTTGGTGGGCCAGAATTGGGGTAGGATAAATTCTAGACGTCTAAGTCGTGTTTTGTTTATTTCCCTCGTCATTGTTTGTTTTGGTCATATGGTTGAAGATCGAGTGTCAGTTTGTTGTAGTAATCTGGATTGAGTTGGTGGCGTGTGACTCACAGCAGGCAACTGATTTGGCCCAGTAATGTTCTCCAAACTTGGCAGCTTAGGAGGTCTGACTCCTTCCTCCAGACAAGTTGAATGTGCGTATGACTAAGTATATGTGTTCTCTGAGACAACATAACACAATTTAGTGTCTTTTCCGCCCCTTGGAAGTATTTTTAGTAGGGATGCAAAGATACCACTTTTTCAAAACCGATCCGATACCAAAATTCTGCAGTTTTAATCAACTAGAATTTCTAGAACTCTGTGTGTTGAACTGATGATCACACTTTTATGTGTTAAACACAATCTACTTAATACAGACAACTTCATTATAAAGAAAAACAACAAATTGCCTAGGGCTTCAGCCATTCTTCCGCTCTCTTCCCTAAACTGAAATGTGCTAGTGGGCTGTACTTTCCACACAATTGACATCAGGTCCAAGTATGTTATTCGTGTATTGCAGTTTGGCTGGTGGTTATGTTGCCCGCATACCGCCTCCCATGGCCAAAACTAGTATTATGACACCTGTTGGGCCATGGCTAGTAATTTAGCATGCTAATTCATTCAGGTTGACATCTCTGCAGAACTTGTCATTGTTTAATGACCTCATCGCCCTTATTTTTTCTCATTCTTTTGATGGTTGTAGCTCATTTTTTAATATTTTTACCTCAATTCTTACACATGGCACCTTTAACAATAACAGTCTAAGCACAATATCGGATTTAGATCTGTGCTAATTTTGGCTGAACCAAATGGTCGAAGTTCGCAACACTGCTCACTATGAGGTTTCTCTGAATCCACACTCAGAACTGAATTCCTTTCAGCCAGCAAGCCTATTTATAGGCTGAAGCTCCACCTACAGGGCATACCAACAACAGGAGCAAACTAAAAAGTTTGTAAAAATCGAATTAAATAATATAAACACCCAACACAACACTTAAACCTTGCAAACAGCTAATACAACAACCATTGACAGAGAAAGAGTTTAACAACAAATCAAATGGCAAAAACTGTTTCTAAATTCTCCCCCCTCTGACATCACACCAAAAAGGTAGCTTCCACCGGAAGTAACATGGCTGTTGCTTTAAAAAGCAGTTTAACCTAGATTTTGGTTTTCGTTGTATGAACCTGGAAGTTTAACTGCAATAAGATTTGTGGGAAAAATAAAGGTAATTATCATATGGAGTGTTCTGGAATTCTGTTCTTTTAAAACAATAATGACAAACTTTAAGAAAAACTAAAAAAAAAAATGTTGAAAACTATAACAAAACCGCTGTAACAAACTTGTTTAGACTGAACAAAACAAAAACTCTATAATACCAAGTTTAGTCAACAGATGGTAGAAAAAACGAAACACAGACATGCAGTCTGAGTCAGATCTGAATGTCTGTGTTTTGTTTTGTCTACCATCTTATATATATATTCTGTTCTATTACAAGAATGTGATCCTTTCTTTCCAGTCACCCAGGATAGAAAATGCTTCATTTTAGTGTTTAGTACTAATGGAAATGCCAGCACACCCAGTTATTACTCATTACAGTTGCTTATACCATGGTCTGGGTGAATACTCGATTCTGATTGGCTGCAGGGTGTCCGTTAAAAAGTGATAGAGGACACCTAGTAAAGTAGTTCTGGTGAAACTGCCTGTTTACCATTCGAAATTAGTAAATAAATGCGCTGCCCACAACAGCTGTGAGTAACCATAGCAACAGGCAGTCACATGCTCTATCATCTAACGTTAGATATTATAGCCTAATACAACAATGAGCGACTTCGTGCTATTTCTTTTAACATTTATGGAGAATATGGCAACTTTGACGACTGGTATGCTGCTGAAGAAAGAAAAAATGTAAATAAAACGGAGAAAATTACACCGCTGCTGCTCTGCTCCATTGAACTCTGTAACGACATAACTTGCGACCATAGTTGGATAACGATGCTTTCGGGAAACGCACCCCTGAATGAGACCCTGCGGGAGTTTTACGCAGCTGTCCATACAACCAAGGCAGGAGAAGGCTGAACGTTACAGCGTTTCAAGCCTAAGGAGACTGAGGCAAATGACCCTCTCTTTGATCTGATTAATTTATTGCCCTCTATAACGTTAAGCGCAAATCGCTGGAGATCAGAGCTAATTGTTTTTTTTATTGTTGTTTGATTAATTGTTTTATGAGTAATAAAAAAAAAACTATGCCTACCTTTGTGTTTCATGAAAAAAAAAATGCATTTGTGAACCTGAAGGTATACGAGCTAAGCGGACTATATATCTCCGGTTGCTAAATAAACAGTCAGGCAGGCAAGGCAAGTTATTATTTGTAAAAACTAGATTTAGCCTAATTAAAATATAAACTAATGTTTTATTTGGCAAGTGACCATGGTATAAGCGGGTTAATGCCCTCCGAGGTGTCCATTGTCAGGTTTTAATGGACTTCGGCGGAGGCAACCGTCCTCCGCTGCGCGTCGGCCGGTTTACGCCTCGCCGTCGTCCATTAAAACCTGACAATGGACACCTCGTCGGGCATTAACCCTTACATGGCTGTCTGGACACGCCCACTTTTTCTAGCCTGTTGCATTTTAAATTCTGTCTCCGTAAGTGAGAAAATGCCAGCCATATAACATGAGCTCTTTATCTTGTTTAGTCTTTTAGTACATTAGAACAAACATCATTATTGATCCAATCTTAAAGCTTCAGTCCGTAGCTTTTTTGGGGGTTAAAAATGATCCAAAATACATATTTAAGAAAGTACATAACCAGCCAGTGTTCAGAACTCTCTGAGATTTTGAGTTCATCCACGCTCTGCCAGTTCGAGGGTGTTGAATTACAACTCGCCTAAAATTGATAATTTCGCAAATGACTGCAATTGCAGATTTTGAACAGAGATGGCGACAAAGAGGAAAAACTGTGGACTGCAGCTTTAAATGAAAAAAAAAAACACCTTAAGCAAGAGTGAAAATTAGGACACATAAGATACAATGTGCCCTTTTTTAAAAACAAACAAATATGTTAATACATTACATACCTGCATTATTTTATAAGCATTGATGTAGTGGTGAGGTTACTATTAGAGTGATTTAATAGGATTTTAACTGAATGCAATGGGTTTAGCATGTGCTGCAACTACAGTTGCTAAGCGACAGAAGTAATTGATTCTTCTTTTTTTGTGGTTGCTTTTTAAGTATGGAGATGGACAAAAAAAACAATTTTCCATCAGAAAATAGATTAACAATGTAAACCTAAACCAATCCTTTAGTTAGCTAGTGTTTGATGAAAAAACAAATCACCATTGTAATGGCAGCTTTTGATTAAACCTTTTGAAATTGGTTAGTCAGAATCCCTCAATCACTTAAAGCTTCATTCAGAGGAGTGACTGTGACAGCCCGCAGCATATATTGCATACATAATCACCCCAGTGGGTGCAGACTGAGACTTTGTTTGACTTTTCTCTTCTGGAAATCACTTAATTGGAACATTGCGTGATGTAAAATCTCTCTCCTATAACCAATCAATGTTTGAGTTGGCAACAATTTTTATTTTGAAAAAAAAATCCAGTAACAAAAAAATTCTGATTTGTTACTTGAAAATAAAATAAACATTTAAATTAAATAAAATACAATTTAAAAAAAGAAGAAAATTCTATTGAGAAAAAAATACTATAATTTTTTTTACAAACATTTAAATCATACAAATTAAAAATATATTAAATGGAAAATATTAATAAAAACTATATGCAATTATCTCATTGATGCTAAAATAACGACTTTCAACTTTATTAAACATTTAAAATGACTTTTCTTGAGAATGTTTGTTTGGTCACTTGCTGGTGAAAAAAAATGCAATGCAGCCATTTCTCTGTTTGATGCAGTGTCTTTTCAAAACTTAGTTCAAGTCAGATCTGAAGAAATCCTTTTTTAGGCTTTTTTTTTTCCCCTTAAAATAAATATCTTAACTATTTAATATTTAATTAATTATTCTGACTGTTTGAGTTAGGACTCTTCTTGTATTAAAATTAACAGTGTTAACATTAATAGTTTTAATTGTATTGAGGAAATAATATCACAATATTTATGGTATTGTCGCCCAGCCCTAATTTTATTTACTTAGCATAGATTTCTTTTTATTGAAATTATACTCTAAATTAGAAACTAAAACTGCCAGTAGGTGGCGGTAAATGTTGAACTGATTAAGTCATTCATTCAAACAGCTGATTGATTCAGGAATTAAGTACATGTCTCTCTTTGTGAATGGACCATTGAATCATTCATTGCCTAACCTGATAGATTCAGTCAAAACTTGTGTCTCTAATCTGTCAAGGACACTTCCTGTACTGTTTAATAAGCTGACTATCTAATTGTATCTTAACCTGGAGTCTTTCTCTCTCTTCTCAATCAGAATTGCTGTGTTATTGTGAGCGATGTGTGAATCGGACATGTAACACAACCGGCCTGTGTTATGCGGTCATCACAAAGTCTGCCGGACAGATCGTAATACAGGATGGTCAGTGCATTCATCAAGATCTACTTTACCCACCGGACAGGCCTTTCCAGTGCGCCTCTTCCAACAACGGCCAGCATCCGTACTGCTGCGACACTAACATGTGCAACAAGAACCCAAAAGTGAACCCAGGTAAGAGAATAATGTGATCATGATGACCTTTGAGTGGGCTTTCAAGAGTTTGTGACTCTATAACGTCAATATGTCATAAAAGTGTCACAATAAGGTCATATTTGGATTGGGGTTATTTTGTCCTGCACAAAATAATAATTTTTAAATGATTTTTAAATGCTGCTTCTTTCAGAGTTGCCAGATACTGAACCCCCGTCTCTGAGTCCTGTAGCCTTGGCTGCAGTGATTGCCGTCCCCATCTGCGTGCTGAGCTTCATTCTGGTGCTTCTCTTCTACATGTGCCATAATCGCTCCATCAACCACCATCGTGTGCCAAGTGAGGAAGACCCCACTATGAACCACCCATTCCTCGCTAACGGCACCACGCTAAAGGACCTCATTTATGACATGACCACTTCTGGATCAGGCTCAGGTATTTTACATACTATTATTATCTCATTATTGTTTGCCTTTCTACTTTCTAAGAATCCAGCTGTAACGGTTTTTTTTTAATGCCACTTAATATGCAAAGATTCCATTAAATTCATTACATTCCCCTTCATTTTTATGTATTTACAGGATGTTTTTCCTGTATTGCCCTTTATAAGCCCCAAAGTACACTCAAGCCAATGTAATTTCCCTAACTTTGGTTTCAAAGCCCCTTGGGAGCAATTGAGGAAGTCTAAATTGACAGTTTAATGCTTTCCCTGAGTTCTGTGCCTCATGCCAAGCTGGTAGGCTTGTAGGCTTTATCTTTAGTCTAGCATTTTAGTCCAGAAGCTGGACTAGCTGGTTTGTTGGTAGTGTCTCAGATAGAATATTTGTTTTTGGCACCTGGATGACTACATACAATGTTTGATAGGAAATCATGACAGTCTTCTTCAAGGGTTCAAGGTTTGACTGGTTTGCATGGCTCTATTATCACTTGCTGGCAGATGCTGCAACTACACTGTTTTGAGGGCAAAGATCATCTTTCTCCATTGATATTAGATGTTGTTGCGTTGTGTATTCTTACAAAATATATATTTTTAATAATTTGTACAAATACATTCGCTTGTATTTGACATTTTTCCCTAACTGCTTTTTCTTGTCTTCTATAGGTTTACCACTGCTAGTGCAAAGGACCATCGCCAGAACCATCATTCTCCAGGAGAGCATAGGGAAGGGGCGATTTGGAGAGGTGTGGAGGGGCCGCTGGCGTGGAGAAGAGGTGGCAGTGAAGATCTTCTCCTCCAGAGAGGAGCGCTCTTGGTTCCGTGAGGCGGAGATTTACCAGACTGTCATGCTTCGTCATGAGAACATCCTGGGCTTTATTGCTGCGGACAACAAAGGTTAGACAACACTGAAAGCACTTAGGCTACGTTCACACTGCAGGCTGAAACGACCTAATTCCGATTTTTTTGCCCCTATGCGACCTGTATCTGATTTTTTCATGACAGTCTGAACGACACAGATCCGATCTTTTCAAATGCGACCCAGGCCACTTGGGTATGTGGTCTAAATCCGATATGAATCCGATCTTTTGAAATGCGACTTCAATCTGAACGGCCAGGTCACATATATATGACCCGCACGTCATTGCACGCACCTGTAGCTAGCCAATACACGCTAACTCCAACGCGTTTCTGCACGGTTATTGGCCGCTGCAGACGTGTCTCTTCTTCAGAGTTGTGCCTGAACGCGTTCAAATACTGTATTACTGCCTGATGAACATTAACTGTGAACACGTTCATTCTGGTGTCTGTGAACGTGCGCTCTCTGTCAGTTTAACTTCGTACAGTAGGGTGCCAGATTGATTTCTATAGAGCCTTCCAGGCGAAAACCTGGCTAAAACACATGTATACATGCCTTAAAATGCAGCGAAAAAACACCCAATCTGGCAACACCAGCCACCAGTGTCGCACCGCGGCCGCCGGTGACAAAGAAAGGAGCGCCGAGGACGCACGCGCACTATCAATTAAACGGGTTTTATGACGAGGTCGGTGAGGATCAGAAAAATCTTACATTTATGTGCAAACTTTGCCCGTCGATAAAATAATTGTTGTCTGTGTTATGGGCTGTGGCAATAATAATAATAATAAAACAAAAGCTCGCAACAATATGGAAAAAAAACTATTCTGCAAACAACAAGTGACGTCGTTGACCATTGATTACTCTTCTGCGCATGCGGGTCACTTCTGGGTCATTTCACGTTCACACAGGAGATCACAAAAGGTCGCATTTAATTGGAAATGTGAACGGCCTTGCAAAAAAAATCTAATTTTTTCAAAAAATCGGAATTGAGCATTAAGCCCTGCAGTGTGAACGTAGCCTTAGTTGTATTGTACTGTACATTATTTGCTCTCTACCATAAGTGTGCTTAGGAAGGTAGTACTTCACATTTCTGTTTGTGATGTTATTGGTCAATTCTCTTATATTTACAGTGTTTTACAGTTTACAGGGATCTTAAAGGATATCAGGGAATTTTAAAAGTTTGATTTCCAGGCCGAAAAAGTCGTGCAAGGAAATATATTCGAATCCCAAAAAAGTGGAAAAATTTCTGTACCAAATAGAAGTTATTTTTCCCCAATTATTATTATTATTTTAGGTTATTTTTTAAGGAATGTTTTTATCAACTAGATATTACTCTTTGTGAATTTCAATGTAGAGTAAAACATGAATTTCTATGTAGATTAAGCTTGTCCTGTAGATGGTCTACTTGCTCGCTTTATCCCTGCACACGAGCAGATCTGTTTGTTCTCTAGAGACGCGTTCGGTTTTTACGCTTCCGCTTGCAAATTCTGCCATGTAAATAGAGATCCGCCATGGCGCGAGCGAAACTGGCTTTTAAAGGGAATGGGAGATGAGACTCTGACTGGTTATTTCCACGTTATGCTCAAAACACACCCATTACTCATTAATAGATTAGGGACAACCCTTTTAGACCATGTGCTGGGCATGCCAACCATTTTTTCTGTCATTAAACTAGCAAAAGTTTGTTAATTGTATTTAATTGATTGACCACAGTCACTGCACTAATTATATAATTTACATGTATCAGACATCAGCTGTTCTATTATGTAGATTTTGTGATCTCAAACCACTCAACCAACATTCAGCTAAAGTTATGAAGTGTTTTGAGCTGGCAGATATTAATGTATTTGGAAGTTTAAAGCATTGAGAGGTTCTGTTCTCTCTATTCATCTCAGATAACGGCACATGGACTCAGCTGTGGCTGGTTTCTGATTACCATGAGCACGGCTCCTTGTTTGACTACCTGAACAGGTACACGGTCACAGTGGAGGGCATGATCAAGCTGTCTCTCTCCGCTGCCAGCGGTCTAGCTCATCTACATATGGAGATTGTGGGCACTCAGGGTGAGTCACAATACAGAAGTCACTATTTTTTTGTCCTTTCTTAAGCACAGCCATTTTTACATGAACATGCAAACATTTTTATATAAATATGCTGCTTTAGGCTGTCCACTTTGTTTCCTTGAATCAAATTTGTGATATTTTATATTCAGTAATATACTGTACTGTGACAGCACAGGAACAAAAACAAAGTGAATGACTGAGGGTGTATTCACACTTGTAGTTTGGTTCTTTTGGTCTGGACCAAAAAAGAAAATGAAACATTTTGTCTTTGTTAGCTTAGTGTTCACACTGTCATTTTTATTACCAAACCTTAAGATACAAAAAACAACAACAGATATTTAAGATAAAAACAGCTTTCATTCGGTATGTGTATAACAATGCTGTGTGCTAGGATCAATATATTGGTAGTTTTACCTGCTGAGATCTCATGAAGAGCTTATAAAATGTGTCAAGGAGTCAAAACCGGGCTTAACAAAGTGGCCGCACCAGAGTTTTAATCGAACCAAACCTGCAAAGTGTGAACACACCCTTAATGTCCTGCCGTTTAAGAAAAATACTTAATTGAATGGAAGAGATATGATGAAGTGTTAGACATTTTCCTTTATTAATCAGAGACGTACTGATTTGAAGTATGTTTCATGCTTTACTGTGTCTTGTCCAATCCTCAGGTAAGCCTGCAATTGCCCATCGTGATCTGAAATCTAAAAACATCTTAGTGAAGAAGAATGGTACCTGCTGCATCGCTGACCTTGGATTGGCTGTGCGCCACGACTCGGCCACAGACACCATTGACATTGCACCCAACCACAGAGTGGGCACTAAAAGGTCAGTAATTCATCACTCAGAGCCTGCACGATTCACAGTGACCTATGACTTTATCCACAGTGTTTGCATGAGCTGAGGGCTTTGTGTGCCTGTGAAATATTAGTGTTGTGAAACAGTCAATAATTCAAGCTTATGCAAGAGTGAAATGTGAGTGGTTTCTTAAGATAGCACTTAAATGTACCCATCTACAAGGGCTTCTGTCTGTGCAGCACAGACAGATGCCCTTGTAGATGTGTACATTTATTTGAAATTGTTTGAAAATGCAAATAATACATTACATATACTTAATTACACATGTTCTATGATAAACATTTTGTCATATAAGAATGAGTAGCTTGAAAAGAAAACATTATTTAAGCAGTATTGCCTAATGTTATATTTTTAGTTATATTAGTATTTTTTGATAATCATAGTAATCCAATTTATTTTGTAATTTTGTAATTATTTCTTGAGGGAAAAAATCAACAAAACTGCATTGCTTTATCATTTGAGACACAACTAGAGATAAAGAAGTGCAGTAAGAGATATTGTGCATGTGTAAATTACCTGCGTCTTTGTCTCACTACTAATAGTGCAACTGCAAGATTAATATCTCATTGCTGAGAAATATAATGTTATAAAGCTAATTTATTGATATAAGTTGCGGGACAGCGTTGACACGTTTTTTTGTGGTCTTGATGTGTTCCAAAATCCAAACATTCAGTGTAAGAGTAAAAATATTACATAACATTGTATTTATAAGTATATAAGTTTATTTGATTCACAGCTTATATAGTGTTTTGACCTTGACAACCCAACTGCTTTTTTACTGCAAACTTGTGACTAGTTAACTTTCTAAAGAAGGAGTCCTGTGAAGAACTTTCATTTTCACCCACAGGACTGCTGCATACTTTTCCGTTTTCGCACCATTCTTTGTAAACCCTAAAAATGGTTGTGCAGATTGTGAAATACTCAGACCGGCACCAACAATGCCACGCTCAAAATTGCTTAAATCACCTTTCTTTCCCATTCTGACATTCAATTTGGAGTTCAAGAGATTGTCTTGACCAGGACCACACACCTAATTGCATTGAAGCAACTGCCATGTGATTGGTTGTTCAGATAATTGCATTAATGAGAAATTGAACAGGTGTTCCTAATAATCCTTTAGGTGAGTGTATGCCACAGTAGGGAAGAAACAGCTAATGCAACTTACATTTCATGCCATCTTTAAACATTTCTTAAAAATGTTATTGAAGTTTTTTAATACTATATGAAACCTTACTTCTAACCATATTTCTAAGAATTCAGCATTGTTCTAAATACAAATTTAAATATATATATATATATATATATATATATATATATATTTTTTTTTTTTTCCTCCATTAAAAGGACCCTTATTTGTTGTTGACCCATCATTACTCGATGCTAAACTCAGGCTTCTTTTGACATACTCTGTTGGGAGTGGGACCTCACTCCTCAAGCACCCTCACAGTTCTGAAGGCTTGAGTTGAGTCAGAGGACACTCAGAGGGTGAGATGTGTGTTGTGAAGGACAATGCTGCAGGGACACCACTCGCCCTGTTGTCATCACAGGAGTGTGTCACATCTAATATACAGCAAGAGGCTCTCAGCGGTGCACCCATTCGCTTCTGTGCCCCCTGGACACCATTTGCACACACACTTCCCTAGACTACTCCCAGGTGAAACAGGCATTGACACCCACATGCTGAGACTCAAGTATTGCAGTATGCAGTATACCTTTTCCTGCTGTGACCATAACTCAATGTGACTTTTGAATGTCAAAGTGCTTCCTCACAGCCTTCTATCCACCTTGCATTCACTTCAGTGAGGTTGTCTAGCTTGGTCTTCTCTGTTTCTAAAGGAAAACCCTGTTTTAGGCCACTATGCAACCCACTATACCATCTTGAACTCGACAGAGCAATCCTACCAGCAACTGTTGCTGTCTGCCATATTATTGGTATTAGGGGTTTATATTGAATTTTGCATAAATGACTAAAAAAATAGTCAAATTTGTTGTGGATTTTCTCCAAAAAAAATGTTGGTGATATTTCCAGCATTGATTATTGGTGGGTTTTCACTGAAAATCAACATTGTTGGTGTTTAGGGCCCAAGCACCGATGGTGTGATCACGCTCTTGGAATAATATTAATATACTGTACATATGATATTATTATAATATTACCACCCACGGCAGCATCATTTGGTTTACAACAGTGTAGGGGTGTCCCCGACTAAGGATTTTCACAGTCTTGCCTATAGTCGACTAATAGTCGAATCATGTGTAGGGAGTGGGTCTTTAACATTTTAATGCTGTGAAGTACGTAACATCACACAAAGATATAGAAGAAAATGTATAAAAACATTTCGGATCAGTAAAACTAAGAAATAACATAAATAACTGCAGAAAGGCCACACTGCAGACAGGATTTGCATTTCACATGCAAATCAAATAAATCGGCTAAACTGCCTGTGCAAGCAGGCTCTAAGTATAGCGTAACATCGATGTACCTAAAAAATAAACCATTATTTACAGAATTAAATTACAACAGAATATATTTCAGAATATATTTATTTTTGTTAAAATCCTATAGGGACTGATGTATAGCACCATAAGTGCCTATATTTGCTCAAAGCTAAACTACTGTTAATAACCTATTGTTAATTAACTTGCATATTTGGATATGTTGGGAACATTTCTGCTCACACTAATAATATTCTCTCGTAATCGCTTTCAAAGAGTGTCTATTCAATAGTGACTGATTACCAGTTTCCAACAGCTTTTAATCCTGTTGAATCCTGTAATTTAACAGTTTATTAAAGAAATACAGCAGGTAAAAATACTTGGTGGCAGTGGCATGCTTCATTCCAGACCAACTTTGGCTACTTCAGCACATTTTACTGTAAATATTGCTCTTGAAAAAGTCCCATTCATTCCTTTGAATAATGTTACGCTGAGGGACGTCTGTTGACATATCATGTTCACAGGTATATGGCCCCTGAGGTGCTGGATGACTCCATTAACATGAAGCACTTTGAGTCTTTTAAAAGAGCAGACATCTATGCCTTGGGTCTGGTGTTCTGGGAGATTGCTCGCAGGTGTTCAATTGGAGGTAGGACACTATAAGATTTATTTTCTATCCTTCCGTTGCATGATAATAATAGCATTGTTATGGGTATAAATATATATAGTAATTTAGTATACAGTCATTTTTTTTTTCATAGTTCTTAAATCTGTATGACCAAAAATGACGTATTTTAAGTCTATTTTGCTGCTATGTGATGCCGACCCCAGAGGGTTAACTACTATGTACTAACATTTAAATTAATTATTTGAAACAATGCACTTTTTGTGTACATGCATATTTTTACATTGTACTTATATTTAAAAAAACATACCTGCATGTAATTGCACCTGTAATTCATTTCTGTAATTGCACTGTTGACCCTTCCCTTACACCTTAACCCTCTCTTAAACCTCCCCTTTGATGCAAGTACATAGTAGTTAAAGACGCCTAATATATATTGTAACGTATTATAATTAATTCCAAACTTTTGGAGCCCACTTACAATATTCTGCATACAATAATCTTAGAAATAATAACCTCTTATGGTAACCGGTCATTAAATGTGTGCTCTTGTGGGCTAAATTCTCCACTCAGGCATCCATGAGGACTACCAGTTGCCCTATTATGACCTTGTACCCTCTGATCCATCAGTAGAGGATATGAAGCGTGTCGTTTGTGACCAAAAGCTTCGTGCCAACATCCCTAACAGGTGGCAGAGCTGCGAGGTGAGCATTTCTTCAGGTTTTTTCGGGGTTTTTTTGTAGATGATGCATTCATCCAAAAGTGACCATTTTAACCTTCTTGATCTCTGTTAGATTGCTTTTTTTCATCTTTCATTTCCTCAATCATTTTCAGCCTAAGTGGAGGCGCCACTCTTTCCTCACTCTATCTTGATGTGCATTTTACTGCTGTGAAAGGGAAAATTCAATTGCTTTCAATTTGCAGTCCTAAAAAGCCTCTAATCTAACTATCCGTCTGCACAGCTATCACAGCTTGCCGATGTAAAAGACACATTTGATTACTGTGCTGCCCAATATTAAAATGCTACTCTATGATTTTCACACTTTGTAAATGGTTGTTTGTGGGAACGCAGTTGCAGAGAGCAAGCTTATTAGATCAGGCCTGAACTGACATGTTGGATCAAATACTGTGACCCATGCTGAGAAAGTGTCCGAACACTGGTTTTGGTTGAAGATCTGATGACATTCAATCACACCATCACGGACTACCAAAGTGGAAATATTGGTTTCATTTAGCCAAATATGTTTGAACCAGAAACTGATTAGAAGAAGAAGTTATACAGCCTCATCTACAAGTCAATGTATCAGAATGATGATGAGTTTTATGTATCGCTCTCTACAGCGGTAAACATAGCGGTAATTGACATGATTAGCATTTGGCTTGACTATATGTTATCAAACATCTAATATGTTGCTAATGTTAAACAAACGATGTTCCCGTTCGCCATCTCAGAGTCAGACAGCTGCTTTCTAAAAATCAGCATCCTTTGAAACTATCCTTTGAACATAGTAAGTGGAGAAAAGCCCTGCCCCCCATGACACCGTAACCTTCAATTCTGAACAAACCCAAAGAACCTGCACATCTCACTCTTTCTCAGTGTGTCGGCAGGGTCTTAAAAAGTATTCAAAGTTCATAAATCAATATTGAGAAAAATGAAGGCCTTTAAAAAGTAATAGTCTTAAATGACATTTCCAAGGTGTTACATTTTCTATCATCTTTTCTTTATGTATATTTGTCTAAAGTATAGAGTTTGCCTGAATTTAAACATTGCATTGCATTGGCCGTGAGACGCACGCATAGGGAAGCGATTCAATAAAGAGCTGTCTAGACTGTGATGTGTAATGAAAAGGACAAGAGAAGGCCACAGCAGTTGAGACGCTTCATGCTCTCTGCTTTAAGGCCCTACAATGAAAACGCATCAAACCCAGTGGTTGGTAAATGGCGAGTTTTCAGAAGCAGCTAAATGCTATGCATTAAGAAAGACATGAAATAATTCAAAGTCATGAATGTCAAACTCAGTTCCTGGAGGGCCACAACCCTACAGAGTTTAATTCCAACACTGCTTCAACACACACACACATGCAGTTTTTAAATAAGCCTGAAGGACTTGATTAGCTGATCAGGTGTGTTTAATTAGGGTTTAAGCTAAACTCAGAGTTGTGGCCCTCCAGGAATTGAGTTTGACACCCCTAGGCCATGTAAATGACGAGGGAGTCATTCGTTACTTAAAGGGTTAGTTTGGTATTTTACAATTAAAGCCCTGTTTTAAGATCGTTTCTGATGAAATAGAATGGTTAAGATTGAAATTTGGACAAATGCTGCTGTCCCGAGAATTTTAGGTTCCACTAAAAATCTCTTTTCTCTCTTGTCATAAAGTTAGCAAAATGTAAAGTAAATTAACAACTTGGGACGAAGAATGGATTTTATAGAGACTAAATATGCTACACATATGATTTTGGGTTAATCAAAACTCACGTTTGCTCTGAAAGTGTCAATGAATGCCATTAGGAAGAGACTTTCTGGGGCTTGCTGGTGAATTACTAGACGCGAGTCAAATGTTAAAAGCTTTTCACGATGTAGAATTTAATTAATCCCAATTGACACAGTCCAGATACCCTACAGAGAACATTTAAATTTTTTTGTTTAATATTAGTAACTTATATTTATTTTTTATTTCAGCTTTATTTAAATAAATGAATATGATTTTAATAGAATTGGTTTTAGTTGTCAGTAACAACACTTGTCAATATGTACGTTTAATTACACACTCTCAAATCAACAACCAATCAGTAAATGGACTGATGTAAAACTCACAAACCTGAAAAAATTCTGTGAAGGGAGTTTGTTGTAATAGCTTTGAATAACTGAGTCTGATTGAAACTCATGAGCGAGCAAAGTTTTGTGAGACAGACCCAGTAAAAACAACCAGTATCACGTCTTCATGTGCAGGAACTCCAACAAGATCATATCGGACTCATATGGACGTCCACAAAGATTTCCAGACTGTAACCAATGGCAAATAGAGCTTTTCAGGGAACATACTTTTGTTTTTACCAGAGTTGTATGCGAGAAAGTGAAGATGCATAGCAATTATATCTGTGATAGAAGTATCTATGTCCTCCTGCCCGCAGGCCCTGCGTGTGATGGCAAAGATCATGAGGGAATGCTGGTACGCCAACGGTGGGGCTCGTCTCACTGCGCTGCGCGTGAAGAAGTCGCTATCCCAGCTGAGTCAACAAGAGGGCATCAAGATATAGAGCAACAAATCATCATCTTTACACTGCCTATCCACTCCCTCCCCTCATCTAGAGGGGTGAGCGAGGGTGCTACATCCTCTGTGGAGGCTTACGATAATCAGGGATATCGAGGGACCAGAAGCAATTGGTGTTGTTCCCTGTCGTCCATGAAAAGATATGTCCTCATCATGCAAAACCATTTCAAACCAACTTAACCAGGAGTCAGTCAGTCACCCATGCTTCAACTGGTGAGTCACCAAACTAACAACAGGCAGCCACTCGGTGTCATTGATGTGCTTTGCTGGACTTGAGCCTTTATGGACTTAGTTCTGTATATAGCCTGTTGTCTAAAGATGTACATATTTGTTTCTGGACTTGCTTGTGTTTATTTGTATGCTCAAATATTGACAGGTATGCGTACACAGAGCCACACACTACATATATATGTAGTCCGTGCTTTGTTTTTTTTTTGTCCCAGAAAGTGCCACTGCTCTGAATCAGTCGTGTTTATCATATTTGGTAAAAAAAGGGATCTTTGTAGGTATCGAGTATATTTACAGTGGAGGTCAGATTAACCACAAGCACTTGTTTGCAAACAACTCAGCAGTTGAAGGATCATAACATTGACTCAAACGTCTCACCTAAGAGTGGTTTTGTAATGTGACTTCACCGACATACTCGCTTTCCAGACAAAGAGCGAGCGAGGGCAGCATATTCAGCACAATCGCACTGCATATTAGAAGCAGCCTGTGGTGTTGCCTAAAGGGACTAGTTCTTAAAGAATCAGACACAAAACTGGGTCAGTCATTAAAACCATTTGTACAAAGGCCAACCCAGCTACAGCACATTCGTGTTATTGTAAAAAGAATGTGTATGTTGTTTTTTTAATGCCCATTTGAAAAGATGATGGTTTTGTGATGGTCAGAGTATACATTTCTATAGTCCAATTTACTGTTTTCATTCATGCTGCTAGAGGCATTAAGAGAATATTGACACATGTAGCTCAAAAAGATGCAAACCTATCTATTGTATTTTTCTCTGTGCATATAGTCTGTACATGTTCATCGGCTTGAGTTATCCAGTTTTAGTTGTTTTGCTGGAAGCACTGTTTTTACGGAGCCATTTTCATTCAGATCAGTACAAGACACCATTTGGATCGTTTTAAATTGTGTGACCTCACTCATAGTTGAGCAACTGTCATTAGGCTGCTGTGTATCTTGTGGACGTATCGTGTAATTCTGCGTCTGTATTTGATCAAGTTAAGCAATAAGTGCTCCTTTGATTATTATTTTATTTTATAGCTGGAGAGTAAGAGTGCTGAGAGTCAATGAATGTGATCTCAAGAGTCTCTCTCTGTGATCTCAAGTCTAGACATTTTTGAGTTTTCTATCTTTATTTTGAAATTCAAATATAAAGGATCTTTGGGGATGTCCTTCAGTTACGTCACGTGGAAATCTCATATTCTCTGCACCAAAGATACTGAAAGATTAAGATGTGAAGGAAAAATAAATGTCGTGGGTTTGGAAGAACATGAGGGTAAGTATATTAATGGCAATTGTCATTTCTCCATCACTCTCCTGACTCTGGCATTTCCTTAATGAATTAATGAATGCACAAAAGGCTTGGAAATGATGTAGGATACAGCCAGGAACACTTTTGCTGTGTTCTCCAGTGCATGATGCAAATACAAGTGCCTCGATTTTATAAAGATTTGTTTCACAAGCCCCCAAATGTAAAATAACTATTTCCTGGTATATGAAGGTCATCGTACCTCTGTCATACCTCCTTTGTTCATTCCAAGGTCCTTGTTTATGCGCAGACAAATGTTGCTATTCAGTTTCCTCTAACAAAGTCATTCCAGAAGCCTTTTTGTATTGAGTGCCTACTCTACAGTTGGTGTAAATGTAATTAGACATTGAAGCATCTTACAAGATCCAGAAATATAATTTTGAAAAACACTACTGTGCAAAACTGAAACATGATTAATGTCAAAGCATATTACCTCTTTGGACCAATGTGATCATTTACCTCAGTGTATATAAAGGTTTATTCATGTAGATGTGACATTGATTTGTACAAAGTGCTTGCATTGAAAAAAGTCTCTGTTTTATTTGTTTCTCTGGAAGAAATTGTCAGTGCTAGTATTCGAGTTCTCTCCTTAATATTTCAAACACAAATGAGAGGCATTTGAGTCTTATTTGCTTCTTCGGTGTCATATTGTCATTCAGTGTTTGGCTGTATTTGGATGATAATATGAATGCTCAAAGAATTGTAATGGATGTCTCTTTTTCTGTCTGTTAAACTTGTAAATTTGGAATGCATGTTAATAAATAGGTACTTATTTTACCTGAAAAAGAGTTTGGTGTTGTTTGTAATGACAGCTAACACATTGTCTTCTCAATGTAATATGAATGAATGAACATCTCGGTGAACATGTGCAGAATTGTCTTTGATGGATGGCAATTTTGAATTTTGTCACGGTTTTTCTTCTCTGGTTGTTCAGAATCGTGTGAAAAGCATTCATACACTACCACTCTAACCCGATTGCGGTCAATAAGACTTGGACGACTTAATATTAATATGACTTAATATTAATACGACTTAATATTAATACTTTATACTGCAAGGGTGCTTTAAGCTGATCTAAAGTGAAGGTTACAATGTTAAAAATAAATAAGAAATTGCATATTATAAAATATTAAATCTGCAGTCTCTAGATTTTTTGGGGGGGTTAAAAATGATCCAAAATACATAACCAGCCAGTGTTCAAAACTCTCTGCTTGCCTTGGCCTGATTCAAAGCGGTAAGCTTGTAATAATGTTTTTAATTCCAGTGGTACTGCACGGTTTGACATGAGACAGTATGATCAGTGATTGTTAGATTTAATCAGCATGATTTACTGCATTGTCAGAACCAGAAAAAAAAGTAAATGTTACTTGTTCTGATTACATTTTCCAGTGAAAATTATTATGTTGGTCATACTTTCAAAATGAATAATCTGTGATTCTGAATGCCAATATCCACATCGGTGTGGTGACTGACAGCCTCACAGTCTCCTCAAACATTGTGTTCATCCATGCTGTCCCGTGTGGAGGGTGTTGAAGTACAACTCGCGTAAAGTTGATAATTCCGCGAATGACTGCAATTGCAGATTTTGAACAGAGATGGCGACAAAGAGGAAAAACTGCGGACTACAGCTTTAAATAGAAAAAGTTATTTATATTTCACAATATTACTGTATGTTTACTGTTTTAAGCCTGGGTACGCATGAGAAATGTTTTGTATCAGATAAAACATTTGTACATGAGTGGATCTAACAGCTACATTGAAGCACTTGGACCTGATTCCTGTAAAGTGTAGCTGTGGTAACACACAAGAGCAACACCTGAAAAGTAAACTAGACAAAGGGGTTCTCTGGTGCACTGGAAGTCTATCAGCTTATTTGTTTCTTTCACAACATGTCAAAGTCCATCTGCTGCTTCTGCCTCTACACAGCACAACAATCAGGGATGCGGAGAATGTAGGTGCAGAACAAATGTCCCGCGTGTAAAAAAGAAACTGCATATCTGAAAAGCTGACTCAAGAAGAAACTTGACCAACAAAAAAAATATACGCTACACTGTAAACATCTAGTCAAGTTTATTTAATCCCGGTGGACTCTAAATATTTAACTCTGCGAATCTATGATGCTGCCTCATGTTCCACAAACTCAGGATTTGCTTACACTTGTGTCCTGATTGTTGTCTATATACATTTTTTATTTTCCTTTTTGCAAACAAAATGTCAATAAACGAATTAAATGAATTGCAGTGGCAAGCAGGTAAACAAGAATGGGAAAATAAAAAAAATACAAAAAATCCATTTTCTTTCCAAACCTTTCCTTTGTTGTTCCATCTAGGACATTTGTAGTATCATACATTTCACACTCTGTCTGTTCTCAGAGCTCTCTTTATATTGTGAGCTTTGAAAGTCTAGAGGCTGAACACATTCTGGACTGTGGATTCGGTTGTGCTCAAACTTTTATGAAGTATGCATAATAAATAAGTGAGAGGAGATGAAGGTCAAACAAAGTTTGTCCTCACAGGAAACTTGAAGCACATTTCATTCATTCTTTTTCCGTTACTCCCATGCACCTAAAAACAACCTAAATGCTGCTGTACCTTGTAATATGAGAAAAAGAAAAAAAATGTAGAACGGAACTTGATTTGATCCATCAGGAATTGATTGGATGTTTGTGGTTTGCTATTTCTGTGATGTCATGTGTGAGTGACAGGTTGTCCCGCCCTCGCGCCAGTAAACGACATCAATGAAGAGAAGAGACATCGCTGCAAGTTATTTTAATTAAAGATGAGGGCACTTGAATTAAAAGAAAGTATGAGCACAGATAAATCATTTATAATAGATGAGTGATTTTATTATTGGAGATATGTTTCACATTTCAAGGAAAAAAAATGTTGACTAACAAATTCTTTCCAGTGGGCTATTTTATTGAAAACATTCCATTTTAATAATTCAGTGCTTGCCAAACACAAGTTACCTGCATTTTTGAAAAGGTTTTGTTTGTCAACTCTGTTACTTACTGTCAACAGTTATTGGTAACAGTGTTTGTAACAGAATTGACAATTTTAAACTTTTAAAGGGGTGATGAACTGAGAAATCAAATTTTCCTTGAGCTTTTGACATCTAAGAGGTTATCATATTATAAGAATATCCTGTAAGTTTCAGAACTGAAAACGTCCTTGTTAGTCCAATATAAGCTTTTATTGACACCACCAGCCACAGCAAACGATTTGGGAACTATGATGTCAAAAGGTGATGACAACCCGGATCAAATACATAATATTGTGTAGTGCCTGGTTGTAGAAGACAGTCGCTGCATAAGCTTCCTCTGGATTCACTAGTTTTAATGACATTCCACTCCATCGTTCGCTTCATTTCACTGATGATTGTTTTGTAAACAAGACTGGATTTGCAGACAGATTAAGAGTAAAGAACAGTGCTGTGCTGTCTGGATCTGACAGGAATTGTGCAACACACGGACTCTGGGTCGAACATGTGGGCGAATCATTCCGGTTGCCATTTTACAACATTGAACGTTTTCAAAACTGTTTTCCCCACGTACACCGACGAGGTAAGTTGAAAAACTCATTATAATATGCAAACTTATCCACTCACAGCAGTGTGCGTTTACTTCCAAGTCTTCAGTGAGAGATGCCCATAAAACCCGAGCCTTTCTGAGCTGGTCTCAAAGCTAGGGTAGAAAATAGCTTATTAGTTATTCAATTTTATATTTTTGAATGCAAAAACCAAGAGAACGTCATAAGTTCACCTCAGAAAACAATATAATAAAATTTAAAAAGCCACTTCATGACCCCTTTAAGCCAAAAACTCCACTTGCTAACAAATGCTAAGAGCACGTAGCACTGATGAAATCTTGATAAAAAGCCTTCTAAACAAACCACTGTGATCAGTGATAAATTCTGATAAATTCCTTTTGATATTGTGGTAACTGTTGATGTTTTACAAAATAACTCGGTGTAAGAATATTTTCTCAGAGAGAGCACAAATAACTTTTACTGCTTCAGATCTTATCAGTGAGGGGTAGTGTCATCATGTGGCTTACATAGTTGTGGGAGATAATTACATCAATTTAAAGCAAAGTATGGTACAGTAACAGAATTGACTCAAGATATATGGACGATAAAAGTTATTGGACTATTTAATGTTGTAAAATATGAAAATTACTATTCAGGGCTTTTATAAATGAAATGTTACCAAAAGAAAAGTAAAATAAAATATTTTGTTTACACAATGATACATGATGGGCAAAATCACAAGAAAATATGATTTTTAGCAATATAAGACCCTTTTTTCAGAAAATGTTATATATTGTTATGGCCTGTAACATCTTGTGATCCATAATTAGCTAACTAAAATAATTAAAAATATAACCATTTGAAAAAATCAGAAAAAATAATGACTTTGGACACCAAATGTACCTGCAATAATAGAATCACTCAGATACTGCAATATTCCATGAAATAAACTAAGGACAGCAACCCCTGTCCTTGACCTGTCCCCAAACAGACCAAAAGGAACAAATGAGATGGGGTGGTTTCCGTCATTTAGCGGCATTCTCAAGGCTTTTGCACATAATTATTGTTTGCTGTGGAATAAAACATATCAAATAGTGATTAGACTTAAAGTTTCATGAAGACAGATCTGATACTGCTGCCTCCCCTCAGAAGAGACTGCTTCAGGAGATACTGTTTCGTCACAGGAAGGACTTTTAGCATAACTTCAGTAATGTGCTGATTTCTTGAAACTGAATGACATGGCCCTGAATCAATAACTGTCTCAGATCGAATCAAACACGAGCTGCTCAGATGTGACCATACAGAACACAGTGTTCTTTGCCATAGTTTTTTCTTTGTCCTTTTGTTTCAACCTAAATGTCCTCAGATGCATTTTTTGTAAGATTTCCCTGGGGTTCAAAACTGAGCCCACTCAGCTCTGTGGGGCAGTATTTAGGTTACCAGTGTGAGTTCTGTCTCCCTCACCAGTTCATTACGGTGCAGACAGACATGAGGGTTTCCAGTGCCTTGAAAATTCTTATTACGTCCTTTTCCAAACAAGACAAATTTGATGGAATGTTTAATATATCATCGTAACGAGATATAAACTGATGTTGGCGTGTGTTCCTTTACAAAGGTAAGTACTAGTAAAGAGGAAGAAGAAACTGGAGATTACTTTGCAGCGCCACCTTGTGGTGGAAATGAAGGGTTACTAAAGCCTAGTTCACACTACATGATTTTAAAATGTTGGGCTGAACTGTGCAGTTCACATTACATGACTTGCTCTCAGTGAAATCATGAGTGTTCAAGTTGTTTAGCTGTTCACACCACACAACACAACGTGATTGATCCACAACAGGAGGTAACTCACTACACGAGTTAACAACGCACTGCATAGAGATACAACCACGATCGGATGATAAGAGCATATCATTTGTGACTCAATGAGAGCTGTTTCAGTACTATAATACGGTCTAAATCCTGAAAATAATCAACCAAATAACGAGTTGACAACAACACGATTCTATCTGGTCTAGAAACAGTGCTCGAATTGAGTCAAGTCTTATGGGGGGTCCCCAATTTTTTTCCGGGGGGGGGGGGGGGGGGTATTTATACACAATATGCATAAATTTATACAATGTATTAAACCGCTTGATAAAGAATTATATAGGCTATATATATAATTATTCTTTTAAATTACTTACTAAAGTAATACTGGATTTAGAGGGCAGCAGAATTTTCACAAATTTTCAGCATCATTACTCCAGTCTTCAGTGTCACATGATTCGTCAGAACTCATTCTAATAGTAATATGATGATCAACAAACATTTATGTAATACACATTTATTTTATTTTTCAGGATTTTTTTTCAATAGAAAGTTCAAAAGAACAGTTTCTATTTGAAATAGAATCTTTTGTTACATTATAAATTTCTTTAATGTCACTTTTGATCAATTTAATGCGACCATACTGAATAAAAGTATTAATTTATTTCACAACATTTTTAAAAAATACATTCTGACTGCAAGCTTTTAAATGGTAGTGTATAATGCTACAAAAGTTTATATTTCAGATCTAAAGGATCATGACGAAGACTGGAGAATCGATCGTTTTCAGCTTTGATCACAGAAATAAACAATATTTTATTATATTATTATTTTAAACTGTAATAATATTTCATAAAATTACTGTTTTTACTGTATTTTGCATCAAATCAATGCAGGCTTGGTGAGCAGAAGAGACTTTTGAACAGTTGTGTACATCCAACAGAATGATTTATTTACAAATGTTGTTTTTAACCTAAAAACAACTGGATGATTAATTTGAATTATTTGACACTGTGGTAACGATGTTTGTTCCAAAAGACTTGATTAAATAGATGAAACTTGTTTATTAGATATTATATGGTGGGGATTTTTTAACTATTTCAGCACATGCGATTTTTACATAGTTACGTCCAGTAGGTGGCGGAAAGGCACTCAGTAGTTCAGCAACATTATTGCTATTTTAAGAGTGAATCCCGCATAAATGCGTATTTAAATGCGTTTAAATATTAAAGCGACATGGCAACTAGCCAACTTAAAAAAAAATATTGTAGATAATCAATTCACGAAATTTACCGTATCCATTGCATGCATTTAATCAGATTTGTTATTATTATTTTTTACTAAAATAAAAATATATGAGGGACCCCCCTAATTCTATTTTTTACTTCTTATGGGGGGTCCCTAATACCTTATGGGGGGTCCCGGATCCCCCCAGCCCCCCCTCAATTCGAGCACTGTCTAGAAACCATGTTTTGTCACGAAAAACCACGCAATAAAACGAACCAGAAATGACGCGAAACTGCAGAGAAGAACACAACACGCGAATATGGACGTCAGACAGAAACTAGTGCTGCACACTGTTTGCTCGACGATCTGCTCTGAGAAAAAAAAATGCAAAAAAGAAAAAGTAAGATTTACCTGGTGTCCTCAACCCATGCGTTGCTATGATTGGCTGTACTCATGACATCACTGAGATTGAGTCGCGCGACTGCGCGAGATATCTAGCATGCTAGATATTTTTCTGAGCTCGGTGACCTGTCTGCGAGCTGTCTTTGATGCGTTGTTGGCTCTTTCACACTAACTGATTGGCGAGCGTTAATCGTCCGCTAATCGCCCGCGATTTGCACGCGATAACACCCTGACTTGTCGGCGACTCAACGATTTGCAAATCGGGCTTAAATCGGGCTTAAAATCACGTAGTGTGAACTAGGCTTAATGTAACGTAAGCTGTAAGCATAAAAAATCTTGTATTTTTATGTATCAAAAAATATTAAAAATAAAAATAAAAAATAAAATATCACACAAAAAATGTTAAAATATAAAGTAATAAATATAATACATAATAAATATGTTTAATAATAACTAATTAAAAACAATAAATGTATACATTTATTATTAAGTAATTATAATAGGCTAAAATAAGCAAGGATATAAATGTTTTAAAAGGCCAATTTTATTAGGGTGATGAGTTTATTAGGGTTATGGGTGATGAAAAAATAGATTTCAGTCAATAACATTTATACTGTATAATGTCCGCTATGTATGAAGAAATAAAATGTTTGATACTTTTAGAGCCCTCTATTTTTAAGTATTTATCTTTTTTTAATACAATTTAGTAAAATAATAAGCAGTTTTTGAGGCCGTTGTCATATATATATATATATATATATATATATACCTTTGTCTCATCTTTTATGATAGAAAGATGGAGGCATTTCAATGTCTCTATATTTTTTTTGTTTTTTGTACTCTTACATCAGTTCCAGTTTGTAAGTTTGTTTCCTCCAGTCATGCCTGAGTTTTTGAGCTGCTTTTCTTTCTTTCTTTCTTTCTTTCTTTCTTTCTTTCTTTCTTTCTTTCTTTCTTTCTTTCTTTCTTTCTTTCTTTCACAGACTTTAAGAATGAGTAAGAAAAAGTCACTGATGATCTATAGTTTTGTTCCTCAGGACTGTGTTGTTCTGTTTATTTCTTCTGTGAGTCCTGCATGGCCTGATCATAGGGAGGAGGAGGCTGGTTGTACGGCAGGGCTGAATACACTGCAGTCATGTGACTGGGGTGGGTCTGCACTGGGTAGACAGTGGAAATGACCGCAGTCTCTGAGTCTCCATAACTGTGAAAGCCAGTCTGACGCAGTCCTGCCAACACACACAGCGGATCAAACCACATGACCGGTGTTTGCAGGACAAGGGCATACAGAGAGATTACCTGGTGACATGATGGGGTGTCTGGTGAAGGCCACGTTAAAATCAGGTTCCCCAGGGGGAGGATAAGGGTGGACACGTCTGCGAATGAAGTACCCAGTACTGCAGCAGCACAAAATGCCAATTATCAGCAACAGCCTAAGGACCAATTAAAAACACATGAAGTGTTGCGTTCCGGAAGGGTAGTGAATATCATCCCACATTGAGAAGATCCCTGGATCTCTGATACTTTACATAGGACAAACGGTTTGGAAAATGGATGGACCATCTGACCCACGTTTTTTAAACAAAAAAACAAAAAAACCTTGTAGAAATAACTCACCAGAAAAACCATATTCTCTGAGCAGAAAGGACTCGAACGCAGCATTGTGTGCCACAGCAGTCTTCGTATGTCTTGCATCTAAAGACAGACACAGTAAAGACATTTACAATGTTACAAAATATTTCTAAAAATGAATGCTGTTCTTTTGAACTTTGTAGTAATCAAAGAATCCTGAATAAATGGTTTCCATAAAAAAAATAAGCAGCTCAACTTTTTTCAAAATTGATAATAGTAAGAAATGTTTCACCAAATCAGAATATTAGAATGATTTCTGAAGGCTCGTGTGACGGTGAACACTGGCTGCTGAAAATTCAGCTTAGCCATCACAGGAATAAATTATATTTAATATAAATATGTGTGCGTGTGTGTAAAAACTTGATGATGAATGTGGTGTTTTGAACTGAATATAATGAAGGAGCATTTGCGTTTGGTGTGAAGACTGAACTGTTTGTACCTCACCTCCTGTGGCGCATGTCAGTGGTTGGGTATATGGGACCACTTGTGATAAATTGCTCTTATTGAAACTAGTAAAGGGGGTGGGGGGTTTCTGAGCTGAGGAATTCTCTTTTATAGAATGTGCATCTGAATTAATCCTTTAACCGATGTTCTGTTGAAACTATTAAGAAAGGGGTGAGGATAGTAACGGGTCCTGCTTCTTGTTTCTGTCATTAAAACCACAACTGCTCATTTTAACACAGACACACACACACACACATATAAAATATATTTTAAAATTAGCAGTTGTGGTTTTAATGACAGAAACAAGAAACAGGACCCTTTACTCTTTTATGTTATTGTTATATATATAATACTACACTTACATGAAGTATACTGGATAATCTCCTTCAAAGTACCAACAGTCCTTTTTTTCAGCAAGTGTCTGCAAAAGATTTTGTTTAGTTTTTAAAGTAACGTCACGTATGTGCAAAAGTGATTGACTCTAAACTGTTTCAATAGTCATGGATGGGCATGGTAAACATGCCAGTTGCAGCTAACAAAGTCATTCTGAAAAGAGATATAATATCAACTGTGTGAAATCAGACCATTTCAGACATACTTTTGTATTGGCTCTACTATCATTTTGTCTTGTTTGCAAAATACGGAAACTACTGGCCCATTTTACCTGACATCACCCTGTTTATAAAACCAACACAATGAGCCACCAAAATAACATATGACATTTTCGGGAACCTTTGTTGTGTCCTATTTTAACATAATGGTCATTTTTTGTGACAGTCTTACACTGCATCTGACACCATAGTTCAAGGAAAATAAACTACAAAGAGCTTCTTGTCTGAGTCCTGGATAAGAACAATAAACAATCTTTTGTGCTAGATAGACACAGCGTGTCTGTGTGTGGAATTGTAAGATATTTGTGTCATAGACTGAGATACAAGAGATACACGACAAGAAAATGCTCATCAAAGTCTAGTTCAAAACTAACATGTTTTTGGTTACTCTTTTGAAAAAAAAATAATAATAATAATTTAATGAAATGCCGCAACTCACCTCAGCAAATAAAAGTGTGAAGAGGAGGCCGTATAGTTGTCGCATTCTGTAGGCTATTCAGGCCTCACAGCGCGAGATCAGCCTGTTGCATGCGTCTTACCTCAAGACCCGGTCGAGATGCTCGTGGTTTGATGATGGTTTGTTGATCCACATGTCCTGGATTGGAACATTATTAGACTCCCATGCAGCGCTCGTGCAGTGGCATCGCAGTTCCCCATTATACAGTGAGGACTGGAGGATGAGAAGGATGACATCACATGACTACATCACAAAGACACGCTTGTCCCGCTCTCCTTTACAAAATGAATCACTATTTTCACAAGTCACCTAAACTAAACTTCTTAATGATTACACTTCTAATAGCTATTATTAGTTCTGTCAAATGATATATATTAAACAATATCTTTTGCATTTCTAAACCAAACAACGTCTAACTCGGCACCGCACTTTACTAGTGCCCGTAGCAGACACCTGCCAAGTTTGAAATCCATCGGACTAATGGTTCGAGAGATATTCGATTAACAGACAGACACACAGACTTGTAATTTATAGATGGATTAGTTTAACACATTCATTTATGTAATATGAAAAATTAAAATTCTGTCATCATTTACTCACCTTTCAAGTGAGTTCAAACATGTATGATGTTCTTTCTTCAATGGAACACAAGTTATTTTGAGAAATGTTTTTTGATTTTCATTTCGGAAGTTTTACCTTTCACCATATTTAGATATATCGAAATCGTATTCCATTGCGATTTCCCGTATATCTAAATATGTTTAGTGAGGTAAAACTTCCAAAATCTCAGTGTAAACAATGCGTGACTTAGATGCAGGAGAAATCACTTCCGGCGTACAGTTGGACACGGTTCAGTTCAGTTGGACATCTGATTCAGATCAGTTTGACATAGCTGTTAACAAGAGGTAAAAACTACATAAATACCATTCGTTTTCTCACACAAACCGCTCGTTTCGTGTCTTAGGCCATCAGTGTGTACTTATGTTCACGAGTCATTAAATCATGTTTAATTTTGACTTCTCTGTGCATGCTCTTTGAGGTGGACCCTCTTAACCTGCATTATATGACTGACAGACAACAACGGTTTGACCAAAAAATGTCAAAATTGAAAATACTGTGGAAACAAAGACACCCACATCTTGGATGCCCTTGAGGTAAGCTAAAACATATCAAAAATTAATTTCAAAGTGAACTATCCCTTTAATCTTTACCTCCAATAACTTGGGTCATAACTGATAACATGTAATCAGGATTACAAAATCACTTTCCATTTTAAAATACTCGTAATCAGAGTAGTGACATGTTATGTCAAAAACCTACACCAAATTAAGCTAAAAAAAAAAAAACTTGCCACAAAAAAAAAAAGATCATTCGGATCTTTTATTGCAGTGTATGGTTGCAGTGTTTTTCACTGGTATTTTCTCAGAAACCCAAAGAATATAGTTTGTGTAGGTACAGTAGTGTTTACTTAAATCTTCTCTCAATCATCTTTAGCATTGCTATACAAAAATATACAAATTTGTGTTCACACTCTAGGAAGAACAGATATTCTTTTGAGTCAAAAGGGTCAAAACGTTCTCTCTTCACCCTTGTTAAGTACATCAGAAATCACTTTCCCTGTATAGACACACATAAAGTCTCTTTTCAAAGCTGAAACTTTTATAAAGTACAACAATGAATTTAAGATGATCAAAGAGTATAATTTAGATCTCCCCATCATCAAACAGAAAGTCCTGGCCTTAGTATGACACTATTCTTAAAAGTTGCAGTAATGACTATACTCAATCATAATACCACAGATATTCTATTGGCATTTATACAATAACTGTATTTGCATAGATTAATAAATGACCAGTCACAAGTAAACTGAACTAGTCCAAAAAAAGTGAAAAGCACATTCTACTGTAGGAACATTTCACTAGTGTTTTCAAAGTATAAATAAAATATTACTATATCCAAGTTGCAAACATTTCAATTAAATATTTGGTGAAAAGATTATAAAATCACATCCAAATAATTTCAAAACTCTAATTAGCAAACCTTAACAAATACAAAACCCTTGTCCACTATTACAAATTTGTACTTAGGCTAACAAACATTCCCACAACACAGAAAGAAAGAAAGAACAAGAAAGAATAAAAAACCAAACAGGTTGCCGAGCTTTAAAAAGTTAAAATGTAACAACGTAGCCAAAATATTGTAATACATTTTCTAGACAAAAATAGTCTATTTTTTGTCTCAGTACTCTTAAGATCCACTGCGTATATTCTGACATTAGCTCTACATAATCTACACTGAGTTCATTTTAACTCAACAATCTATGAGTGTCTTTGTAGTAGCTAAATAAATACTACAAATATTTAAAAAGTTTTGGTTGCTACCTTTTGTGAATTTAAATCACAATTTTAATCAAGCTGAATAAAACGGTTTCAACGTAGAAACAAAAAAATGATCTTCTACACAATTTAAAATCCTGACCTAAAGCCTAAAATCAACATGACTACTAACACGGAAAAAAAAAAAAAAGGAAAGTAATTTGGACACAACCATTCAAGTCCAGGACCATTAAAAAACACGCAACCAGTGATTGTTGAGCAACTGCGTAAACAAGATACAAGGTACTTGATAGTGACACTACTGAAGAGCAGCTTCATCTTTGACATCTGCACTATGAGAATCAAAAGACATCAGGTCAGAAGAAACGGCCTCTGCTTTGCCCTCAGACCAGCTGCTCTTCGGAAACTGTGGCTCATCAGAAAAACCCTGATTGACATCATCAGTTTCTGAGGGGAAAATTGCGGACTCGTTGGTCTGCATGGGATATTCTGCAGGCAAAGCAGATGACTCGAGATGAAGGGCGGCGGGATCAATGAGCAGGGAAGAGATGTCTATAGGAGGCACGGAAGATTCGAGAGATGGGATTGAAGAATTCATCAAAGAAGCCATGTCTGTTGGCATGCTATGATCGAGAGGTTGATTTGGGAGAGGAGGGTGTGATACAGAAAAGGGAGGAGAAACATCTGAAGGTGGTGTAATAGAGGAACTGAAATCCTCTGTAATTTTCTCTTCAGGGTCACGACAAGGAAACTGTCGGTCTTGAAGCTCCTCTGCAAAAAGAAACACATTTTTGCCCATGTTACAATCTCACCAAATGAATTCTGTTCACCTAAAATGAGCAAAGCTGACTCACCAACACCCGATACGTCAACGTCCTCTCGGACAGCTAGGGATGTATTTGTCATATCAATGGAAGAAGTGGATAGATCCAGTCGATCTGCCATGTCTGATACTTGTGAATTCATCATGACCACTTCTGACTGATCCGAGAAACCTAGAAGAACCATTGCTTTGATGCATTCGAATGTATTTTCATGATTCACGTTCTACAGAAGTGTTAGATGAAGAACCTTACCAGGATCCATGACTCTCTGAATGGGAGGTGGCAGTGGGGTTTCAAGATCCAAGCCACTCATTGACTGACCAGACCCCATTAAGGACACCTGAGAAAATCAGTTTCAGTTACACTGTTCTCACCAAAAAAAACAAATGTGAAGCAAATGTATGAATGTTGTTTAACCGATTTGTGCACATGCACAAACTATTTAAAAGGATATTTCAACCAAAAGCATGTTGCAATGGTATTATTATTATATAATTAAATATGATCACAAAGTTTGGCCAAATTGTACTTCCTACAAACAAACCTGGATTTTTTTTTTAACTGCAATTACAATTTTTAAAAACAATTTCAAATCCTGCAGCCCTACGTGCTTCTGTAAGATATCTTTGTTGAAAGTCAATGGGGTCCAATTATGTTTTGGACCCCACTTACTGGGTGAAATATCCCTTTAAATAATATGACTATACTGCAGTCTTGTGAAAATCTACCTCAGTGAATCCGTTTGTAGGAAATTCTTGCTCTGGTGTCCCTGCCACAGGAGAAGCTTTTGCACTGATTTTTTCCGATTTTGGGCTGTCAGGTTGTGCTGGGATTCGGTGCAGGTAGCCATATCCAATGCCACAGCCAAGACTACAAAGGGTTAGGCAGTTATCTGAATTATTTCCTCATAATAATGGCTTGGTCAAGAATTCATTACATATCATATCATCAGTAACAGGGTTATTACCTGCCTTCTCCCCCCCAGGCACCATTTGGTGTGACAATCACCTCCCTGCATTTATTGGTTTCTGTATTGTAGACCAGCAACTTCAATGGTTTTCCCTCATGGGCTTCAATTAGGGAGAAGAAATCCTCTGACTGTTGGGAAATCAAAACATTGCTTGATTGTACATGTAGTGGTCACATTATGAAATAAAAGTTTTTTTTCTCAAATGCATGTTGGCTAGAACTTGCAAGCATTCATGATAATAATTCAAGTCTTACATCTTGCAGAACCTGGTCAGCTCCAACAATGAAGTCTGAATACTCCTGAAGTCCAGCCAGTGCTGCTGGTGAATTTGGTTCCACATCCTAAAACCAGAGGGTGCAAAATACTTAAACAAAAAGCCTAAATATTTAAAGAAATGCATGGATTACCTATTAAAAGCAAAGACAACTTACCAGAACATGCCAAACATTTTCATTGGCTCCTTGAAAGCTACAGAAGCGGACACTGGCTCCCAGAAGTCCTTGACCACCCCACATGTTGCTGGGAACCACCTCCAATTCCCGGATCCTCATGGTCTTTGTACTATACACTTCCATCTTTACTGGTTTCTCCACATTAGCCTTGAGGAGGTCCTTCAGCAAATCATTCTCCTGATTCTGTTCAGACAGCATATGACCAATTATAATCCAAGTAACAGTGACTACATTTACAGTACATGAAAATAATTTCTGATTAACAACCATTTTCTGGTTAAGTCTTTATTTCAACTAAGACATGCACTTTTGTTTTCTTTTGAGGATATACTGGAGATGAAGTGTATATTGTAAATAAGATGTTTACATCATGATATGCTAATGCCATACCGGTCTTATACAGTCATAGTCTGTATGTCATCAACACTAAGACCTGCTCAGTTTACATCCAAAAGAGATTTCTAGAATATTTGCTTCATTTATATGATACATGCACAATAACAATACAAACAACAACATATTACATATAACAACATACAACCAGAAAACCTTGAAAATCATTTGCTAGTTATTATTACAAATACAAACTTACAAGACGATTATTGCCAATGGATATGATGAAATCAAAAAATGGCTCCAAACCAGCTTTCGCTGCAGGTGAGTCCTGTTGAATCTGTAAAGGAATTGGAGTAAATCACTGCAGAGCACAAATTCTATTTAGATTTATGGAGTCTTTGATTTTCAAATGCATTAATTGACGCTGCACGCATTATTGTGCACTGGAAAGATTAATAACATCCACCGTATAGTATACAATCTAATGAATATCTGTGAAAATATATGACGTGTTTATATAAATATTACGTAACGTTAATGCCCCTCTCCCCCAGCGGGTTCAATGACGTGGCGGCTACGAAGCTCTTGGATCACTGACCACGAAACTAGAACTAAAGCACATAACGTTACAAACTAATAAAATGCGTGTACTACAGACTGAAAATATAACGTGTGAACATAATGCGAGATATCGCAAATGTTATACTTATACAAGAAGGAGTTTTCGGAGCTGTCCTGTAGCACAACACAACCTGCCGTTACCTGACAGTTGCCACTTTGCAAGCACTTTACAAACCTTGAAAAAGCTTTCCTAGTTGTTAAAATCGTCTGACACAGTTATTTATTTATCAAATAATTAAAAATAAATATGAACGTACACGCTGTTTTCTCTCAATGCATATCTGTCAAAGGCTAAAGTAATGCGGACATGATAACTTCATCAAAGCATAGCTAGCATGCAAAGCTGCTCGCTGGCGTACGCAAAGTCAGCTGAATTTAAGCAATTTACCCCATGGACGTGAAATCCTTCTGTCCCCCCCTCAGGTGCACCACTGCTCTGTGTTAAACCCATTGCTGTAGAGGGTTTCGATGTTTTGCAATGTTATGTTTAGCTCTCTGAAAAAAAGCAACCCAGACAGAGATTACTCATCGCATCGTGGCCATGTTGTCCTTTTAGGCAGGCGAGAGCAATCGAACATGATGGCAACGATCAAAGGATTTTACTAGCTCGGAACCTTTTCAGGTGCTCGGAATTCACGTTCTCTATTTGTAATACTTTATACTTGTCAGCTGAAACGTTCTTTAAACTAAACACGCACACCCACCAAAGCATTATTTTTTTTAAAGGATTATCACCTAAAGTAAAGAAAGGTGATTTAAGCAATTTTGAGCGTGGCATCATGGTTGTTGCCAGATGGGCCAGTCACAGTCGGATTATTTCACAAACTGCTCAATTACTGTGATTTTCACGCACAACCATTTCTAGGGTTTACAAAGAATGGTGTGAAAAGGGAAAAACATCCAGTATGCAGCAGTCCTGTGGACAAAATGCCTTGTTGATGCTAGAGGTCAGAGGAGAATGCGGGCCGACTGATTCAAGCTGATAGAAGAGCGACTTTGACTGAAATAACCACTCGTTACAACCGAGGTATGCAGCAAAGCATTTGTGAAGCCACAACACGCACAACATTGAGGCGGATGGGCTATAACAGCAGAAGACCCCAAGGGGTACCACTCATCTCCACTACAAATAGGAAAAAGAGGCTACAATTTGCAAGAACTCACCAAAATTGGACAGTTGAAGACTGGAAAAATGTTGTCTGGTCTGATGAGTCTCGATTTCTGTTGAGACATTCAGATGGTAGAGTCAGAATTTGGCGTAAACAGAATGAGGACATGGATCCATCATGCCTTTTTACCACTGTGCAGGCTGGTGGTGGTGGTGTAATGGTGTGGGGGATGTTTTCTTGACACACTTTAGGCCAGCAGGATAATGCACCATGTCACAAAGCTTGAATAATTTCAAATTGTTTTCTTGAACATGACAATGAGTTCACTGTACTAAAGTGGCCCCCACAGTCACCAGATCTCGCAATGGAGCATCTTTGGGATGTGGTGGACGGGAGCCCTGGATGTGCATCCCACATATCTCCATCAACTGCAAGATGCTATCCTATCAATATGGGCCAACTTCTAAATAATGCTTTTTAGCACATTGTTGAATCAATGCCACGTAGAATTAAGGCAGTTCTGAAGGCGAAAGCGGGTCAAACACAGTATTAGTACGGTTTTCCTAATAATCCTTTAGGTGAGAGTATATATATAATTAATTTTCATTAATTTGGAGATTGGCTGTGAAATGATTACATTATAAAATATATTAAAAACAGTTTTTTTTAATGCCGATTCATCGTGATCAAATACATTTATTCCACAGAAAAGAAAAATAGACAAAAACATTAATTTAAGTAAACACAGAGTAGGCATGAATTTCTTTATATATTACAAGTCATTCTTTTAAATGAAAAATACTAAGGCAAGCTGGTCTTTGAAATGAAAGACATATACATGAAATATGAAAATGGCATTTTGATGTTTATAACAGCTAACTCATTTGAAACACTTACAAATGCATTTACTACACAAAAAAACTTGATCACTTAAAGCAAAACACATTTGAGAAATAAATATGAATAGACTTTTATAGGTAAACATTTAACAGTAAAACATTCCTTCCTGGAATGGGATTCTTTTGCGACCTTATAAAAAAATGTAATTAAGCCATTAGTTTATGAAGTGTAAATATAAAATCTGACCTGAAGTTAATGTACAAACTCTCCAAGACTTTTGGCAACAAAGTATCCTCTTGCAATTGACTTATAACTCAACTGAGTGGTTTTAACTGTATTGACACTGTAGTCATGAATGGTATATTCAGACTATTAAGATCATAAAATATATTTCTAAGGAATATCCTTAAATTCAGAAAATATTTACACTTTATCTCAGAGTAAATTACATTAAATTATACTGTACAATTGTAAATGAACAAGGCTCATTCATCTTTAAAACATCAGTAAAAATACTGTGCTGCTCTGATCCCTGTTAAGAAATTCCTACAAGAGACTCCAAAAGATTGACTCCCGAGTCCTCAATTTGAGTGGGACTGAGACAACGGGGGAACTGGAGGTGTGAGCTGTAGTAGTCCATATGACTGCACTCTTGACTGTGGCTTGGACGGTCACCATACTCATGAAAAGTGTCAAAAAAGACCAGGTAAGGGTCTGAAGAAAGACTGAGGTCCATGTAACAGTTTGCGGTGTGATCCGGAGATGCAGAAGGTGTATTGGGGATGTCGAAGGTGTCGTTTACACATTCCATTGTGGCCTGATTAGCATTTTCATCCAGATACTCCAATTGAGATGTACTGATTCTACTTTCCTTTGTGGATGTGCCACCAGCAGCTTCTGTGGACAAATCATAATCTTTAACATATGGACATCCCTTCCCATCTGAATCAGAAAAACCGAGTATGTGAGTGAGTCCAGTGTCATCCCCGGTCATTGTGGGTTTCTCAGAGGAAGGCCTTGCGTCTGTCTCAGAGTCCAGACTCAGAGAAGAAGAGCAGGAGTAGTCAGTCATGTCAGTGCTCCAGCTGTTGTCTCCCTGCCTGCAGAGCTCTGAACTCAGGTGGAATGAGGGAGAGTCTTTTTCGACTGGAAATGTAATGGTTCTGTTCCTCGCCAATAGTTGTTGCTCTGTGGCGATCCCTCTGTTATCGTTGAGCAGTCTCTTTTCCAGCTCCAGCTTCATGTGTGTGTGGATATAGTGGCTCCGTACACGACTGGAGTTAAACTCGATTCGGCCTGCAGGATTCCCACAGCATTCCTTTGAACATCCACAAGGAAAGTTGGAGCGATCCATCTGTTAACAGATTATGTATTTATAATAATTATATATATATAAAAACAATACGGAAGCATAACTACTTGCTGTCCATATGATATTTGCTGTCCATCAATATTTCAATGAGATTAGATGGAGGGTTTTTCAGACTTTTAAGAATTTGGGATTTTTAATAGTATTTTTTAAAAGAAATTAATACTTTTATTCAGCAAGGATGTATTAAAGTGATCAAAAGTGACAGTAAATACATTTATAATGGTTCAAAAGATTTCTATATCTATATAGATTTCTATATTTCTTAAAATAAAAGAATCTTTCATCTAAAAAGATTTTTAAATAAAATCTTTAGAACTTTTTATTCTTCAAAACATCCTGAAAAAAGTATAATGTAATTATAAAAAATATCAAGCAGCATAACTGTTTTCAACATTGATATAAGAAATGTTTTTTGAGCATCAAATCAGCATATCAGCATATCCGAAAGATTTCTGAAGGATCATGTGACACTGAAGAATGGAGTAATGATGCTGAAAATTCAGCTTTGCCATCTAAATAAATAACATTTTAGAATATGTTCAAATAGAAAACGGTAAAACGGTAATTTTAAATTTAAATTCTAATAATATTTCTTAATATTACAGTTTCATAGTATTTTTGATAAAAGGAAGCCTTGACTTCTTTCATAAACATTTACAAAAATTTTCCGACCCTAAACATATCTGAGCAATGCTATCAAAGTTCATTGCATAGCTCTATTGTCTTACTGTTTGTTAAAAATGGTCTCACTTAGGGCTATTTTTCATCTGAAACTAAATTTATACATAAATAAAATATAGCTGAGAGCTCCAATAAATCTCCTGAGCAAGGAAAAATCATTTGAGCAACAAAATATCAATAAAACAAAGGCGCTATCATTAATGAAAAACTGAAAACAATAATTTATTTATATATTATTACTTGGCACTTGATGCCAGCCTGGCTGCATGCGCAGGTCTCCGGCTCACAGAAGCCTTGGCAGTGACATCCACAGTCTTCCCTCCACCGCCGCAGCTCCTGCAGCTGCCTCTTCTCCTCTCGGTCGATCCGCACAACTCCTGCTGCTCTCAATAACGCACGTCTGCGTTTGGAAGAGTAAGGACGGAGGGATCCCATATCCTTGAGCTCAGTACTACTGAGATCCTCATCTTCATCTGGGACGTCATTCACTGCTAAGCTGGCTGCTTCTGTCACTGTGAGAGTCCCACTACTTATCAGCTATAATTAAAAAAGAGAAGATAACGTATAAAGAGAGCCTAAAAAGAACTTCACACTCACATATGTGTGTGTATATATATTCATATATATATAGGCCTCCTCTTGTGCTGATTGGTAGATTATTTGAACATGTTCCCTTTGAACTTTGCTAATACAACATCATATATTGTTTCTGAATATTGAAAAGTAACCGACTCACCTTCTGCCTCAAGGCCTCCAGCCTCTCCTCTTGGTGTCGCTTGCGGACTCTCTCCATTCGCAAGCGCTGCTGCTCCTCCGCGTGATCCGCCAGGGTGAACTGCTGACGGTCAGTGTGCCGTCTAACCATGCCGAGTGTGCAGCCACCGTGGCTGGGCACGCTGCTGAACCCTTGACAGCGCTGGAAGAGGAACACTGTAACCAGGCCAAACCGAACAGTGCCTTTGGATTGAGTATCTTTTGTCTTCTTCAGGATGGATGAAACTGAAAGTAAAGAAACAAAACGTGTTCATTATTAATTATCTTCTGGTGGCTGTGACTGTTGCAGCTGCCACTAGATGGCAGCCGAGTCAGATCTGTCAACAAGTAAACTAAACTCAACAATAATGAAATAATCAAACGGTGTTCTAAAAAGTTCTAAAAAGAAAAACTTGCTTCAAAAATGTAAAGTTAAAATCGTCATTCTTTATTTGCAATGCCAGTTTCACTCTCTGAACGAGGATAATGGGGTGAGGTTGTGCGTCAGATGTGTTTGCACTGTAGCAGCCCTTAGTAAATCAACTTTATTTGCAGCACTTGTAGTTTTCACTGTGAATCAACAATGAAAAACAGTGATCCAGGCATGTCCAGGCACACAGACAGACAACATAATCTCAGAGAACTACCTGAAAAGGAAACGGCGAAACTGATTATGGCTTGATATTTCGTGTGTTTACTTTGAGGTTTGTGGGTTTAAAATGACTTGGGATGATGACTGTGCACAACATATTTTGATAAACAGTGTTACAACTGTATGTTTCTCTTCTTATCTAGTGCACTGCACAATAATGCTGAGGTCAGATAACAAGACACCTCCTAATGTGTTTAAACACACTGGAGGGGACAACTGTTGGTTTACAATACATGATTTTTTTAAAAATGCACAGTTACTATGCATGACTCACTTGGTATGGGATGGCTTGAAGAGAAAGAAGTAAAAGGCCCAAAGTCCACACTATCACTTTGGGGGCTGTCTTCATCAGAGTCCCATTCAGAGTGTGATGAGGGGGATGAGGAAGAATAAATGGCATCCTCATCTGGGAAAACATGTTTTCTCTTTAAACCCACACGCTGCAATGTAGCCATGGCGATCTGTCAAATTATAATGGAGAAATTAAAGCATAATATTACAAATAGGTCATAAAATGAGCTATCATGTCACATTTTTTGGTGTTAGTATATCAAGTCTGAAAATAGAATTTGATTGATGTTGATTGATAACCATTAGCAAACAAATCCTAAGCGGCAGAAACTGGACACCTTTCTCTTGTTCAGGCCGGTTCCAAAGATTCACATCTTCACTCTAAACGCAAGCCTGTTTAGCAGGTTTCCCAATATATATATATATAAAAAAATTGGCACGAACCACTACCACAAGCACAGCTTTCTCAGGCAAATTGTCATTGTTTTTAATCATATTATGCAAAGTGTATGCAAGCATAAGTGTGCATTATGCAAGCAATGATAAGAGGGAATCAATAGTTCCTTCAAACTCACTCTGGAGTCATTAACATCAGATGTTTTGAGTACTTCAAGAACTAAATGTTAAAACATTCAGCTCAGCTTAACTGCATGACCAAATTTGTAAACCAATACTGGTTTTTATTGCAGAATCACATAAACATAATTATGATAGCAATTGGCAAGATCCACTTCAAAGAATGCATTTACAAGTACAAGCTTTGTGCAAAAGGAGACAAAAGAGGAAACGTAACACAAATCGCACATCTACTGAAGTTTTTCTGCTTGAGTGGGTGTGCAATGGAAAAAAAGCATACACACAGAGAACTCTGTGTACCTCGAATAACAGAACAACACTACCTCACACCACAGGACGGAGCAATCTGCATCACAGATCACCTGGTTCTTGTTCCAAGTAAAATCCAGTCAAGCCCAACCCACACAAATGGCTCCTGTGCTAAACAGTATGTGCCCCTGTGTATCCTGGACAACCTTAACTTTCTCTCACACCTCTTTCACACAGGTCTGGCTTTCTTTGAATAGTGTGTAAACACCTGCACTGTAATCCCAGATGCAACAGTCAACCGTGTAAAAGGTTATAACTGCATGAGATAAATTACACTTTGTGTTGCACATAATTGTCAAAATGATTTTTTGTTCCATACATTATGTGTGCAGGACTTTCATATTTAATTGCATAGCAAATTATAGGCTACCAAAAGAAAAGCAGCATCAACTGGTGTGGTGACGCATGATTTACTCCTTCATCCAGCTGTGAATAAAGTGATACAACACCTAAAAGTGTGCAGACACCAAGTCCATTCATTTATGCATTATCTGTGAAAAGTATGTGGTGCGGGTGTGTGTGTTTATGTAGTGTAGGAGTAAGACATGAGGGCAGCTGATTACAAGAACATTGGCCTAAGATACAATAACAAACAAAAGCCACAACTTTTCACTGAAAGCTAAACAGAATCTATAATATCTTGGACTGGCAGTGTTATTTGGCCAGACTACAACTATATACAAATGTACATGTGAATGTTAGAATTTCTCCCTACATGTAAACAGAAGGAGGAGGTGGTTTGTCGACTGTGAAAGGGGAAAGTAGTAGACAGCTGTCAGGTGGAAAAATAGGTTACAGCAAACCAAAACAACCAGACAGTTTCTCACCTCTACACAATGTAAAGCAGGGGGAACACAAGTAAAGTTTTACACAAATTTGTCATGGGTGCTGTTTTAGCTACATCTGTGTCCTTCGAAGGAAACATTAAGTTTACCTTAAACTAGTAGAGCTATACTACTTTAAGGTAAACATAATATTACTTTTTTACAGGCTAAGGAACACACATATTGATAGATAATTTAGTCAAAGTGTCCTACCGTAAGCTAAAGTAGTCAAAACCTTTCTAACTTCTTTTCTCTTCAATTATGAGGATGATTCCGTGACTTGCAGGTGCATATTTTCTGTCAAGCCGATCATTATCTTTAATATAATCCATGTTGCGCGCAATTGCACTAAATGTTGTTCAAACATCAGATATATATTTAAAAAAGTATTATTCTAATGTAGAAAACAGCTGCGTTTTGTGCCCACTTTCGACATTTTAAGCACAAACGTAAATAGAAAATTGAAAGTCTAAGCAAAGCGCCTGTTTAAATGGCTAGAGTTAATATAATATGCAACTTTTTTTCGCACACGAGCACTTTCATTCTACAGCTGGTGAACTTCCGTAGCGGACTTTCTCGCGGTCGCGCTTATTTATTCAGGAATGTGTGACCACATCAAAACACGATAACAATAAAATATACGTTCCAAGGTAATATTGATTCGCGTAGCAGACAAATTGTAGCCTTGAATATTGAATTCACATTTTATGCAAACTATTGTGTTTCACGCTGCGAGAGATCTAAGGCACCTTGAACAAAAACAAACACTCACCCAGTAATTATGTATCTGTGTATCATGAGTGGAAGAGACAACCATACGAGGCATGAAAACGATCCCCTTTCTTAGTCCTCGATGCACGTACAGTACAGTGAAATCAGCTGTTGGTGAATTTGTGTTCGTCAGTGGAAACCTCCCCCCACACTGCCTGACGTAAACAGTAATATGAGGACAAAAACAGCACTCATTACGCTCAGCGCGTGTGCACACAGACTCACTGGCGGAGTCATACTCGATGGAACTGGCAAACTTGTCAATGACGAAAACCTGCAGAAGCCGACGCCAATTCATTCCGCGGCCCACCACACGAGTACTGGATGTCCTTAATTTGGTTGTGTGAAACACATAACTCACACAGGGCCAAAAAAAAAAGGCATCTAAGATATATTTTGAAATATCAAAATGTTTTAGATTGAGAGGATAGAGAGTGGATAGATAGACCGTTCTTAGAACATAAAATAATTTTGTCAAAGGTTTTGAACACTTTAAAATTGAGGAAGTCAATGTTTTGTGTCGTATTCTAAGTAGGCCTAAATGGACACTGTGATCGAAAAGCATATGACAGTAAATATTATGTAATGACATGAAAGTAGCGATTCACTTTAAGATAAGTAGTGATGCACCTTAAGATAAGTATCAATTCTTTTTAAAAAGTAGTGATTCAATTTATGATAAAGGGATAGTTCACTTTGAAATTAATTTTTGATATTTTTTACCTTACCACAAGGTTTTACCTATGTTTTACCTTACCTCAAAACTTCCTTAATCTCTGAAACAGAAGAGTGACGTAGCGCGCAAGCGATCACTTGCGGCGCATGCGCATACCAAAGCGCCTGTGCCGTCAGATCAGTTTGTCATCGCTGTGGTAGCACGAGGTAACAACGATATAAATACTGTTCGTTTTCTCACATAAACCGCTCGTTTCGTGTCTTAGGCCATCAATGTGTACTTACTTACATTTACAAGTCATTCAATCATGTTTAATTTACGGTTTGACCGAAAAATATAAAAATTGAAAATACTGTGGAAACAAAGACACCTAGTGCTACATCTTAGATGCCCTTGAGGTAAGCTAAAACATATCAAAAAATATCGATTCACTTTAAAAAAAAAAAAAAAGCAATTCTTTTTGGAAAAGTAGTGATTCATTTTAAGAAAAGTAGCGATTCACTTTTTGAAAAGTAGCAATTCACTTTAAGAAAAGTATCAATTCACATTGAGAAAAGTAACGTTAGCGATTCTTTTGGGAAAGTAACAAATCATTTAAAGAAAATTTGTGATTCCTTTAATGAAAAGTAGCGAATAATTTAATGAAAAGTAGCAATTCTTTTAATGAAAAGTGGTCATTCTTTTTAAGAAAGTATCGCTTCATTTTAGGGAAAGTATCGATTCATATTTAGAAAAGTAACAACTTGCCCCCAGACTGACATTTACAAGAAATTGCCTTAATGCCACAGAAAACACATGTTAGGTACTGAGTTATGTATTTTTACTAGCCCCTTTCTTTCTTATTTTTATTTAGCCTGATGCTTTCTGCAAATAGATTAATGGATCTTCTCTATTATTTTCTCTAATTAAGTCTGTGCTGATGAAGAAAAGAATGACAGTACAGGGGTCAGACAAAAGGCAGAGCAGAAAAAACATAAAGACTTCTGCTTCAGCCACTCAGCCAATCACTAGAGAAACTCTCCCTGGATACCAAAGAGCCTCTCCATGGCAATGACACTGTGAAACATCCATCACAGGAGACCTGGGCATCATGGATTCAGAGGCAGATGGTAACATATCTCTACCCTTTCTTTCTTTCTTTCTTTCTTTCTTCTCCTCGCACACACATAACACTAACTGTATCACCTCAATGATTTCCCATCTGTTTGGTAGTGAAACCACAGGGCACATATCACCCGTCAACCCCCCTTTCTTAGCTGGTGCTAAGACAGACGTACAATAGAAACACAGACGCTTAGAAAGCAGGTTAAAACATTTTGACTATACACTAGGGAATGAGCTTTCAAACATCCATATGATGAAGGGTTCAATGTTTTGTATGAAAAATATTGCGGTTATTAACTATTCTGAGAATTAACATAAAACAACAGTATTGAGAGAATGACCACAAGTGGAGAATGTGATTTATACTAAAAGCTGTGTTTCTGCCCAGACTATTTTAGTGCGTACGACAGACATCACACAACATAAGAAAATCAATTCACACCATGGACCATATACTATGCAGAGTTAACGTGGAGAGAAGGCAATAGGTTAGTACCTCACAAACTGTACATCTGAGCGTAATACACTGAAAAAAATAGGAGTAAATCTGACGATTTCTCGCTCCAATGAGATATGAGTATGTATCCCCAGCTAATAGTCTGTAATACTAATAATACATCATCATCCAAAGTTCCAATAGATAGTCTCATATAATGAATGGGCATTGAGTCAGAACTGTCAGATTCTATTATTGAGTTGTTTCACATTTCATTTTGTGATAATAGCCAGAGTTTATACATCAAAATTATTATTTTATTTAGTTTTCATTGAATTCATTTTTTTAAATTCTCAATTCTTAAATTTAAGTCTCTTCTAAAAATTTTTTTAAAAACTGAAGTTATCATCATTGGAATCATTTTCCTGTTATATACTGTCACAATCTGTTATACAATCACAATCTTATTTTTTCAAACTGTGTCAACATATGCTATTTTTTTAAGTGAATCTCAATCTATCCCCCTTTCACTGAGGCAATCAGCTGTTGTGTAATAGTTAACCTACATTTCCCCCTCTCTCAGGTTGCTGCCACTAGCACTTGTGGCCCACTTTCTGTGTGAAGTGAAGAAGTGGCCTACATACAAGGAGATTCTGACAAACTTTACAAAGCTGTCGGCACAAAAAGCTCTGGCCTAATTTCTCACCCGTCACTGAATTCAGTCCAATAAAGCCACATATATATGCTCATCTCTGCTATCATGGTGGTAGTATATGAGAACACAGTGCTTTTGGACTTCATAACCTTAATTCAGCATGTAATTCTAGGTAGCACATTTCCATAGCTATTATTTGTTTATGACTTGAGGCAATGGAGAGTTAAAGACCTCTAATCAAATGACTGATAAATACATGTTGGATCTAGATCCAAGTTTAAATTCACAATGCAAATCTAATGGCAGTGCCTTTGTGTTTGGCCATTTAAGCAGCAACAGCTATGGATCTGTTTTACTGGCGTATATCTATCCATCTGAATAGACAGGCTGAACTCTTCAAGACTCTTTGTTTGCACTTTTACTTGTGTTGCCATGACAATGTGGTGCACCAGGTGTGTCCTAATCTGCAACTCTACAGGGTATGGAAAGGGTATGGAAAACAAGCTTACATTGCTTTGTATTTTATATTTTTTAACTATGGGTTTTCAGGTTTATGGGGGACTAGACTGTATCCCCAATAATTATTATAATGTACAATCTGATTATTCTATCTCCCTATACTAACCCCTAAACCTACCCATCCTACCCAGAAAACTTTCTGCATTTTTACATTTTCAGAAAACATCACTTAGTTTAATTTATAAGCTGCTTTCCTTATGGGGTCCAAAAATGTCCCCAAGGACATGGATTTCGGAAATTGGCATCTTTATAAGGGACATTCTGTCCCTATAATGTAGGGTATACCTGAACCACCCACCCACACACACACCCACACACACACACACACACACACACACATAGACAATTTGTAATCCAAGACCAACAGCAAAACATTAAAGAAAGTATGAGTTTTACAAGTATGTGTAATGACAGGTAGTCTATGTTTTATATATTTTAAAAATCTTTATGCTTTACAAGACACATTCGTTCTCTTACGTTGCTTTGACGTCATCATAGGAACAGTGACTATCTGTCTGAGTACTGAATAATGACTGGGGATGTTCATTCTTCATGTAAATTAAAAGAATGACTAAGCAAAATATGGATAGCCCATGTCAACCTTATCAGTCAATAACGCACTGTAGCTACATTTACCCAAACTTTTTTGAAGCATGACTATATCAGCCCTGAATTTTCCTTTAAAACTTTCATTTTGTGATCACAAAATGCAATATTATTATTTAGTGACATAAATGCTCTCAACCCAAACAACACTTAGACGGTCGACAATACTTACATGTAAAAGCAGTTAGTTGTCTATTAACGTGTATTGACACAATGTCCCTAGTAGTCTTGTTATGATACAGTAACATCATAAATATGACTTTGTGGTTACGAGATTGCCATCTAGTGGTGAAGAAACGACATTGAATATTGGTTCCCTGTTCACTATAATATGGCAGTGAACAAGAAAGAAGTCATGAGGAAATCAGAAAGACTTTTGGAGAAATGCATAAAGGGAGAATGTATTAGTCTTATGTAGGCTATAGTCTATTTAACGACATGAGTACAGGTTGCGTTAGATTTCTCATTAGCAATCCCACAGAACCCCATGATTTAATGTTCATTGCTGTTTTTAACTGCTTTTGGAATTTAGGATCTCAAATTCCCAATGTTATGCATACTCTTCACTGCATGACAGAAAGTGCAAAACAAGGTTAGGCATTCATTAGTTCATGCAGCGTCGTCTATAAATAGCAAGATGATCACAGCACAGTGACCTCAGTGAGTAGATGCTAACCTTTACATCCCCCAAGCGTTTTGTCTAGATTAACAGACAGCAGACAAACATAACTTGAAACCCTCTTGTTGATGAGGAAATTAGGTAAGATGAATATGCTAACATGGAAGGAAGTATTTGTTATAACCTACAACCATTTTTTTTCTTAAATTCCCTATACTGAATAAGTATAGATAATATTATCAATACTCTAAATGCATTGTTTAAATAACTTATTTGACCTTTTATTCAACCAACCCTTTTTCTAGAAGGATGTGATGGGAAATAAGTGATCAGACAGTTTTCAGGCTGTAAATGAGGGACTTTGGCCTGTCTGAGGAGTGTCTTATGAGTGATGCTCCAGTTCACACTGCACAGCAGAACAGAGGGAAATGAGGAGCGCAAAGACTGATCGCTTAAGGTAACTCTCTAGCTAAAGATGGATTGAGATGATAATTTGTACGTCTTTATTTATCTATTTATTTATTTTATGTGGTACTTAAAGTCATACATGTATGCTTAGGGTATTTACTTAAATTTCGGCTAATGACCATTTAGTCATCAATGGACTGCAGTACTTGTGAAGTGTTTACTTGAACTGATTCTGATTGATATTCCCAGACATCTCATCAATTCAATTTTCATTTTATACATGTGTGCATGATTATATGAAAGCTCTCCACTTTTTGCTATTTGCACATATTATGTGCAAATTGCACAATACAGCAAATCTTTCAATGTGTAATTTAAGAGAGCTTATGAATGATAAACATTAACTGAGTCAGATGAGAAAAGGGCTGACAAGCAGGTGGATCATGTGACCAGAGTCATTTACACAGTTTTACTGGTGCTGTGTTAGACTGGATTAACAAGTATTTTATATATTGTGTGTGTGTGTTAAAATATTGTTCAGGCCCTAGCACTGATGGTGTGAGGACCCTCTTGGAATTTCTCAGTTTATTATTACATTTGTTTGTGTTGTATTGATATATTTATCACAATTGTTTAAATCAAATAATAGATTTCATTTTATAAAAACCTTTAACCTTCCTTATTCCTTTAATCTACTGCCTTTGACTTTTAAAATGCTACATGATAGAGAAAAATATTTTGTCTTTGATTTATTTACTGATGTGTTTTCACCACTAAGATGAGCTTTACTTTGAGAAGAAGTCAGTCCCTCAGGAGCCTTTCTGGAGGTCATAGTTCATGGTCTACATCAGCGTCGCTGTTTTGGGACAGAAGGACACCTGTGTCTCAGCTTGTTCAAAGGTACTACCATTTTCCATCTATTTCCCTTTACCACCAACTCTTCTATGTGAAGTTTATGGCTGAAAGCTGACTGTTTTCTCTAGGTATGAAAGCTGTGTGGAGCTCACAGGTGTTGGCAGACAAGAGGCCTGGTCTAAGGTATAATCACTTTGATTTATCGTGTATTTAGCAATACGTTCAATGAAATCCGGCTTACATGGATGATCTCTGTATCCCACAGTCATCTGACCTGAGAAGATCAAACCATGAAGAGAGTAAAGTTGAAAGTCTCTGGAGGAGATATGAGTCCCTCAGTGGGGTAAATTCCTCTTTTTCCAGAAGTATTTCAATGGACATGTTGCCCCAGCCGGAACAGGTTGGCACCAACTCTCTGAGGGTCCTGTTTGAGTCAAAGAACGCCCTGCGACAGGACTACGCCAGCAGCCCTCATCTCAACGTCACACCACAGGCCAAAAGTAGCCCAGTGAGTCACATTACCTCACCGGGGAGGGAGAAAGGTTATTCTGGTACTACTACTGTCACCAATGCCAAAAAAGACAAGGCTCATCAGGTGTGTATCAGCCATGTCATGATTTATTTGTGTTTGTGCATACACAGACATGACTCAGAAAAGGAGCATGTGCTTTTCACTCAAGTTCGACATGGTGGTGGAAAAAAAAAAAAATGAGATGGGAGAAATAATAAGTCAATGCTTTTGCGTTCTCTTGCAAATGTTTTGCATTCCCTCAAGAAACTTTGCGTTAATTCGCAAAATGAGCTAACACAGTTTCTCGGCAGAACACAAAAGTTTTGCAAGTAAATAATACCTTAATATTATTAATATAATATTAATATTATGTAGTTAAAAGTATTAAAAACTTATTTGTATAAATCAAACAAATTAGCAGTTTTTTCAATTCAAATGAGGAAAAATCCTTTACTTTCCATCCATTCTTATTTAAATAAAACAAGATAAAACAAAACAATTATACCTTCATATTATGCATTTAAAAGATTTAATGAGAGAGACAATATTGGTATATATAAATAAAACAAATGAGCAGTTTTAAAACAAAAAATAATTATACCTTAATTTTATTAAAAAATATTATCATAAATAATTAGTTATATCTTAAAGAAACATGTTCAAAATATGCCCTTGCTTCCCTTGATAGAAAGAAAAACCCTTTGAGATAATGAGGAGGAGAACAGTCAGTGGGGTTCCTGAATATGTCACCAGATCCTCCAGTGGCCTGAATGGTGAGTTGATCAATTATTTGTACAACTAGTGTAAATGAGCATAATCACCAGTTATTTTATTTTTCTTAACTATTAGTCAGCTGTGTTAGTCAGTAACTATGAGGTCAAAGGTCATTTGAACTTTGTACCCTATGTGAGACAAAACCATGGCATCCTACACAAGCATGAAGGAATCTGCCGGCTTTGTCTCTGTGTTAAAAATATTCCTCAGATAATCCTAACAGAATAGTTTCGACTTGCATGCACAGAATCCTGCCTGCAAATAGTGAGTCCATTTCACAAGTTTTCAATGAGGGTTGAGAGCAGGATTGAATGCATGTGTTCATGTGCATTCAAGAAACAAAACATACTGCTTAAAATGGCAGTTATGACACTGACCTTACATTCATCACGCTTGACACAAGTGACACTTTGGACTTGGTTGATTCAGTGTTTTCGGATTATAGTTGTTTGAAAGGGTTTTGAGAGGCCCTTCAGTGTCTGCGCTGTGCCCACCAAAGGTGTTTTACAGTTGCCTCAAAGGGTTTTGAGATAATTAAGCCACTTTTAACAATGTAAGAATGTCCTTGTATTAGATAGCAAATATTAATAAATAAAATATATATATTTAATTTAATTAATGCATTTATTTTAATGAAAAAGTTGCTCAAGTAACTGCTTTTCACAAAAATAAGTATATTTGGACTTTGTCAAATTAGTAGAACATATTAATTGTTAATGTGATGAACTGACTTCATGCAGACAGACACTACAGTCAATTATGGGTTAAGCATCCAAACAATTTTCAGAACTGCTTTACCCAATCTTTTGTGTCAAAATTAGGGCTGTCAAACGATTAATCGTGATTAATCGCATCCAAAATAAAAGTTTGTGTTTACATAATATATGTGGGTGCACTGTGTATAATTATTTTGTATGTATATACTGTATATATATATACACACACACACACACACACACACACATGTATGTATATTTAAGAAAAAAATATTATTTATATATAAAATATTTATATTTATATATAATATAAATTATATATAAATCTATATAAAGTACATACATGATAATTTTTCTTAAATATATACAAGCATGTGTGATGTGTGTGTATTTATATATATAAATTAATTATACACAGTGCACCCATTTATATTATGTAAACACTTTTATTTTGGATGTGATTAATCGCGATTAATCGTTTGACAGCCCTAGTCAAAATACACCCCAAGTTTGTTTATAGTCTTACCCACAATGCTTCTTCACAAGTGTACAACACAAAGAGCATACTAAAGCTTAATTGTATAGCTTAAACAGAACAGTGTCAGGATATTGCCTCAAATTTACTACAGGTTGTTTCAACCATTCATAAGTATTAATACTCACAAGTATATTTATGGTATTAGTCAGTGCCTTAATTATTTTGAGATGTATTAGCAAGCTCTGTAAAGTCACAGGGCATAACGTTTTTATTAGTGGTGTTCGGTTTTAGAATTTTTATATAAAGAGTTAAAAATAGAGACTCTTTTTGAACAATCACCCAAAAAGCCACTGAAATGTATTCACGTAAAAATGATTTCAGTACTTCTCAAACATCCTTTGGCATTAGGAAGCAAATGTAGGCTAATGTGGGAATTGTGCTCAAGGGGGTTCCCTGTACCCCAGTCACTTCCAGAACCACTGATTGACTCAGGCGTGTGGAATACCGCCCATGCTGCCTCCAAAATAGCAGGCTGGCCTCATCACGCTCCGCAGTGAGCAGTGATAAAAATCAGCTGTCACCCCTTAGAGAGGGACAGAGTGAGACAGGACTACTGCTACAGACAGCATTAGAGTCAGACCAACACAAGTCATCACCTGCGGATATACACAAGACTGAGGCTTTAAAGAGAGCAAGACCTGCTATCTGAAACCAGCAATTCAGTCTGTGAGTACAGTTATCAGTGTGGACAAAGGAAGCCTGTAAATTAATTATAGAAATGAAAATCTTATAGTACAAACATAATATATTAAAGGGATAAAATAGCATACACTTTAGTTGGTTTGTGAATTTTTACTTTATTTAGCAGAACATAGTGATGGATTGTCATGTATATGACTCAAAATGATGCCTGTGAGTTTCAAAATGATCAAATTATGTTGAGCGACATGTCTTCAGATGTAATGATAATTACCTAAAATGTGTAATTATTAACCCAGAGTAAAGGAAATGAGAACAGTTACATATTTTTTAACAACATTGAACTACACACACACACACAACTGTTTAAAAGTTTGGGGTTTTATGTTCACCAAGGCTGCATTTATTTGTTTAAAAAATACAGTAAAACAGGAATTATGTTGCTATATTTTTACTGTTTTAAAATAACTGTTTTTTTGTTTTAATAATATATTTTAGAATATAATTTATTCCTGTGATACAAAGCTGAATTTTCAGCGTTACTTCAGGCTTCAGTGTCACATGATCCTTCAGAAATCATCCTAATAAGCTGATTTGATGCTCATGATACATTTATTATTATAATCAATGTTGAAAACAGTTGAGCTTCTTCATATTTTAGAAATTTTAAAAATATATCATTTATACAGTAGTGATAATAATTGATGTCCGGAGGGGATATTCGTTTTTTTATGACACTACAAGTTCAAGTAAATTTTAATCATATTTAAATAAAGGGTGAATATTTTTCCCAGGCCGGACATCACTATTAGCCGCTAAAAATATAAAAGTATTTACTGTCATTTTACTGTTACTTTTGATCAATATGATCCATCCTTGCTGAATAAAAGTATTAATTTAGTTCTTTTTTTTAAATCTTACCAACCCTAAACATTTGAACGGAAGTGTATACAACACCTGAAATCACCTTGTTGAATATGCAGTGGCTAACATCGTGACCGACACAAGTGCAGCTAAACATGCCTTGGTTGAAACTGCACTATTTTAAGCAGTGCTTTTAAGTTGTTGTGTCTTTAACAAGACATTTGTGTGCTCACAGGAAACTAAGGAAGGCAGCTGACGAGAATAAATACCAAGTGCATATCACAATAATTTGGACAGCTGTCAGCAGCACAAAAGCACTCACATTCTAGGACACTAATAGCTGTGCCCTCCCTCCATGATGGGGGGCTGGTCTCTGTGAAACTTTCATTCAGCTGATATGTCAGCTGAATGAAAATTCTTTGAAATACATATCTAAGATATTAAATGAATTGTATCACAGATGTAAATTAATGTTTAGATCATTTGACCCAAAATAAATCATTATACAAGGAAGCAGGCAGAGATGAGCACTGTTTACGACTCCACACAGGCCTTTGATCATGTCCATATCTATACATAACAACTCCTGAACTACACCTTTTATGTCAGATTAGGCTTAAAGAAAATGCAAGCAGGCACTTTTATCACATGACAGTGTCACAAAGATCAAGCCAAACACAGTGCAGTAAACAGTACTCAGTATAAATCCTTAACAGTAAACAGTATAAATCAATGTTGCGTGTAGCCGCGGCTGCTTTATAAAATGAAACATTTGTTTTCTTAGTAATTCGACGAGATGCTCCAGTTCTGTTCTTTACAAATCGGAGAGTACAATATTTAGACTCACTCTTCTAAACAGTAACGTCTAGCTAGACCTCGGTATTGTATGGCCCTGTTATTCTCTGTGCTCATCCAGCTATGCAAACGTTTTAAGCCCCGACTCGTGAGTGGCGCCAGTGATGGGCCCTGTCCTTTTGTCCCATGAGAGCTTACAGAGTGAAAAACAGAGGTATGCTTGAATATAATCATTAGTTACAGCTGACAGACCTGTGCTGCCTCCAGTGCTCCTGGCCTCAGAGGGAAGGCTTTTGTTTTGATCATGCCTACTGCAGCTTTACAATAATCTAATGTGCCATGTCTTCTTTTGCTGCTCCAAAACGAAATTACATCACATATTGTCATAAATAATATATGATACTCTAAGTCAGCATTCAGAAACAATAAGACTCCTCTCAACCAAACAGATTTTTATTGTTTGCTAACTAATAAACTTTAGGTATTAGCTAAATAATCAATTTCTTTCATATTCTGAATCTGATCATTTGCTTTCTTGATATACAATACTATAATTTGGTGACCATTTTAAAACCATGCTAGCAAAATACAATTCCCAAGGTAAAAAGCCTAAGGTAGAAACATGAATCACTGTTATTAATTTAGATGTCATGCTTAGAAATACGATCAATAGTACATCCTACGCTATCTCACCACCAATTCGTACGAGTGCTTCAAAAGTGGCTAATTCGTACTAATTCATACGACCTCACTCATACAAATTCGTACGATTTGTCTAAACCCACGTAACGGTTATGTTTAGGGGCGGGGTCAGGGGTAGGTCATTCGTACGAATTCATATGATTTGGCTAATTCGTAAAATATGTACGATTTAGCAAAACAAATTAGCGAATTAGCCACCTCGTAAAATTCATACAAATTCCCATGAGATCGGGTTGGTACATCTGAGAACAGACAACAACTGTTGCCTAATAAGTGTAATTTTTAAAAATGCATTAAAAAAATTCTTGAAATTAGACAGTCTTACACAAACATATAGCCAACTATGTGTGGAGCTGAATAGTTTCCATAGGTCCTTGAGGTATAATAATAACCCACAGATAAAAGCATACCAACACCAGCTCCAGTCTATTTATACACGCCACTATCAGAGCCATTAGATGGCCAAGGAACTGGGTCAGGTCAATCTGGTCTTATTTCGAGTCTACTTCTGAATTATTATTGAACATTTTATGCTTATGTTCACAAAATTATGTTTTAAAAAATGCTTTAGCAACATGCCACAGATATTTTTGCCTCTGTTTCTGACGCATTTAATTTGCATACATACGTCACAAACAGCTGTAATTAAAATGTTTAAAACACATTCAAAATTTTAAGTCTACAAAATGCAGTTAATATATAATGCATGCTAATAAATAACAAACAAATAAAGCAAATGTTTCCAAAATTTTCATTCACCAGCGAATACCAAATCAAACGTCAACTACTATCAAAAATTTCAAAAACATACACCATAATCAATAAACTAACAATTAATGATATACATTTATTTAAACAACTCCAACCAGTTGTGTATGCAATAAGTGAGTCACTGCCATTTTTAGTTTATAAATAGTTTCTGATTTTAGTTTTGTTTAACTATATTTGTGTCTTATGTGAATTAGATGAGAGGAGACGTTTAAAAAAAGACCAGAGACCATCTGCCTCCTATCTAGAGCACAAAAAGAAGTACACCTCCTCTCATATCCAGAGCGTGAAGGATAGATCAGCCCTTTACCTCTCAAAGGTAGCAGCTGCAGACTCCTCAGGGTCCATCGAACAGCAAGTGAGTGCTCATTGCATCCGTCATATCACTCATAGCACACAGGCATCTGTAAGGTCAAGTTCTCAGACTGAATCACTCGCATGCACACAATGCCGAAAAGTCTGGTCCACACTCATTTTACATTAAGTCTTCTGGTGGCCAGTGTTTTCCTCAGTCACTGAATAAGTAATGTGTCGTGAAAAACAGCTCCATGCAAATAAAATCTTACGTTTTCTATGAAAAATGAGTAGGAATAATTAATCATGCTTCTTTTTCAGGGCAGTGTGGTCCAAGAACACCTGATCACAAGCGGAAAGAAGAAAAAACAAAGCAAGGTATGAAAAAAAACAAAACTTTTTTTGCTAACTTTCTAAGTCTGCTGTGTGACTAATGACTAATGCTAATAGGTGCTGTGTGACTAATTTAGAAACAAATATAATAAAGATACTCTTTGTGACAAAAAAGTGTAAAAAGTGTTTTATTACCATGTTTCCAAACAAACAGGGTAATACATTTACATTATTAAAATAACCACATTGAATTCAGATTCACAAACTTGGTAAGTAATGTGGTAAATATGTAGTCTTGTTAATGACAAGGTTTGTGATACAATGAAAGTAAAGTATAGGAGGTAAAATTCAGCAACCATATATTCTTAACATAGGAGGTAAAATCCCGTAAACATATTGACAATTAGTAGTGTTTTTGAAATTTCTTCAAATTTAGATCAACATAAAAATCCCAATAAATTGTAAGATATTTCTGCATGTCGTTGGCATTGTAGTTGGATTTTGGTTACAATGAATAATACTCTAGAAATATTCTTGTTACTATTCTCTCAAGTTTTTTCACCAAATTGTTTGGAAATGTGAAACTTCACTTGTTATTGAGCGTTAATTTTCAACTAACAAGGCTGAAAACCATGAATGAAGTCAAACCTCACATGAATAGGTGTGCAGTGCAACTATTCCCTACTAAACACAGAAAAAGGTATGGCTTTTAAGTTTAAAATACTAACTTTTTTAAACTAAGAGTTTACTATTATGACCATTTATTTAATTGCATTGTGGAGAGTAACTTGAGCCTTCATACTTCTTCTTTGCATCCAAGATGGCAGAAGTAGCCAAACAGATAAAAGTGACCGATGCAGCCAGTGGAGATGACGATTTCCCTCCCCCTCCACCTCCTCTACCAAGACCTCAGGTTCTGGAGTCACTTCAAAAGGATCTAAGCCAAAACTTACTCCCCGTACCACCTCCAAAAGAAACCTTCTCAGAGTTCTACCAGCAACGGCAAAAAAATGAACTGAAGCGTATTTTTAAACACATTCATCCTGAATTGAAGATGAATCTTGATGATGTTGTAGATGATGAACTAATTGATGCAATAAATCCCCAATCAGTAGATGCGGCATATCAGGGGGAAGTCCAGTCCATGCGCTGGATATTTGAAAACTGGACTCTTGACAATATTGGAGACCCGCATGAAACAAAAAAATTACTTGATGAAGAAAATCCTCAAGGTGGGGATGTGAGGAGCAAATCCTCACTGTTTGAGCATTCAGTGTTTGATGGTCAACACACAACAGCTGATGAGAGACCAGGTGTAGTCAAAGGAGATGTTCGCACAGCAACCTGGTTGTTTGAGACACAGCCTCTAGACTCAATCAGTAAGTCAAAGATGGATGATGAGGAAATAGTGGAGGTCGTACTGAAGGAACCTGTTCAGAAGGGAGACGTTAGAGGTGCACGTCTCCTGTTTGAATCCAAACCATTGGACGCTTTGGGCCGTTGTTGCTCTGTTGAAGACCAACACTTCCTAATGCTCAAATCAGAACTCCATGAGAATAAAGGAGATGTGAAGAAAACCGTCAAACTCTTTCAAGCAGATCCCTGTTGTGCACTTAGGGATAGTAGTGGCAAAATCCATGAAATCAAATCAATCTGTAGAGAAGAAATTCAAAGCAGTGACTTTAAAACAGCACGTTGGCTTTTTGAAACTCAACCTTTAGACCACATTAATAAAGGAGCTAGTGTGCAGATCATTCGGGGAATCTCACTTGAGGAAGCCCAGAAAGGTGGTGTTGATCAGAAGAAATGGATGTTCGAGACACAACCACTAGATGCAATTCATGAAGGTCTTGTGGAAGAACAAAATTTCAAAGGAACAGTGGAGGACATCGCTGGGGAAGCAGATGTTCACAAACTAAAACAGCCTCTGTCATCTCTTAAAGGAGAGTCTGTGGGTGAAGTTTCAGAGAAGGAGGCAATTATTGGAGGAAATGTAGGATCCACCCTATGGCTTTTTGAAACTCAGCCCATGGACACTCTGAAAGACAGTTATGAGGTAGGGCATCTCCAGAAAGTTGTGGTGTCAAGTGATGAAAAAGGAGAAGTTAAAGACAAAAAGCTGCAGTTTGAGAAATCCAGTGTTGGTAAAACAACAGGTGATAGTGGAAACAAAGTTCAAAATGATGAGAAAGGAGATGTGAAGACTTTCAAAGACCTTTTTGAAACATTACCTCTCAGTCATATATCTGTGAAAGCACAGAGTCAAATCCACGACATTGCAGCTGGGGATGTCAAAGGCAACCGTTCACTGTTTGAAACCACACCATTGTATGCAATTAAAGACTGTGCTGGAAATTTCCATGAGGTTACGACTGTCAGTAGAGAAGAGTGCATAAAAGGAAATGTACAGAATTACAAATGGATGTTTGAGACAAGACCCTTAGACCAATTTGAAGAATGTAGTGGACAAGTAGAGCTCATCAAGGGCATTACAAGGCAAGAGGACATGACAGGTGACGTGAGGACAGCTAAATGGATGTTTGAAACACAACCTTTGGATTGCATAAATTTAAAGAGTGAGAAAGAAGCAAACTCAACAGTACCAACAGAAGAATTTCAAAAGGGTAATGTGAAGACATGCAAATGGCTGTTTGAGACACAACCAATGGACATTTTGTATGAGAAAACAGAAAAGAACCAGGATGTAGAACCAGTTCCAAAAGCTGATGTGAAGTCGCACACTTGGCTTTTTGAAACACAGCCATTGGATAACATTAAAGACAAGGAGGACTTCAGTTTGAAATTGTGCAGTACTGTGCAGGAAGACATAAAAAGTGATGTGAATGTGAAGACAGTGAAACACCTGTTTGAAACCGAGACTCTGGACAGAATAACAAAGCAAACAGATTCTGGCCAAAATGTAAGATATGTCAGTCAAGTGGATGTCCAGTCTGGAGATGTCTCACGTGTCAAGGAAATCTTTGAATCCAAGTCACTTCATGAAATAGGAAGTGAATCCATCAAAGTGTCTGAGGAGAAGAAAAACGAAATTCAGTCAGGATCGGTCCACAAATTCACTTGGCTGTTTGAGAATCAGCCTATCAGCAACATTAATGTGAAAGACGACAGAATAACTCACAGTGTCAGTGATTTTGAGGGTGGTGATGTTGGAAGCAAGAAGTTTATTTTCGAAACTTTCTCTCTGGACAAAATCCAGGATAAAGACGAACTACTCGAACACCAGTCAATGAGTGTTGAAAAGCCCATGAACATTAGCGGTAACGTTAATTCCAGCACAATGCTTTTTGAATCACAGCCGTTATATGCCATAAGAGACAAGGACGGACAGTTTCATGAAGTTACCACTGTAAAGAAAGAGGAACTGATGAGAGGAGATGTCAGGGGCGCGAGGTGGATGTTTGAAACCAAGCCACTGGATACCATTCAAGCAGACAAAGAAATCTACGTCATCCGTGCAGTTACACAGGAGGATGTGTGCAAGGGGGATGTGAAATCAGCACGCTGGAAGTTTGAGACTCAGCCTCTTGACTCCTTTGAAGGACGAGAAGGGCCCTCAGTGAGGGTTGTTGAAGATTTAAGCAATGGGAACAGTGTGCAACAAAGCAAGCAACTTTTTGAGACTGAGCAAGCTGCCCAAAAAAAGTATGTGCGAATGGTGAGCGTTACAGACGTTCAACAAGGTGATGTACGTACCTCAACCTGGCTGTTTGAGAACCAACCTTTTGATACTCTTAAAGGTGAGCCAGATGAGCAGAATGCCTTGACAACTGTACATCGAGAGGACAATGCAAAGGGAGATGTGAAACGCTGCACTTGGTTATTTGAATCACAGCCCTTGGATAAAATAAAGATCGATGAATCAACTGATTCATCAAAGGAAGAGTTTGTTTCATCCAAGGAAGAAATCCCCAAGGCAGATGTCAAAAGCACAACATGGTTATTTGAGACCACACCACTGGACAAAATCACTGTGGAGAGTGTGACAGACACACTCTATCGCCTTTGCCATTATTCATTTATTCATTCAGGTGGAATCATCATCCAGGCAAATGATTATAAGTATGTGAACATGGCAAAATATCAAATTGTGAACAATGAGGAGACCAAAGTTCAAAAGGAGGAAGTTGTTGAGGGAAACATCAGGAACATAATGCTGCAGTTATTGTTCAAACCAAACCTGAAACCTAAAGTTGTTCTAATTAAAGAGGATGAACAAGGCAAGATGCACAGCACAGTGCTTGAAATCCCATTTCAACAGCCTGGATGTGCAACTAACCTTGAGGCAGAGTGCAAGACCCAAGAAGCAGTTAAAATCATTGAGAGCTTGCTGGTTCAACAAAAAACAATCAAGACAGGCCTGGTGGTGCAAGAATCGGAAGGTGGGCAGCCAGAGATGACCGTGTATTCCCTCCACTGTCAAAGCAGCCTGACTGAGTCACACAACATCGCACGAGGAGATGTCAAGTCCACTATTGGCAACCTCCTTGCCACAGCTCACAACCAGCAGACAAAACCATTTTGCAGACTGGAACAAAATGAAAGGGGGAATGTTGGTCTGTATCGAAGCTGCATTGAAAAGGGCGACCTTAAGAGTCTACAGCGAGATCTTTCTGAGGAGGAACCAGCAGCCTCCTGTATAGACCAAATTGAAATTGTTCAAGGTGATGTAAAGGAAGCAAAGCGACACCTAAATCAACAAAGAGAACAAGCTGAAAGAACAATCTCGGATGTTGTACCAGGAGATGTTAAGAATGCAAAAAAGGTTTTCTTAGGGGTCTGCACAGACCCGGATGTTGGAAACTGCGTGTCAAGGGAGGAGATCATCAAAGGTGATATTTTGTCGGCCATGCAGCAACTTGATGAGGCAGTCAAGCAGCAAGTTGTGATCCAGAAAGAGGAAATTGTTTCTGGGGACATTAAGGCAACGCTTGAATCCTTGGAGCGGGCAAAACAACAAAGTTTGCACATGGAGCGTGAGGTCGTCAAACCAGGCACCATTTATGATCTGAATATAGAGGTAGAAGAAATGTGCTCAGAAGAAAATGATAGGACACTAATTAAGGAGGAAATCATTTCAGGGGATATTAAGGCTGCCAAAAGGTCCTTGGAGAAAGCAAAGAACCAAAGCATGAGTGTAGAACGACAACATGTCACTCCTGGAAAGCTGTGTAATCTAAATGGATCATCTCAGTCTCAAAGCAACACAACAGTGGATCAGTCTACAACATCCTCCTTGAGTAACCAGCGGATTACAACAACATTTCGAAAGGTTAGTGACATAGAAAATGATCAGGGATCCACTGAAACAGTTTGTTGTCAGAATAAAGTGGGAGGGAGAAATAATATAATAGATGTTAGTATAGAAAATGGCTCAACAGTGCTAGATAAAACTCTTCAGGTTTCAGAGTTAGAGCCAGGTGTTGTTAAAGGTAATGTGAAGGCTGCTATACAGTCTTTAAGAAGTGCTGCTGTAGAGCTGAGAAATGTAGACAGAGAGCAAGTTGTTGGAGGTAATATGCAAGAGACACTCCAGTCTCTCGAGAGATCTAGCATAAATATTTCTAAAGGAGATTACAAGGCAGCAATGTTATATAGACAATCTGGACAGACACAAAGCAAGATGACAAATGACTCAGAGACTAAATGCAAGCAGAGTTTTGATAATTTACCTTCATCTGATACTCAATTGTCTTCTTCGGTTTCAGTGATTGGAAGTGAGCCTCTGATCATCTCGGCAGTCAATTCAGAATCTGTTAACTCAAGCATGGACAATTCAAAGCTCTCTTGCACTTTTGCAGAAAAAGATAATAATCCACCACCCATCCCTCCAAAAACTGGCCATCAGGTTCAAAATCAGAAGCCAGTTATTCCACCAAAGCCATTGCACATCACCACCAGCTCCGAACATATTGCAGAAAAATCTCAAATTTGTCCAAGCTCACCTGATTGTCTAATTAATAAGCAGACTCCAACAATCCCACCCAAAGTGATTGCCAGCAAGAAAACGTTTTTGCATAAAAAAGAAACCACAGAAACTTCAAACAAAGTTAATGATAGGCAATGCAACATTCATGACCCAGTTCAAAGGACAAATTTCACAGACCCAGAGGGTTTTCAGAAGATGCAGTACACTGAGCAATGGGTTAAAAATTCCCACATGCAGCACATGGACACTCCATCAGTCAGCGAAACTCATGATGAAGGTTCCTTTGCTTCGAATAGAATAGGAATGGAGAAAAATGTGATTCAGAGGATAAATGCTGCAGAAGAGATTAGGATGTGTATTCAGAGTTATTCAAAGGACAATGACGAACTAAACAATGGGTTTAAGATTGCACTTCAGAACTTCGGGGAAAAGAAAACAACTATGGACACAACCCCAACTTTCTCAAAGAAAATTAAAGTTGTGCAAAACAAAACCATACAGGATCAGGCTAAAACTTTCAAAGAGAACACAAATAAAGTTGAGTTACACTTCGCCTGCAAAGACACCCCTTCAACACCTGAAAAACATGAAGTTCCTTCAAAGTACAATCAAACCATCAAAGAGCACAATGATTCTGAGAACAAAGTTGTTTTTAGAGAAAAGAAAGCAAGGAGAGAGACAGAAGATGAGCGCCACCAGAGGCTGTCCGTCCACAAAGACGAGATCATGAGGGGCAATGTAAAAGCAGCCATGGAGATATTTGAAAACCTTATGAGACGAGAAGAGCTTAAGATCATTTTGTCAAAAGTTCAAGAAATAGAGGGGGAGACCTGTGAGGTGGATGTTAAATCTCTGAAGACTTTGTTTGAGAATGTGCCTGCTTGGATTACTAATCCAATAAAAAATATGAAATGCAGACATTTGCCAAGAGCTGGCACAGAAACGGAAGGCTTAAGAGATGATGTAGAGAGCATATCCTCCGTTGAGGCTGCATTTGAAGACCTAGAGAAAGCAAGCATGGACATCATCAATTTGAAAGAACAGACATTGGCTAAACTCTTGGACATAGAGGAGGCAATAAAAAAAGCTCTTTACTCTGTCTCAAATTTAAAGTCAGAGGCAGACATTGCAGGGTTGTCAGGTCTGTTTAGTGAATCCTTAAATGTTGATAATGTCTCTCCAAGTACTAAAAACATTAGGAAAATTAGCATTGTGTCCAGCAAAGCAAAACCTCTGCAACCTAAACAGGCACAGAGCAGTGATAACAGGGGTCTGGCCAAAGCACCACATGTACATCAAGTTCAAATGGGAAAAGCATGCTCAAATATCCCCTCCTCTCCTTCATTTATTTCTATTCATTCTGCTGCAAGAAAACCCATGGAGTCACCCACATCATCACAGCCTCTCTTAGACAAATCAAAAGCAAATGACCAACCTAATGCAGTTAGCGGCATCACACAGTCCTTCCCTGAGAAAATCTCGGTCAGCCACGTCTGTAGCCCTCCAAGTCCTAGAAGGAAAGTCAGCGTTCTTGAAGTACAGCGAGTTCCTGAGGTTGCAAGTGGAATCATTGGTACTAAAACTGTCAGTGAGAAATATGAAGAGATAGACTGCTTTGGGAATACTTACTTTTCCTCCAAAAGATCTACATTTGTAACCAGGCAGTCAGAGACAGAATTATCTTCCTCACATGGTGTAGTTACCAATTCAGGGAGGTATGAAGGAATGACTTCACCTGTTTTGCAAAGGTCTGGCCAGACCTTCTCCTCTAATTCTCCGTGTAAAAGCAAAGACAGAAAAGTGTTTGTAACTTTCGGCCATCCCAACACAGAAAAACATTAACCAAGCTGCCGATTCTTTTTGTAACAATATTTTTGATGTCATTTTTATTTCCATATTTCTATTTAAAATACATTTATATTAGATTTATTGGTCCTATTTGTGGGTATAAAATAAACGGTTTTATTGTGGTGCTTTGTTTAAGAGAATTTTTTGTACGGTTGCAATTAGGTGTTAGTGTTAAATATTCGTGTTTGTTTCAAAAACTGTATATTATATAAAATAAAATACTTACAAATTAGTATTTGTTTATTATTTTCTTAACAGTTAGACTGAACTCTCTGACTATCATATCTTTAAAATGGCATTATATAACAATTCTGACTTTTTTTTTCAAGGAAGATCTTCATAATGCGTATTTCATACATAACAACTCATATTGCATGTATGTCTATATTGTTGTCATAGTTCCTGTCACCTGCTAAAGAGATGTGCTCTGCATGCCTGATGCCAGTTTACCCAATGGAGAAAATGGTGGCAGATAAACTAATTCTACATAATAACTGTTTCTGCTGCAAACACTGTAATAAAAAGCTAAGGTGAGAGAAATTTAGAAATCAGTTTCAAGACATGGTTACAAAATAATCATTAGTGTAATTCTGGAATCTGTGATTCATAATGAGAAATGCATGTGCTATTAAAATATGTAATCTATTTGATATAATTTATACTGGATATGTAATTGAATTTATCCAATCACAAATCAAAAATGATAAGACTTGATTCCCTGGGAATATTTTATTTCACAGTAAATACTTTAACAATGAGTCTTCATGGGTGTACTATTATTTATTACAGCATTCACAATTACTCTGCTCTTTATGGAGAGTTCTACTGCACATACCATTACCAACAGTTGTTTAAGAAAAAGGGCAACTATGATGAGGGTTTTGGCCATAGACAACACAAAGACCGCTGGCTTGCTAAAACAGAGGAACCTAAACCTACTAACAAGTTCAGCTCAGCACGTAACACAGAGCCTACATGTGTTGATGGTCCTCTGGGGTCATTTACAGGAGCTTCATCTCCACAGAAAAGACACAGAGATGCTCAATTCAAAATTCCTAACATCAAGAACAAGCTGACCGTTAGCTGGCCACCGGAAAACAAGTGGACCAGACAACACCCAGTTTCACAAAGTACTTACTTAGCCTCAAGAAAGACAACAGACTGGTCGAATGTAGACCATTCTTCTGCCAGAAGCTCCAGAAATGCTCTTGAAAAGAAAAGGTTTAATTCTGGGTTGGATGAAATGGACAAATCAGTTCAGCTGTCACCTCGAAATTATGAGAAGACAAACACATACTTATCTCCCTACACAATTAAAGGTGAGGTTAAAACACCACATTCAGAGCCTGTTTATACACCTCATCCAGGTTCAAAAACATTACAGAAGACTGCAGATACATGTGCCCAATCGAGAACACAAAGCAAAGTTTCAAAAGGAGGGACAGTGACAAGCAAAGACTTGAATTCTTTTACCTCAAGACCAGATTCTGTGAGAGAACCCAGTTTGGCTGAAGATGGGAGAGTTTATAGCCCAACTAAAATAAAAAAGTCTGTCCGATTTGCTTCGAATTTAAATACAGATGGGGAAAATAACACAGAGTTCAGCAATGATGAAGTTGAAATCTCCACTGAGGCATTTGTTGAAACTGCAGTTGTCAATGCTGATGTTATGACAGCAAAGAGAGATGTGACGCCTTTAAAATCAGGAATAGAAATAGAGGATTCACCCGAGGAATGTTTAATAGATACAGTGCACAACTTATATGGCAGTGATTCTGTCGAACATCCCAAAGCTTTGGGCGGACAAATGCAGGATCCTTTTCTTCAGACTACAGTAACAGAAGAAAGCATCTCATCTGTGCCAAGAAATTTAGATGATGCAACAGAGCCAGATGAGGCAATTACAACCAAGATCAAAGAACTGCAGGTAAATGACATCACTACATGTGGTACAGAAACATTCAAACCAAATAGTGAATCATGTGATTTGGAGCATGTTGCAGAAATAATTAATGAGGATGTTACTGAGACTAAGGCCAATGTTACAACCTCCAAAAAGCAAGAACCCACAGACATAATTAAAGATGAATCTAAAGACCTTGATATGTTGAATTTGCCTCCAAAATCTGAAGATAAAAGCAACACAAAGGTTGGTGACAAAAAGGCCATGGATAAAGGGAATAAAGGGTCTTGGTCTAAAGGTAAAAGCCCACTTTCCAAACTCTTCACATCTGGCCCAAATAAGAAAGAGAGCAAAAGTGAGCCAAAAACAGAAAGCAAAAGACCCGATATCAAACCTAGAAATTTACTGAGCAGACTCTTTTCGGCTACTGAAACTGAGTCGGAAATAAAGAAAACACCAGAAATCAAAACAGACACTACATGTGAGGAGTCAGAGAAAATCGTCGGGACAGAAGATGGAGTAAACGCTGCATTGGTTCAGGATACTTTTTCTGTATCTCTTCCTCTGACAGAGACCATCTCTCAAAATAAACCTCAAGAGACCATGAAACCAACACAAAACCCACTAAGTGATGCTCCAGAAGAATTTAATCCAACCGAGAGCTCTCAAAATCCCATCCTATTGCCTAATAATGGCTTTGCTGATGAGACGGTGCCATCAATAGACCTTGATCAAACTGAGCCTGCTTCTGGTGGTTTAGGGGAGATTGAAACCAATGAGGCACTTATTTCCTCACAAGAACACATTCATGTAGATCTCACCTCTCCAGACTCGTTAAAACCATCAGGTCTTGAGGAGAGCCTAGATCCACCCAGAGAAGCATTCAGTCAAATAAGTGCCAATCCATTCCCAGATGACTTTGAAATTGCTATTAATGGCCCAAGCACAAATCCCTTCAGTGTGGAGACAATGCAAAGAACCGAGGACTCCTTTTTGCCTCAGAATGAAGACACCTCTGGTTTTCTTGATACATCTGATGCATTCACATCTCAAGTCATGAGCACTAGCACAGATGACATGTCTTTTCCAGATTATACAAACAGTGGCACATTGACGGACATTGAGAATTTTGAAACACCATCAATTGATATAGGGAGCTCTTTTATTGAAGGACACCCATTTGGAGAAAAAATACAAGGAGAAACAGAAGATTCAATTCAAAAACCTTCAATGAATTTGAACGAAGAAACTCTAGATATTTTTGGTTCATCCGATTCAAATATTGAGGTAAACTCAGTTGGAAACACCTTGACTGAAATCCACAAGAATGAAGCCAGTGTTTCCTCAGGAATGACTGATGATCCCTTTGGTAAGGACAATTTATCAGTACAAGCAGTGGATATCTTTGGAGGAGACAATATGCTCACTGTCTCTGATCAAATGTCCACAAATAATTTCTTTGATATCATGACAAACAGCAAGTCTCAAAGTCAAAACCCTTTTGAGGGAATTACAGATGGTCAACTGGGACCAAATGGAGTTTTTGACTTGATAAGTTCTGAAGATGACTCATCAACAAAGAAAAGGTATGAAATAATTCAAAGTGAGGTTAATGTTGTTTTCGAAAGTAAAGGCAATCCATCAACCTCTAATGTACTTGATCAAAACCTTTCCGGCCAAGATCTAATTGAGTCATCTCAAACAGAGGATTTTGATTTCTTCAGCTCTGAGCAAGATCCACCCAGAGCAGCATTCAGTCAAATAAGTGCCGATCCATTCCCAGATGACATCTTTGCAAGTGGTATTAATGGCCCAAGCACAAATACATTCAGTGTGGAGACAATGCAAAGAACTGCAAACCCATTTGACGATTTCACCGGTTTAGAGAGTGAAGGTGAGGCTGCAGAGACACAAGCAAGCAACTTATTTCCAGATGACATATTCTCAACTATTCCTGCCATTTCTTTAGAACCAGCACAGGACACTTCCACCCTGATAGATCCAACAAACACTGATACAAATGGTGTGCAGCCACAAAAGCTTGAAAATGATTGGATGTCTGACCTTTTGGGGTAGTATCGTTGCCACAGTTCAGAGAAAATATAAAAATATTTCAATTAAATAAGCAGTTATATTGATTTGCCTTTGCTGTACTATTCTGTACAATTCACAAACATTACATTTGATTGATTGATTGATTGACTGATTCATTAATCAATGTGTATTTAAGTTAAAGTATTCATGTATAATGTGCTATAACTTTTATTCTAAATAATCAATCAATGTATATTAAGTTAACATGTCAATAATTAATGTGGGGTTACTTTAAAAAAAATGTAGATACACAAAATGAAGTATTTGCCAATTACTGCATTGTGATTCTACAAAAGTTGTTCAGTTAAATCAGTCTCAGATTACTTTTATTTTATCAAGCAACCTGTTTTTATGACTATAGTCCTGTTTTTATGACTATAGTTATATAGGGATATGACTATCCCTGTAGTCATATAATCTATATATATATTTGTGCACAAACTGTTAATGTTGATCATAAAACAATGTATTAACTGTGTTCTTCAAAGACTAACTGGTCTTAATAAATAATAAAACAACAATTCACAAGAGGTTTATTGCATTTTGTTATTTTACAGTGCTAACAGAACATTAAATCTACAAATCTTTTTTCATAATGTTCGAATGTCAAATAAACTGCAGAAGTTGTAATAAAAATCTTTTATTTCTACATATCATTACACTGTAAACGGAACTTGCAAGACATTAAGAGGTTATAACTTGGTTGCTTGGATGTCTTCACAATCCCTAGTTGCAGGATTAGATACTTTTGGACTCCTTTGGGAAAATAGAGGTGAAATAGTGTTATTTCCCTTAGTAAAAACGTAACTGTAAATGTTAAATATATTTTAAAACAATATGTAACAAGACTTAACATGTAACTTGAATATTAAAGAGTAAATAAACAGATTTTAATACATGTGAGAATTGTAAAAGCAGTTTAGTCTGCAGCACTTCTCCATAATAAATTTTTACTAGTTGCATGGAAACATGAATGTACATGTACCTCAAGCCCTCTGCCGCCTCTGTGGAATCTGGCAGATCAGTTCTTCTGGTCTCGGGCAGCAGGAAAGCCATTATCCCACTTGCTAGCGCCAGGCTGCCAATCACCACAGTAGGGATAGTGAAGTGGTAGATCTCCAGCAGGTTCACCACAGGAGACAACATACTTGCGGCACGTGCAGCTGTGGAGCCCAGCCCCGTGGCAGTCTGACTGGAAATCAACAAGCGGATTATAATAAAACTGCATTAAAACAACACTCATTAATACCTGTAGAAAATGACACAGGCTCATGCCTACCGAATGGCGGTGGGGAACAGTTCTTGAAAATAAACGCTGCAAATACTGCCTGCTCCGTTCATGAGAAATCTTCCACATGTGGCAAGAGTAGCGATGGCGATGTAATTACCTTAATTAGAGAATCACACGGTTAAGTGCTGATTCATTGTATGTATGTAATAGCGTGTTACATATGGAAAACATTTTACTTTGTGGAACGGCAAGAGTCAGGAGACAGAGAACCCCCCCCACTATAAGAGCACCCATTAGAGACACTTTCCTTCCAGCTCTTTCCAATGACCATATGCAAAAGAAGTGGACAGGAATCTCAGAGGCGCCGAATATGAGTTGATTGAGAAAAATATCAAGGCCGAACTTCCCCACATTCAGAGAGAGGCTGTAGTACGCTAGATTTACAGCACACCTGAGTATCAACAGCAGAGTACAATTCATGTTTAAATATTAGTTCAAGAAAACACATTTCAAGCTAAAAAAAGTCAGAATATTAGCAATTCCATGAGAATCGACTCACCAAGCAAAGGTAATGGTTAAGAAATATTTCCTGAGCACACGGGAAGCAAAAAGCATTTTTATACCTCCTTTTTCAACAGGCTTTTCTTTTAGGACCTACATCAAATAACAAAAAGATGTTATCCACATTGTGTTATTTAGGAGAGATGGCTCTGTACTTTGTCTTGACATGTTAATTTTTCAAATATATGTTAACCGTCTCCAGTAATGAGTCAGGAACTGAACGTTTGTTGATATCTGCTGCCTTCTGAATGAGTATTTTCGCATCGGTAGTTTTTCCACGGCCAAGAAGCCATCTGGCAGACTCTGGAATAAACCTATATTGGTGTGCACATCTAATTATTTAATTCGCTCACAAATTCATCCAAATGTAAAGAAACATATACATATATACCATATGTAGACAACTACAAATCCAAGTGGGCCAGCCATTATAAATTGATCCATCCTCCAGTCCCTGACAAAATACACAATGGCAAGAAGCATGACCTGCCCCAAAGCGGCCAGGACTTGACTTAGGCATGCTGCATAGGATCTCTGAGCGACTCCAATCCACTCGGTGGCTACAGTGAGGATGAAAACATTGTGATAAACACATAGCTAAGCAATTAGGTCAAGTCTTTGTTACAGTCAAATAGCCAATACGTCTTACACAAGACCTACAAACTGGTTTGTTGTTGACACAAAGTTTAAAAATGTTCAGTTTCTTCTAAAGAGCCATCTGATGTGTTATTGTTATTGTATGAATTATTCAGTCCGCTGATAGCTAACATGATGTAAAGGTTGAAAACATCAATATTGTCTCATACCGAGGATAACGCTGTTGATCCGAAATCCTCCATAGGCGACACCATTAATGAACTGGGAGGCGAGGTACACATAAAAGTTTGGAGAGAGACCAGTCACGACTGTGAAGATAAGCATGAGCACCATTGGTATCTGTGTAGCTCGTTTGCGACCAAATCTTAAAAAAAAGACACACACACACGCAATAATTAATCACTAAAAATGAACGATGACATCATGAATCAAAGGAATTTGTTAGCTGAAGGCTGAATAGGTTATGCCACTTCATTTAGCATGTCCTTTAGATGGTGTAGCTTCAGAAATGTTTGCATCATGATTTACTATATAAAAAAATTTATACATTACTTATTTTTATTGTATAAAATGTGGATATTCATTTGCGCATTAGGCCTACATGATATTTACACTTTTTAAATATTGTTTACAGGGAGTTTTCTTTAGTTTTACCTTTCACTAAAAATATTTAGATATACGATTTCGATATATCTAAATATATATATATTTTTATATATATATATATATAAATATGTTTAGCGAAAGGTAAAACTCGCGCGAGACATCACTTCCGGCGTAACGTCTGGAGACGTTTCAGTTCGGTTCAGTTGGACATCTGATTCAGTTCGATGGCTGTCAACAAGAGGTAAAAACCTATATAAATACTGTTCGTTTTCTCACACTTTTCGTGTCTTAGGCCATCAGTGTGTAGGCTACTTACATTCACGAGTCATTAAATCATGTTTAATTTTGACTTCTCTGTGCATACTTTGAGGTGGACCCCCTAAAACTGCATTATATGACTGACAGACAACAACGGTTTGACCGAAAAATGTGAAAATTGAAAATGCTGTGGAAACAAAGACACCTACATCTTGGATGCCCTTGAGGTAAGCTAAAACATATCAAGAATTAATTTCAAAGTGAACTACCCCTTTAAACAGAATGCTATTTGAACACTAACAGTATAAGTATACATAGTTTATTAAAATTACTCTGTACTTATTTGTGTTATTAGTCCTACACTTTAACAAGGACACCTTGAAATTAAGTGTTTTCAATCTGAAGAGTTTGTCCAAATTTAATAACACGTTTTTAACACTTACGATTCTGAAAAAGGCCCAAAAAGTACAGCTCCAACTAGTACTCCAGCAAAGAATATTGTCTGTGCTCCCCGAAAGATATTTGTATTTTCACAAACAAGATCGAACTGCAAAAAAAAAAAATAAATAGGCTTTCTCCATTTAAACATCATATTGTTTTCTAAATCATTCATTTAAAAACATAGTAGTTAAATTGCATTGTGGTATGACCACAGTGAGCACATGAAGTTCATAACATCTGTTTTCAAATATACCGGTGACAAAACCCCAAGTTACTTACATCAGTAACAATGGTTGCATCATAAATAGTATCATTGTGCACCCATCCATCAGTGCAAGTGGTGGTTTCGTTTAGGCCATATTCCCATATAGCAGACAGATCCCAATCCATAGGCACAAACATCTGACAGGGATCGAAAGACCCATCTGGGAGCCTAGGCAGGGTCAAGTTCAGCTGCTCTTCCTTTGTCAGATTGGGACCCACCTGAAGGATCCAGTCAGTGTTGCAATGGTGGTTCGTGTCTGCATGGTTGAAGACCAGGCTGGACAACTGAAAAGGCAAAATGAGGTTTGGAAAGCACAAAGCAAATAAGAGCAGCTTTTGGAAAAGCCCAAAGTCTCCAATAGATTCTAAAATCTCCCCAAAATCAGCCATGGTGGTCCAGAAAAGAAACAACTAAAGAAGGCTGAAGTAACAAGTTATAATAGAAAAAGTTAATTAATGTTTAACTGCACAATCACGTGAGTGTATAGAACATAGAAAGTTGTATATAGAGAGCAATGGTCATATTTTTGATGTGAAAGTGTAATGGGTCAACATTCAAAGATATTTTGACACTGCTGATGCGACAAAACAAATGGACAGATTGTCAGACACACACAAATATGGATAGTAAGACCAAGTTAACATATTTGTGTCAAATCTGTTCAAGTTTTCAAAACAGACCAAAGGCAACTTTAGTACTTTGGTTCTAAAGTAAAAGCTAAAAAAAATAAAAATTGGTAATGTGTAACTCGACAATATAACAAGCAATAAACTGGATAAGTGCCACAAAGGGTTATTATGGATCATGAAGCACTTTAATGTTATTATGCAATTCATATTTATAGCATTTAGACATGTCAGCAGGGGCAAAAAAATTTCATTCTTTATTGATTATTAAAAATAATTGGGTACACATGCACAGAAAATCCCAAAAGGTGAAATACTATAATAGTAATTGTAACTATAAGACAGTAATACCTCCATTTCTTTTGTGTTGTGACAGTTCATTCCTTACAGTTCAATGAGAAAAACAAATCGAAAAGACACATTTTTAAAAACTGGAAACACTTAAATAGTAGGCAATCCCTCTTTGAAAGTCCTGCATACATGTGTTTGGATTGAAAATACAGCATCCCTCCAGAATGAGCTGAATGATGGAATGATATTAGACAACTTAGCTCAGCTCAACACAGAAACACCACTACAGCGAAAAGATATGAGCATGGAGAGATTAACACGATCTGATGTGTCAATCTCAAGATAAATCAGCTTATTTATCTTTAAGAATTCATACAAATGAGAAACAAGAATATTCTTTCAATTGACTTCCAATGCATTCCAGAAAAAGGCCAACCACTTGTGCACACATAAAAATAAATACTGTCATATCACTATGACGAAAGTGAGATAGAAAATGAGACAAGGACGCGTCTTACAATGGTTGAAGCTTTAGAGAATCATGAAAGGGCAGCATTTTTGACGGTCAAAGAAATTAAATCATTGCGTTCAGACTTTGACTTGAGTCTCCTTAAGGAATCTGAGCCAGCTTTAAAAAAAAACAAAAAAACAACAACAATTAAGGTGGCATGCCATTGTAATGAGTTGTGTCAACCATTTAAAACACACAAAATACACACAAGCATTCTTTTTAAGAATCCCACCAACCTGTCCAACAATAACAACCAAACAAAGACAGCAAGGCAGAAACCGAAATGCAGAAAAACAAAAATAGCCCCCGACTTGACATTTTATTTTTTTAACTACTCTCAAGTCTTGCTAACGTAATCTTTTAGAGGACATTTTCAGAAATGAAATCCTTTGAGGGAAGTGTCTTAGGACTGCGAACATGGAGAAGCCAACAACAAGACATAAGACAAACCACCGCATCGAGTCCATAGAAAGGCCAACTGTGAACGGCTTGTATACCGTTTATATTATATATAAACAACACCAATTTGATTATTTACATATTTTTTTTATCAAGTACTTAAGATGCCCCACCCACATTCATTGTTGTATTCACACTAAATACTTAAAAAATAATAATAATAATAATAGATCAACAGTCATTTGCACATACACGCATGTAAGAAAGTGACAGCAAATTAATCACTGACCATGTCTAAAATTAATCCGTTTTGAAACCACATTAAAATGAACTGTTTGTTGGAAGCCGAGGACAGAAATGAACTGGAAAAATTGGAAAATAAAATGGGGTGAAGTGTAGAATAATTATAATAATAAACCTAGTAAAAGTTCAGCAAAAAGGTATAAAAAAAACTGTTTTTGAAAGAGGATTAAATGCCAGTTGCATGTGAACACATTTCTGCCTATATATAAACATGGAATCAGACATCAGTCTACAGCTGAGACAAATGATATAAGCAAGTGTAATAGACCTAATATTTACAGACACACAAATTATATTGCCAATATCACTTAGACTGCATTAAAGTTTAGTTCGTTGCTGGTCAGTCCCAGTCTTCACTTCATCAACAGTGCTTGCAAGGCCAGCAATGTATCGAAAGTCATTTTTCTATACACATTACTGCAATTCATGACTCCATTCCCACTTTGATTTTCATGTGTCCTGTGCATTTAGATTTATATATAGTTTATAGATTCAGAAATGTTAAATTTTGTTCAAAATCTCAGATTGAATACAAGAATATTAAAACATTTTAAATGCCATCGATGATGCTATTAATTTACTACCTTGCAAGCACTGGAAAGTCCTTCAGTTTTTTATTTAAATCTAGTTTAACACTATTCAAACAGCTGCCACTATACTTAATAGATATGCATGTATGAAACCTGTAATGTAACAATATGCTCAATCCACAAAATGACATATAACCCTTTTCTAATATACTGTAAAGCCAAATGCACAATTTAAATTGTTTTCTGAAAGAACAGCATATTGGGAAATAGATCAATTTGATGAAAAACTCAATTTCTACTTCATGTTTTTTTCTTTTTCTTTTAAAGCTCATCATCTCATCTCTCTTGCACCTTGTTTTCATGGAGAGACCATTTGGAAAATTTAAATGAGCGCAAAATGACCAGCATATCTTAAGTCAAAAATCATTCATGCAGTCTGGCATTAGCCCATGCAAAACGATGGGAACGTATCCCGATAGTGAGACAGCAGCTGAAATGTGTAACTGTGAGGTGCAGTGCACAGGTGTAACAGTGAAGCATCATGTCTGAGTGACGTGGCTTCCGTGTTTACTGGTTAAAGTGTAAAAGCGCACAATGTTTATCGCTCCCAAATGACGGACCACATTGCAGATAGGTGTACTGAACAGCTGACTTTATAGGCGGTCCAACATGCACCCTTAAATGCTTTCGAAATGACAATGCTGCCCTAAACCCTCCATTGAGGTACACAGCTGCATGCACACACAGTCACTTATTCATTTCACAGATGAGATCCACAGCTACCTACAGTTGTAAATTCAGTAGTACTATCGAAAGTAAGGCAATCTTCTTTTGACATCTACCAGTATAAGGAGTTGGTTCAGATTGTGCAAACGTTTAAAGCAACGGAGAAAACAAAACATGGATGAATACTGTAAACATCAGAGGTGCGCTCCTGTGAAGAACGTGGATGCAATCCTATTCAACATTTGTTAATCCTATGTGGTGTCAGATTCCTTCTGTCTCTTTGGCAGTAGTGGTTTCTTTAGGCCAATGAAAGCATTTACAAAGTCTGGTTTTTTTTTGTTTTTTTTTATCCTGGTTGCTGGTAATACTGTTTTAACTTATACTCAGCTGAGCAAATCCCATGAGTTTAACGTCATCTGGAATTTCAGAGCTGTCCACTCCCGATGCCTAAACGGGAGAAAGATAAACAATGGCAAATATAAAACCTAGTAAATCAATCAGAACCGACCACTGCGCCACATAATAGAGTAGCTTACCAGCTTGAAAGTGACATTTTTGTTGGTTTGTGGATCATCAACGATTTTCTGCAAATTGGCTGCAACTAAAAAACAGAATAGATAAATTAAAAACACTTCTTATTTTCAACATTTGTATCTTTAGTGTCAAGGAGCAATTTTCATTCAAACTCACCAATAACTAAATCTCTTCCATCCACTAGTCCTGCAGACACAAGCTCTTGAGACACTCCGTCAGCTGTGTCTGGATAGAGAGGAATTAAAGGCGACACATTTCACTAGCTTTTTGATCAAGATTACAATTTGTCAATATATGTGAGATTAGAGATTAGGAGGAAGCAGACGGACACAAACCTCTCCCCGGCATGAACTCAAATCTGATATCGTTTAGCTCTTTCTTTGTGTTCCTGTTGCAAAACAAAATGCAAAAACTCAGGTTAACTAGTTCAAGAAGACATTTTGATTCAATTTTAGAATTGGAAAGCACAAGTATTTTATTTACTATTAAAGTATTTGTTAAAATTGTCCATTTAGAAAGGAAATAAGTAGTCCATGTGACATTAGTGGGTTAGTAAGAATTTTTTGAAGCATCGAAAATACATTTTGGTCCAAAAATAACAAAAACTATGACTTTATTCAGCATTGTATTGTCTTCCGGTTCTGTTGTCAATCCGAGTTCAGTGACGCTGCTGACGTGGTTTCTGGAGCATCGGTGTATTCGGGTTCAAATAAATATGGCTGGGCAAAAAAACGCAAGTCTTCCTCAGTGTCAAAATCCTTAGACATGAGATTGTATTGTGCGTCTCCCTCAGACTGTGAACGAAGCTTGCGAGCACCAGAGAACACGTCAGTAGCGTCTTACGTCACCAGTGTCACTGATCGCCGAATCTTTCTATTTTTGAGTGATGAACTGAAATATTTTTATTGCCATTTTAAAAAAGCAATTATACCAGTTTCATCCAAACATCTTACTACAAAGTTACTGGGATAACTGCTTGCATTTTTATATGATGTAAAAAGAATGAGTGTGCCAACACAGCCCAGTGGAACATCTTTACTAACTGTCCTCAAACGGTATGATTACCTCTACCTTGCTGATCCATTGATAGTCATTCATCAGGCACTATAATGATAAAATACCTTAATCTTAGGACCAGGCTGATGGGGATTTTGGCTGAGTCCTGCCCTGTCATAGTAGGTGCGCCAACAGCCTGTAGGGATACAATTTCAGTATCTTAATAAAAAATGTAACTAAATTATCCACAAGTTTCCGGGGGGCGCTCCTGTAAAAAATAAAGTGGGTGAAACTTCCGGTAAGGCGGCGGAAGTAGCATTCCAATGGTATTTTGTGTGTTAGTTAGCGAAGAGGCTAGCTGTTTTTCTGATAATTATTTTACTATTTAAAGACGCAAATCTTTATGAGAGATGTCGTTACGGAGCTCAGGGACAACATGTGCTGTTCGCGGTTGTATGTATAACCCAGGGGTGATAGTAGAAAAAAATCCTGAGCCTGAACTTTTTTCCCTGGGAGGTAAGCGGCCCCTAAGCCAAGAGATATATGCCCTGATCAACATTTGTTAAGCGGGATCCAGAAGTGTGCTCCCCTGGGAGAACATTTTGATGAATACAGGTAGTCCCTTAAATGATTCTGGTGACTTTTGTAGATATAAATGGACATCATTCAGACATGAAATGAACAAACCCAATACAAAGCCTATATTACAGTAGCATATTTGTGTAGAGCACCAGAGCTCCTGGGACCCTGGGTCTGTTATATTAATCCATCCCTGCTTTTAACTAGTCATTACCTGCGTACTTATTGCTTGTATAGTGTACTAAGACTTTACAACATCCATAAAGAAAGGTCAGAGCGTGGCAATTATAATTCTCCAAAGTAAACTAGGAATTCATTAGTAGCCTAACCATAGAAAATAAGGACGCTATGAACAAGGAGATATTCATTTTAATGCAAAATATGCACCATTTATTTTAATATATTTTTTAACAGTTACAGTTGCAACAAAACCCTATGTAATGTAACACTCAATTGTTTTATTTAAAACCATTGCTATTAAAGGTTAGTTCACCCAAAAATGAAAATTCTGTCAGTATTTACTCACCCTCATGTTGTTCCAAACCTCTATGTGTTTATTTGTTCTACTGAACACAAAAGAAGATATTTGGAAGAATGTTTCAATCAAACAGATCTCAATCCCCATTGACTACCATAATGAGATCTGTTTGATTAAAACATTCTTCCAGATATCTTCCTTTGTGTTCAGCAGAACAAATAAACACATAGAGGTTTGGAACAACATGAGGGTGAGTAAATACTGACAGAATTTTCATTTTTTGGGTGAACTAACCCTTTAGAGAATTATAATTGTCAATAATTTAAAGTGCTTCAAGAACTGAAAAACAGTGAGAAAATAAAAAATAATCAAATACAGTTTACTACAGAAAACTTTTTCAGCTTCTTTCCTTTTTTTGAACAGGTTTTGGGTTAGCAGAACCTTTTCTTTTCAACATGTTTGGTGACGGTGCCGATGATGCTTTGGATTGGCCATGAAAGAGAGGGAAAAAACGTGTTGGTAAAGAGGATGTGGTGGCTGATTCAGAGGAGGTTGTAGCTGGTGCAAAAAGATGTCTGTCTAGTGAAGAGGAGGCTGTGCCAAATGGAGGACATCTGGCTTGTCCAGAGGTGGTTGCTGGAGAAGATGAATGTTTGTCTGGTGTTCTGGCCTGTTGACCAGAGGAGGTGGTGACTTGTACAGAGGAGGTAGAGACTGGCACAGAGGATGTTTTGGGTGGCCATTTCTTCTTCAGGGCCTGTTGATCAGAGGAGGTGGTGGCTTGTGCAGAGGAGGTAGAGACTGGCACAGAGGATGTTTTCGGTGACCATTTCTTCTTCAGGGCCTGTTGATCAGAGGAGGTGGTGGCTTGTACAGAGGAGGTAGAGACTGGCACAGAGGATGTTTTGGGTGACCATTTCTTCTTCAGGGCCTGTTGATCAAGAGGAGGTGGGTGGCTTGTGCAGAGGAGGTAGAGACTGGCACAGAGGATGTTTTCGGTGACCATTTCTTCTTCAGGGCCTGTTGATCAGAGGAGGTGGTGGCTTTGTGCAGAGGAGGTAGGAGACTGGCACAGAGGATGTTTTCGGTGACCATTTCTTCTTCAGGGCCTGTTGATCAGAGGAGGTGGTGGCTTGTACAGAGGAGGTAGAGACTGGCACAGAGGATGTTTTTCGGTGACCATTTCTTCTTCAGGGCCTGTTGATCAGAGGAGGTGGTGGCTTGTGCAGAGGAGTAGAGACTGGCACAGAGATGTTTTGGGTGGCCATTTCTTCTTCAGGGCCTGTGACAGAGGAGGTGGTGGCTTGTGCAGAGGAGGTAGAGACTGGCACAGAGGATGTTTCGGTGACCATTTCTTTTTCAGGGCCTGTTGACCAGAGGAGGTGGCTTGAGGTGGCCTTGTAATTTTCGGGCCTGTTGAACCAGTTTGTTTGCCTCCTTTGAGGACTGCATCCTTGCTGCCTCACTCAGCCTTTTCTGCTTCAGTGCCTGTTCAGTCTCTTTCTTTTTCTGTAAATGTAATTGGTAGTTTTGGAATGATGAAAGGCAGGCTCGCCTCAGAGGCTGGTCAATGGTCATATGTTGAGGCTGTTCCTGTCCCTGGCTTTAAGTGTGGACTTGATTACTGCGAGGCTCTCATAAGTTTCCACATTCATGGAGCACCTGTCAGCTTCCAGGATATCATCCATCAAATTAAATGATCCTTCCACCAAGGGGCCTGTGAAAATGGACAGAAGAGCTTTAACTAGCTTGCACAGGGTCGGATACCTCAAATCCCTTTCTGCCTTTTTCAAGGACACAACATGGCTCCACCAGTCTACATCGACTCGGCAGTTGCCTTCAGTGTAGCTCTGTAGACGAAGAAGCATATCCTCATCCAGCTGGTAGGCCCGGCATTCTTCTACCAGCAGACCAATCTCTTCTGGAGGGACAACATTTGGCAAGGCTTCTCCTAATGCTGTCAAAGCTCCAATGACTCCATCAGATTGCATTAGAGATGGAGTAAGAGCAGAGAGTGATGATAATATGATGTTATCCAGGGGAAGGTTTTTTAGCAGAAACTCTGCTGACCTCATATACCCTTCTCTGAGAGAGTCATAGATATGACCAACCCATACCTGTCCCTCCACACGGGCTTTGTTCATTGCAATGTAGCAAAACTGTCCAACAGAGAGCCTCTTGTTTGGCAGTTGCAAATCCTTTCTCCGTACATCAACCTTGAGAATCTCCTTGTCCCAGGAGCTCTCTTACAAGGGCCACCATTTCCACATGCACCAAATGCACCATCGGCTTTTCATGTTGAAGCTTTTTGGCAAATCCCTGAAATGTTGGAAGGACCCCTGCAAATATAAAACACAATATAAATGGGTAATTAAAACTCACAACCAGTGTTGGGAAATATCTGAACACAAGTATGATTATGCATTTCAAATACAATATATAACTAAATAATAATACAACTGAATTTTGCTCAAGATAAATATTATTAGGGTGGTTTCATTAAAAATAATAGTCAGTCACATTTTTGATATATTCCTATATAAATTTCTAGTCCTGTAACTCATTGGCTGTCTAAATATGTTTGCCAAAGACGTCTTTAGACATCTTTTAAGTTTTTTTAACAGGGCAAGCTGGGGAATGATTGCGGGCGAAATTTGTCCAAATATACTTTGCTTGTAATAGAGAATGTACTGACAAATTTAACCTGATCGCACAAAATGAACCACTAGGTGGCAGCAGATCACTTTCATCTACAGGAGTAAGGACAATGGGTCTCATTCACCAACCATTCTTATGAAGAATTTCGTTCTTTAAACCCATTTATGCAGAATTTACGAAGATTATGGTATTCACCAATGTATTCTTGTTATTTGGCAAGAACAGAATCTACGAATACTCAAGAGCACTCTTACGCACATTTGAGAACTGACTTGTTTGTGCAAAATAAATGGATATTGCATTATCATCTTATCTGCAGGTGTGAAATATAATATAATTTTATATTACAACTATATATTTTATCATTTAGGATATTTTATTTATAAAAATATTATAATTATTTTTTTCATTAAATAAATTCCACTATATTACAAAGCATTCATGTATTTTCGAATAAATAAACACAACAAATAACACTTTTTCACTTTTTATGCTAGCTACTTTATATGACGACTCATTTACAGTTCAATACCTTTTTGAATCTGCCTCAGAGTTTCCGTAGGACCTTCTTAAGAACACGGTTAAGAACATTCACATATTGGTAAATGAGGCCCATTGTTACCTTGTTACACAGTTCTTCACAGTATTACAGTACTCCACAGTTGGTGATATTCTCATTAATTTGGTTATTGTTGCTGTAGAAACGACCTGCCTGTTTCATTTAGTATCATGTATAAATGACTTGATTCATTTGCCAGATATGTCAGTGGACTGCAACCACTTATTAACTTAAAATGTAACTTTTACTCTTACATTTATGTTGCAATGACTTTGCCTAGTCATAAAATACCTCTGAATAAGTCGATCATGACCTTCATTCTTTGAAACTCTGTAATGAGCACAGAGATTCGTGCCTTTCGATCTCGGTTAACCTGTGTTCCTGTTCGGGATGCCACTGCCTGCTCTTTCTGAAGTACTTGTATCCTGGCCTTTTCCTCAACTGAGAGCTCATGTCTCTCAAACACTTGATACAGAAGCCTTCTGTAGCACACACACACACACGCACACACACACTATGTAAATAAATGTATACACACCGTAATATCTGCATTAAAATGGACTACTTCCTGAATAACAACTAACCATTCTAAACTAATAAAATATGGTGCATAATTAGGCCTACATCCCACAAGGGCTAAAACTAAAACAAACAAGACACTAAATTTGTTGTTGTTAAAATGATTTGCATTACCTGTATTTGTGTTCTTCTTTCGGATCCAGCACATGATAGTAGTGCACCACGAGCACATCCAGGAGCTCAGTCATCCTGTTGCATACCTCGAGCATTTGAATGAATCTGTTACTGATGGGCCTTATCAAGCTCTTCGGGGGGAGGTGGAGTAAACTTTGAAACTGTGCAAAAATCTCCTTCTGTTTAGGTGATTTCTCTATGTCATAATAAATATCAGAGCAAAAATCTTCCACATCTGAGCCAAAGGGTCCCATAAGGGCCTTAGCAGTATTGGACACCATGTGAACAGTGTCTCCTGATATATCCAGGAGATTAGGGTTCTCCTTCCTTGCTAACGTTTCAAGCCCAGATTTCTTTCCCCTCATCACAGCACAATTGTCCAGAAGAATGCTAGTGACTTGTCTCCACTCCAGCCCATATGATTGCAGGACATCTTTTAGTTGCAGCATCAGTTCTGAGGCATTTGCAACATTAACCTTTTTGCTTGCAAGGTGCTGTGTTTTCACACTGCCTGCATCCTCGTCGTAAAATCGGACCAGTACATTTAGAATTCTATCCATGCTTTTGTCAGTGGCCTCATCAATATTAAGTGAAAACATGCTATTCTTAAGCTTGTCGGACAGATTTCTTTTAAATTCTGGCGAGATGCCGTGTGTAATGAGATAGCCCGCATGCTGCCTCGAAACAGACAGATGCGTTAGGGCGAGTTTATCCTCCGCTAATTTCTGACACAGAGTGACGAGTGGATGAGCGATTGTAAATGACAGATCGAACTCGGCAATGAAGGAGCACAAGCGAATTTTTAAATCAGCCACACGATCGGTCATTGAGGGTCGGATATCTGCTGTGGCTGTTGCCCCCGGCAAACGTGAGGTGTGTTGAATCGCTCGGACAGCTGCTTGATGACTAGGGTCTAACTCGTGCCGTGGCAGCACTTTTTTCCCGCTAGTTCCATATAATATTTTCCTTGCACACAAAGTGCAGAAACATGCTCCTGGTTGCCGGAGTTTTTGACACCAGCTTCCAAAGGGCTTTTCGTCTCTACCCACCTCTTCTATCCAAGACCAGCGCCATTTATTCTTTATGCCTTTATCGACAAGTTTGGTGTCTTCCCCCGGCTTCATAAAGTTGCGCTCCATGACTTCGGCTAGATTTCGCGCTGCCAGTGTGGAAAACGCACAAAAAACTGATCGCACGTGAAGTGACTACTGATTCAATTTGATTGGCCAAAACCCAAGACCAGCCCCTACCCTATTGCCGATTGGCTGAAGTAAGGTTATGTGGTTTAGTGCGCGAACCTGTTTTTTTTTTTCCCCAGACACGTCTGAACGCCGGAAATCCGGCGTGGCGCCGGAGCGCTATCAGGCATGATAACCGGACTAAACTAATTCAGTGGCTTAAACGTGATTGTTTTGAACATAAGCCGAAAACGAAATCAGAGTGATCCTGCCAACGACTGTAGTTTCCATCACCTCCCAAAAGACGACGAATCTTCCTGTGTACATTTGTTTAAATTCTTAATATTCTATAAACTCTATCGGCATGTGATTGGCTGTTTGCTACTGATGTTACACCTAAACTCAGGATCAAAGCCCGAGTTGACAGAATACCACTGTTAACCAAATGTGCCAGTTAATGTATTCAAGTAGCACATTCATTTATAATTTATAAAATACTCCCAACCAACTACTGCAGAGGGTTAAGGTACTGTTATTTCACCCTTTTTAATTTCGTTGAGGTTGTGTTCAACAACGTTAGCTAGTTTGGATCGCTATAACTTGAATGACTGTCAACTGTTGAATGAACGAGTGTGAAGCACGTCAAGTCGCGCTTTGTTTACTTCGAACCGGAAGACGCAACCACTTTTGACGCAAGACCTCATGGGGCGTAGGAAACTTGTGGATAAACCAGAGCACTTGTAAGGTTAAGCTTACTGCTGATACTATTGTCACAGAAGGAACTTAATACAGTAGAGCTCACCTGGGAGCCTGCAGAGGACACTGAAATTGTGGCAGTGTCATCTGCAACACGTAGCACTTCAGACTGTCCTGCAGCGACTGGCTGCAGGAAGCTTAATGGATCCACTGGAAAGATCTTTGAAAGAAGCAGAAACAAGGTTTTCATGAGAATGGTTGTGGAGTAATTCAGAAAGCAAGAAGCAGAAGTGAACTCTCACCTCTGCATTTTGCACAGCCTCGTCCTTTACTCTGGGTGACTAAGAAAAGACAAATCAAAGACATGCTTTATCCAAATCCACAGACTAGATTAAAACAGCCATTAGGTAAAGGTGTAGCAGACAAGCATCTACCCGTAAAGCGGCCACTGCTGCCTTCCCTTCCTCACTCTCCATATCCAGCTCATCATCACTCCATTCCCACTCTCCATCCTCAGTCTTATGGAGGCGACCGCTGGAACCCGGAACCCTCCGCACCTATTCACACATATATTTACATGCACAAAACTGATTAAAGCACAACTTCTGTTCGGTTGTTCTTCATATTCGGTCAGTAAATTTGTCACCCACCTTCCTAGATCTCTCTCCTATTGTTGGCGCCCTCTCCAGCAATTTTTCATTCAAGTATTCGTTGTTCTGTGAAGGAATTGTGGGAAAATTTGTTAAAAATATAACCATTCACATTATTATTATAAATACTTATAGGTGCTTAATTTGGTTTTTCCTTAAAAAAACTGAATTCAAGGTCCACTATTGTAGAAAAAGACATTTGAGACAATCCGCAGAGACAGCATCCTCTGTGGGTCATAATGCAGCACTGCAGTGACATACAGGCCGCCCTGTTTACGCCACTGAGCCACTAGGAAAGAAAGTCTGCTGAGGCAGCACTGTATTTGTTACAATATGGCATGTATCCCATTAGCAGGAAATGGCCTTTGGAAACTCTAATCCTGAGTATTTGTTACAGTAAACCAACCATGCTGGACAAGTGATTTGAGAACGTTCAGGCGACAATGACTGCAGCCAATCTAAATAATAACTGACCCGCTGGAAGCAGCAATTACATAAATTGAAATACACATTTGAGAACTTAGATTACCAGTATGGGAATGTAAAATGTATGGAAAAGCATTGCATTCACTTAAGGAAACAAAATCTACTCTGTTTTTCTGAATTAACGAGTTAATTATCTCAGAATTACGAGATCATTTTTCACGGAAAAAAAAGTTTTTGCTCTTTTTTTTGACATAATCACGCCATTAATTCAGAAAAACAGAGCAAAAACTTTTTTCCATGAAAAATTATCTTGTAAATGTCTTAGATAATTCACTCATTAATTCAGAAAAACAGTAGGTTTTTTTTTCTTCTTCAAGTGAATGCAATACACTTCCGTAAAAATGTAACTACTCTAGTCAATCTTTGAAAATCTGCACTATCTTACCTTGGCTTTTGTGAAGAACTTGTGTTTTAAAAGTTCTGCAGCTGTAGGCCTGTTGAAGAAAGCTGAACTTTAATAAGAAAAAAATAAAGTTTTTCTGACCATAATGCCATAATCGAACACAGATTTTTTTTAACTTTTGGAAATAAATGCACTACCGTTTTTCTGGATCCTTCTGGAGGCACAAGGAGATCATCTTCCGAAAGGATTTACCATATTTTTTAACCATTTCTTTATCTGTAACTCCAGTCTCTAGACACGGAGGGTCATTCTGCAGAGTTAACATGAGAACCTAAACCAAAAAAAGGGGGGAAAGAAATCAAGACAGACCAAGACAAGTCATTACTGTGGAAAAAGTATAGATAAAAACATTAAGCAACTATAGGCTGAATGACTTGAATAATTGTTGCTACAGAGTAATGCAGAGATGATGTTTTACTGTAGGCCATTGATAAGTTAGCATTACCCTTGTTTCCTGACAAAAATGTATCTTACAAGTTGTTCATCAAGCTAATCGTCACAAATTCATTTTGAAGTCTAAATACAATTGTCAGAGCTAAAAAGCTAAAGTAAACTACAACACGACTAGCATGACTTTAAAGTCATCACCACTAAGCTTACAACTCTTTCAAATTTTATTTTAAATCTACACGTTGGAAAGTTTGAAATACAATTGTTTGTAAGATTAAGTAGAATGAGTTTTCTAGCTCAGCGTGAGAATGCTTAACTTCCTTCTATGGTCCCATTTAGCCACTTGTTAGCAACCACCATTTTCAAGACATAAAAGCTTAAAAAAAAAAACAATGAGAGGATATTGCTGATGTATTTTGTCATAAAATAAAACACGAAAACACTTTGAGCTTGTGTTTAACAAACACCAACCTTATTTCAGGCATTTAAGCAAAATCTCGTTAAAACAAAACCCCACTGTCTCGCTGAATGAAACTCATCCTGAAGACAAATGCCAACTCAATTCTGCAGCACTCTATCGGCAGGTTTCATAGCAGATTCTCAATCAATTGATTCAAACTGTGACTTGCTGCTCACCTTCATTGGAGGATATTTGTGATACGGAGCAGCCCCAGTTGCCAACTCAATAGCCGTGATCCCGAAACTCCAGATATCAGCTTTGAAATCATAACCCCTAACCTGTGAGGGGGTAAACTCATTTTAATTCTCTCATTAGAAAGCCATTCAGTTTCCAAAATGTATGAAAGGCAAAGTAGGAACAGCCGAGGACAACACTAACCTGCTCCATCACCTCAGGGGCCATCCAGCAAGGAGTTCCAACAAATGTCTTCCTCACTTTGTTTCTAGTCATGTCTCCACCAGTTGCTAAAAAGGCACTGACACCAAAGTCTTCACAGACAACAAAAAGACAACAAAACTATTAATCATCTGATCCAAGATCACTGTATTAAGTTATTTACAGAGTTTGACAGGCCAATCGAATAATATCTCGCCTTTTTGGCATTTACTGAAATGAAAAAAGAAACCACTTTTTCCCTCCAAGTATAACATTCTGCTGCGCATAGAGTAAATAAACACAAAGGCAATCTAACAGCATATGCAAACAAGAATATTCATAATCACACATATATTATACTTAACTCGTACTAAGCTACGTAATTGTCAATAATCGTTGGGAGAAAAAAAAGGTTGTATTGAGAGTGAAACTCTACCTGCAATTTGAACAGAGCCGTCCTCTCCTAAAAGAATATTTCCAGCCTTCACATCTCTGTACCAAGAGAAATACAGATCAGTGTGCTGCTCAACAAAATTAAGAATGGAAGGCACAGATAAACGTAATTATATAACCAAACCATGTCATATATATTTACCTGTGAATCTGACCATTTTTGTGCAGATAATCGAGACCTTCTAGCACCTCTTTCAGTATGGTGGCAATGCTGGACTCATCCATGACACCCGATTTGTGCTCCCCTTTAGAAATGATGTACTTGATAAAATCCAGAACTGAGCCTGAAAACAGACGCAAGTGGAAGGATACTGTATTATGAAGTAATTTCTTTTTTTTAAAAGACCAATTAATAACTTTCTTTTTGTCTTTATTTATTCAAGACATGCATTTAAACAATTAACAATTTAAACAACTCACCACCACTAAGCAACTTCATGACCAGCCAAAGTTCATCCTTGACCACAAAGGAGGTGTAATAAGACACAATATTAGGGTGATGGCACTGGCTCATTGCCTGGATCTCTTTCTAAAAAGATAAAAGAGACAAAAAAATGTTAGGAACTAGAACTGTTTAATTCTATATAATGGTAAGTATCTGCAAACAAAAGGTCCCATTGCTCCTGACTGCTCAACTACAACCTAAAATTACTTCCAAGGCCATTGATGACTTTTATGCAACAGAACTTAGTAAAATAGTCCCATCTCATAGGACATTCTAACTCTAATAATTTAATCACAAACCAGAAAAGTCTTTCCTTGTGTCTGTGCCAGTTTAATCCTCATCTGATTGACAGACATGTGGTTGCCTTGCACATGACCCAGGTTACATCACGAGCGTGACCCTGAATCATTAACCGAGTTGAACAGAACAGACCCTGAAGCAGATGTACATTGCATAATTTTTCTAAAACTGACAGTCATTTGTGCTTGCAGAGAACAAAACTGTTTTAGTATTAGGTATTGTGGAGTTTGCTAAACCTATCCCATCTATTTTTGTTAAAGGATTATTTATTTACATAATGTAAAGATTCTGTGTAGACTCAGGAATATTCATTTAAAAAAAATGTAATATAGGATATACATTTTATATATATATAATTATTAGGGCCGTCACGATACCTCGATTAAATTTGAATACTCAATTTAAAAAGAAATCCTCAACTGCAATGTACCCAAGCAGGCCAAACCAGCAAAATACTGGAAGTGGCGCATTCCACAGACAAGAATCCATGAACTGCATTATGACAGTTTTCTAAGCTTACACAATGTATTAAAACCAATTAAAAACCATGGCAGAGTGCTTTTGTGAATTCACAAAAGCATATAGAGTATATGCCCCGCAGGTTTAACATGCACTATTTACATGCGTGTATGTTGCGTGCGTCTCAGAAAGGTTCTGTTCACAGTAAATGCTGCGCCACATGAACTGATAACATTTACATACGTGAAGTGTCTCAAACTCCATCTCTGCGAGTATGAGTTGCTCATAACATTCATCTAGGAACATAATGTGCAGCATTTCATCAGATTTGTAAGGTAAATAATGTATAAACCTACGGCAAAGTTTGCATGTTTTGATGTCCACATATTCTTTTTCAATAAATTACAGTGGGCTGTAGCATTTCTACTATAAAGTGGCCAGATATATAGATATATAGATAAATAAACACATACAGGTAGAGTATATTTTTGTGTGTTAACTTGAAAACCTAACATGCTGTAAAAGTGGGGAAGATTGATTTTAGTCCAATCCACATTATGCTTCTAAAGTGAACAAGACAACGAAACTACCATCCACAAATAACCAGTTTAAACTGAGACTTCATCATCTAATCAAACACTGTTTGTCTTATTTTATGAGCAGTAAGCAGAAATTACCAGGAGCTCATCCATGCTGGTCTGACATTTCTCAAGATTGATGCGTTTAATGGCCACCTTCTCCTTCCGGGGTTTGCAATATGCCGCCTGGACCACAGCTGTTGCTCCACTCCCTATACAACAGTAAAAACATAGCAAATTTAGTGATATAACCAAATGACTCAAACAATGCATATAAAATAAGATATTAACGAAATGTTAGACTAGATGACAGATGGTCTTTTTTCATTGGATAAATGAAATTAGCTATTGAGACCTTTTTTAACCAATATAATGGGGTGTTTATTAAATTGCGCCCCTGATGCCAATTCAAACAGATGACGTAAAAAATAAACTAGTGTTTTAAACGTCTTCATTTCAGAATTTAAAACTTCTATTACACTTCTATTCAAACAATTCATTTTCATATGTATTTATCCTTCTGCTTAATGAAAACTTCCTCTGCCAAAGGGAACCGGAATATACTGTATATATATATATATGAAGAGTTCAGATGCAAAAGCCTCTAAATGCCATTTGAAATTTTCTTCTTTAATGATGATTTTTTATCAAACTTGTATATTTAAGTTCAGTAATTTCACTTAAATAACAATTAATAGGTTATTATCATTGCCATTTAAGTGAAATCACTGATCTTAAATATGTAAGCTTGATAAAAATTATCATTCTAGAAGAAAATTTCAAATGGTACTTAGAGGCTTTTGCATCTGAACTCTTCATATATATATATATAAACGTCCCAGGACAAGAAAATCAGCTCTGGTTAGTTAAAGAGTTCCCATAATACGTCAAACTTTCATCTAGAAAACATAAACGTTATATGAATCAGTTTGACACCAAACTAGCCAGCAAGCAAGTTATCAAGTGTAATGTTTCTTTAACCACCAAGCACCACATATAATGTCCTATCATGTATCACATTGAAATCCTCAAATCAATCAGCAAATCAGCCATTGTCCGCAAGCATTACAATCCGCTGGCATGTCGGGTGGCTAGCTAGCATGGCTAATACAGACTGAACATCTTCCAGGCGCAATGACTCAATTACTGATGGAGATCTGGAATAACACAGACCATCTGGGCCCAAGAGATCTTAACACATATGTCTTACTCTCCGTTATTCTACCATTCATGTGATCTAGATGCTGATGTGTGATGGGTTAGCTCACCGATCACCTCCTGTAGCTCATAGTCATCCTTGTCGATAGACCAAGGTTGAGAGCTCGGGTCCTCGGACATGACTGCAGTCAGATCACGTCAGCCGCACGCGACACTGTACGCTCACGCGGCTGCAAGCGATAGAAAACGGACGATTCGGGATTTATACTCGATCTACTTATGTTGATCTTGCCGACCGCTCTCTGTCTCAACAGCCAAACTTTGCCAACAGAGACGGTGACCCCGCCTTAGGCGGAAAACGTTCTTCCTCGTGTCAAAATCTTGGAGGCGACCAAAATTATGCCACGTTACGCCACCTAACGGTCATGACGCAGAGTCACCGGGGAGAAAAGCAAAAACAGTCTATTCTACTTAGAAAATGACTTGTTCTGCTGTTGAATTTGATATGAAATACATTAAAGCTTTCTTGTATGCATCTATTTTTACTTTACTTCACTGTAAAAATGTTTGTAATTTTAATAGGACAATAATGATACAGAAAAAACTTAATTGTAATATGGCTTACTTTTACTACCTAAATATTTTAACATACAATTAAATAGATATATAGTACACTTTGTTAGTTTTTCTTACTATACTTTAATTAGAAGTACAAGCAACAAATAGCCTTATAATTACATATAAGATAGGTTTGCATTAGGCCTATATTTAATAATTATAAGGCAATATGCAAACGTTTTTTCTCTTTTCACAAGCTATAAAATAAGTCTCTGATGGCCCCATAATGTGTATGTGAAGTTTCAGCTCAAAATACGCAACAGATAATTTTTTTACAGCATGTTTAAATTGACATTTTTGGGGGCTCAGAATAAACGGGCTGTTTTAGTGTGTGCCCTTTAAATGCAAATAAGCTGCTGCTGCCGGCACAGGGGGCGGAGCTTCATGAGCTCGCGCCATAGGGCTCGCGCTCAATCTCTCAGGACTCATCTCACGATAATATCAGAAACTCTAAGTAACAGTGTTCATTTCCAGTCGGACAATAATGCCTACAGAGTCAGAGTGCTGTATAGAGATGAGGAAGGTATAGTAGTTTAATTATAATGCATTTGTCATCTTCTTGTATGAATCCATTATTTATTCATAGCCTAAGTCTGCTGTTAGTGTTTCAGACCAAAGTTTATTGTACATCACACAAAAGTTGAAGCTTCAGTTTTACTTCATAAAATCACCTTAAGAGCTGAGTAAACACAGTTATAAGAAGTGCGCAAGTTGAGGGAGCATTCCTGTGTGCAGATATTAGTCAAAAAACTGTTCTGCTGATGTCATTAAAGAAGGAAGTAGAGGGATGTAGTCCAAACGGGCCGTTCGATGTATGCTACTTCCGTTAAATTAAATATAATGTCAGCATAGGCGGAAATCGCGGGGGGGTCGGGGGGGTCAGGACCCCCCCTATCTGAGGGTCGTCCCCCCCAGCCAAAAAAAAATAAAAATATGTGTATTGTAAATAATGTAATGATATATTCTTAAAATAATTAAGAAATAAAATAACAAATGCAAACGGGGCAATAACGAAAAAAGCGTTCTAAACATTTTGAGACCCCCCTCCCTTGCCTCACAGTGCGTTGGTCCACTGCCTCCGTCCCTTTTACCTCAGACACACACATTCCGGTGGCGGGAGAGAAAAACATAGTTTTTGAATAGTTGTGGAACTCCAGTAAAGGGGGTCGCACACCGGACGAGAAGCGTCGCGTCGCGCAGCGCCACGTCTTTAAAATTCGAACACATTATTCTCTATGAGTGTACACACACCGGCGGCGCCGTTCGGCGTCTGTCCGCGGCGCCCAGCAACGGCTCAGGACAGTGTTCAAAACCCTGCTGCGCCACAGAGCGCCATTTAACGTTACATAGTTTTATATACAATTTAAATTATTTTTGTCTCGAATCGGTGCTGACGGATCCTGACTTCGCCCTATGCTGCAATATGCATTTAGTTTTGCATTTATTTACAGAAATCAGCTGCTTGAATGACAATTGCTGGTGTTATTTGATTTTTCAGGTGAGATTCTCAATTCATTCAGTAAACGGATGATCTGAGGTAAAGTTTTCAGACTGCAGACTCAGGAACGATTGTATTTAATTGTACAGTACAATAATAACTTAGAACAGACATTATCTTCATGTCATTAAACATTACAATATTGCCGGCCATAGACTGATGAGAAAGTCCGGGTGCGCTGTGCATTTAGATTGTAACGCTTTCACACCTATTAAACATTGCCTATTGCCTAAAATAAGGTGCATTTCCACCCATAGGGAATAAATATGTAGTGACGTCATCTGGTGGAATACACTATATAATGCAAATATAATGCTTTTGCTTCAAAATGAAAGGATGTTTGTGCAAAAATCATGTTTCATGTATTACTGACAGCCTCGGATTTAAACAACGTTTTAATGGGTTTCAATGGGCCATTTTTGGTCTTTGTGGTGCTGAGTGTTACTATTTGATCTACACAGTGTGTGTTATACATATTTTGCAAAATGGGATCACATTTTTTACATGTATCCAAAAAGTCACAATTTTGCCAAATTTCATACCATTTGCATTAAAACAGCCAAAATGGTCAAAGAAATTAAACTGCAAAAGACCAAAAATGTCCCTAATGCAGCATAAGGGTTAATATAGTTAAAGAATGAGTCAATAAATGAAATGAATCGCTACGCTGTGTGAGGAGAGTATGTAAATAGATTCGCCGCTGGCTTAAACCAGAAAGAAATTTTAAGAAGTATAATGAAATGGTCTCCATGCTAATAGTAGTAAGGCTTTCCTCTGTATTTTTTTGCCTGTATTATTGGTGTCCCCTTCAAAATTTGCTCTTGAGAATTGTTATGTTTATTGTCCCCCCCAACATTTTGATGAAATTTTCGCCCCTGAATGTCAGTGAACTTTAACTCTAACAACAACATTACACACTAACTAATGTTTGAAACATGGGATCACGAAGAACGGGACCTTTAAAATCTGGAATACTGACGGCAGTATTGACACCGACATTTACATTTGACCCGGCACCTCTTTAAAATAATTTCTATCTCTTCCAAGCTTTATAATGGCAGTGAATGACTGTTTCTGTTTTGAACCATAAACAACATGCATCTATCCATCATGAAAGTGCATCTATCGAGTGCTCCACACGGCTCCAGGGGTTAATAAAGGCCTTCTGAAGAAAAGCAACGTGTTTGTGTAAGAAAAACATCCATATTTAACAACGTTACAAACTGTAATCTCTAACTTCTACTAACTGTCGTACTCGAGAGTCTGGCATTCCAGCTTATGATGTATGACGCAGGTGTAGAATAAGCTCCAGTGACGAACATGGAAGCACAGAGACCAAACAAAACACCGGTCGAGAATTAGAAGTCTAAACCGAACTTGGTTCTTTCGAGAACTATCTGGAAGTAGCTAACCATGGCCGTAATTGTTGACATGACAACTGTCCTGCCTCGCTCAGATTTGCCCCGTTAGCCAAATGGCATCATCTCGTTGGTATCAAGAGAAGAAGATTTGATTGGTGTGGACCCATATCAAATAAACCCAATAGCCTTTGGTAAAGATCCATCCTTACTGCCAGCCATAACCTATTCGGATATTTATAACTATCTCGTTCATACTGTATCCGCATACACTTCGCAGGAGCTGAAGGCCTTCAAGTCACTTGAGTCATATAACTCTGACAAAGTCAGCAACAATACTAATTTAATAATTTTCTCAATTTATGGCAGCTTCCTCGATTTGAAAGAGCAGTTTCAGCCACTGCTAACTGCTAACACTATGCGATAAAATTATGGGGACAGACTTTGCTGTGAGGTAACGTTAAGTTATCTAAAAACTGTAACGTTAGCCTACATGTGGTAAAATGATGGGAACAGACTTCGCTGTAAGGCATATATCCCTAAACGTTACCTGTGGTAAAATGATGGGAACAGACTTCGCTGTGGGGAGTCGGCTGAAAGTTTAGCCTATTTAACCTAGCTAGCCACAATTCTCTCCTGTGCTGGCTCAACTCCTCTGTCTCTTCCCTTCATGTTTTCTGACAGTCAGTATCGCATAAAAAACTAACTCCGGGGTTCTTATTGCTGTTGTTAGAACATCCGTGCATGACACAATTTTTTTTTTTTGTAAATACAGCGATAATACCAAAACTGCTTCGCTTGTCAATGGGCTTTATGCCCAGCTGCACTACTTCCTGAACTTCAGCCAGCTCCTTGTTTTCTGTCTGCCATTATTGGCCAAATTGATTCATTCAGGTGTGCTTGACCTCTGTAGTCATGGCAACAATAATCAGACACACCTGAATTAATCAATTTGGCCAATAATGGCAGACAGGAAACAAGAAGCTGGCTGAAGTTCAGGAAGTAGTGCAGCTGGGCATAAAGCCCATTGATAGACTGACAGTTGCCGTGGTTTCTATGTCAACAACATGGCCGCCACGAACATTGATGACATAGATCGAATAACATCTATACTCACCAGAGTGTCCTTCGTCATATGCTGGAACACCAGTCTCTCGTGAACACGCATACGGCAGTTAGCGGAAGTTAGAGATAACAGTTTGTAACATGTTAAATATGTATATTTTTCATTCACAAACGCATGGCATCGCCTCAGAAGGCCTTTATTAACCCCCGGAGCAGTGTGGAGCACTTTTTTGATGGGGAGATGCAGTTTTATGGATTTCAAAACATTCGGCCATTCACTGCCATTATAAAGCTTGGAAGAGCCAGGACATGTTTTTATATAGCTCTGATTGTATTTGTCTGAAAAAAGAATGTCATATACAGATGACTTGAGCAAATCATGGGGCAATTTTAATTTTTGGGTGAACTATCCCTTTAAGCATTATTAATAATAACCCATGTATTCAAGAGGCGAAATGGCAAATTTTGGGGCTTTCCAGGTTCATTTAAACTGTTACACCCACATTTGAGGGGAAGCCCTATACTTTCTCAAGCAAGAGAAAATAGGAAATCAACATGTTTAAATAGTGTCTAAATTCAAGAAATTCAATATGCAAGAAGTAGACGGTGGAAATCCCAGCTCCGGGAACAGGTCCAACAAAATGAGACCAACATTGCCTGAAGACTTTCAAATGCTGCAGACAGGATAGTAAGACTTTGCATGAAGAAGAAATGCAAAGTTGGAAGCACCTGCTTAATAATCAAATGTCCACAAGTGACCATGTGTACATTTTCAAGATTAAAATGTCTATGAAATTCTCTAGCTTGTTTTATTTGTGGTACAGCAGCTTGTGATTAAAGTCACATAAATTGTCTGTTCTGCTTTCTTTAATCACAAGCTGCTGTACCACAAATAAAACAAGCTAGAGAATTTCATAGACATTTTAATCTTGAAAATGTACAACAGACAATTTATGTGACTTTATGTGAAAACTTACACTATAAACAAAACGCATAAGGATATTCAACAGCATCTCCATGCTTCTGTCAGCTGCAAAGTGCCTAATAATGGTGCAAACTTCCTTTAAATGTTTGCAGAGTCTGACCCTTGGCTGTGCTAAATGGAAATGTAAAACAGGAACTATAAGTTTTACTTTCAATATTATAACTTATAGCTAAACTTATCAGCTCATTAAAGGGATGGTTCATCCAAAAACGAAAAATGTGTCATTTACTCACTCTCAAGTTGTTCCAAACCCATATGAATTTCTTCTGCTTAGCACACAAGAGGATATTTTGAAGAATATGGGTAAAAAAAACAGTTGATGGGCCCCAGTGACTTCCATAGTAAGGGGAAAACAGAGCAGAGCAACAGAGCAGAAGTCGTTGGGCCGAGTCAGCACAGAACATTCTTCGACAACCTACCACCGGTCTCACGTCGTTTCGGTGAGTACTCGGTTTCCAACCTCACATGTTTCCTGGGTCAGGAGAGCCTTCAGAAGTTCCAGCTGTGGACCACTGGTTCAGAGAGAGTGAGAGGGTCTGGGACTCAACTCATGTCTATCTGCAGAGAGCAGTCAGGAGGCACAAGAGCCAGGGCAACACCAGAAGGACAGATACCCCAGTTTACAAGAGTGTAATGGCGCTTTTCCATTACCAGTACCAGCTCGACTCACCTCGCTTTTTGCTCCGTTTTCCATTGCAGACAGTACCGCCACAAAGCGAAGTCTTTCATTCCTCATTGCCCTATCAAGCTCTCACTGGATCCTCTCTTCGGCAACCAAACAAAGGAAAGTCTGCACCTCGTCGTTTGACCACGGCGTATTCTTCCTAGCTGCCATAATAATATTAGTAAGTTTACTAACTATCTCTGGGCAAACTATTTAAAAATGGCGGGGTTATTCTGGATACTCCATCTGGCGCGTACAATGATGACGCAGTGAATAGTGATGATTCTCTCTGACTTATCAGCAGTCGGCATTGTTTTCGCGTCACGTTTTAGTGTCGGCTCAGCTCGCCTTAGCCCGCTCAGAACCTTGCCTGAGGTGATACAAAAAAAGTACCCGAAAGCAGGTACAGGTACAACTTTTACACAGTGGAAAACCAAACAAAGGCGAGCCAAGTCGAGTCGGTACTGTGTAGTGGCAAAAGAGAACCCTGTGATGGACTAGCCATCTGTCCAGGGTGCTTTCTCCTGCCTCTGGCCTAAGAACTTGGGATAGGCTCCAGCCCTATGACCCTAGAGGGTTGTATAAGGATAAATGAATGACATGAATAAAGTGGGATTAAGAACTCAGCACGACACAGGAAGCACATTAAAAATGATCTGGCAGCAAAAGAAGCAAATTGCAAAAATAAAAGAGGTGATGAATATTAGTACCGTAAAACATCAAATAATAGCCCGGGCTTTTATTTTCCCAAATCGTCGAACTACACCGGCTTGCATTTGAGACAGCTGTTTAGTGTTGAGACGCTGTCCTTTGAGTGTAGGCCTAGACTAGAGTCTAGATAGCGCTCGTGCTGTTTGAAGATGTGAAAGTGCGCGCGCACGTGAGTGGCCGTTGTGCTCTCTCTGCTCGTTATGCACCCTGTCAAGCGCAACAGTCATTCTATTCTATCTTCACTCAACGATCAAAAAAGACTTGGTGGCCGCCAAAAAGCGAGCAATCTGACGGGTTTTAGAAGATAAAGTACAACCCGAAACTAAAAAACAGACCCGACCTCTATTTGAGACCGGCTTTTTCGTTTTACCCAAACCTGCAGCCACACTAGGCATGTAAAAGAGACAGGCGTCTATTTGGGACTCAGCTATTATTTAAAGTTTTACTGTAATTTAAATAAAGTGCAAAAAACTTTAACAGAAATTTGATGTCAAAATTATTGAGATCAGAGTCTGCTTTAGTTGGGGCCATGACCCTTGAGTGTTAACATTATTTTTTCTCTGGCTGCTTTAACTGCTTTTGATACACATTTGCTATGGAAATAAATGTAGGAGAAAATATCAGATGATCTTGGTTATTTATTGTTGATGTTAAAGTCATCATATGGTAAGCTGACTCACTTATATGACAGTCAAATCTTTGAATAATTTAGCTGAGGTATATACTGTAGATGGACATTAGTTTTATACAAAGTCTATGATTAATGTCATAATTTTCACATGACCCTTGAAATATAGTGGCATCAGTTTTATAACCATGTGAAGTTTAAATTAAAATATATATTATAAAGAAAATGTTTTGAGATGGTTTATTTGTTAGGAGTATAGAGACTTCAATAATCAACATGAATCTCAACAATGGTGATAATCAACAAAGCCTTTTTGTGACTTCATGATAATTCAGAGTTGATCAGAATTGCTTTCATTGTCACCATTGTTGCGATTCATATCATACACTGATTCAATTCTTGATGTCTGAGTGACTCTATATGATCCTGTCAAAATATTTTCTGCATAATGACATAAAATCTTAGTATCATCACTGCAGGATTTTATTGGGTTGCAAAATTAACAACTAATATTTAGCGTCTTAATCAGATTTAGGTGACATCCATAAAGCAGGCAACTGCATGAAGACTATTATCAGTAACAAGTGACTGACCATTTAATCTGAGTTTCTCTCAGATTCCTACATTATCAAATATGTATCAGAAACACATAGTTAAAGTAGTCAGAGGAAAAGTAATGTTAAACTAAAGGGTCAAGAGCCCAACTAAAGCAAACACTGACCTCCATCATGGTGACTTTATTATTTCCAATAATATATCAAGTTCTAAACCTGTTAATTCTCAATAAGAATGTTAGTAGAATGTTAGTAGAGAAATAAAGTCTGGATTGTAATAAGTGAGGATGCGGAGATCTTGAGAGATCTGTTAGTGTTTAATGTTCTGTTGGGATTTAAAGTGATTCTGTATGGTGTGTTTTGTGCGTCACCATTGTGTTCAAGAGTATACCTGTGCTTCAGTCCAGCATGAGCAGAGAAACGCTGATGAAATGCTGTGTGTTGCTTTATTTAACAGACAGTAACTATATATAGTTGTGATGCAGTGACGTTTAGTCACATCAAATAATGCATGTTGTTTAACATTTAACAGAGATTTTTTGAGATTTTTTTCTACAGCACTTTGACTGTAAAAAACAGGACATGTTTAACTTTACGGTAAATATCCGTTTTCAAAAAACAACATCTTTCCGTAAATCAATTTAAGTGTTTTTTACTGTAATTTGATGGTGAGTGGTCGACAACTTTGCTGCCAGACGTTTACTGTTATTTTGCGTGGTTTTTTTGTGTTTGTTTGTTTTTTTGTTTTTTACAGTTTGCCAGAGGAGTTTAATCTGCTAAATACTGCATCATAACTTTACTTCATGGGATCCCTTTTACGGTAATTAGCATTCTGATGTTCATCATATATCATTTGTTTTAAATCTGCTGCCTTTTATGAGATCTTTAGAAAAACCTTGGAAAATAATATTCATCCTGATTAGGCAGTACTTTTCAAAGTTCTTGGAGCTTGCATTTACACATGTAAGTGCAAATGAAACATTGCCATTTACATTGCATGGCTCTCTATAATACTTTTTTTTTTCTCATGGTCAGAGGAGATGTTTAGCGGTCAAATATTTCTTCTTAGTGGCCACTGTGACTGTCCAGGACTGCATTTCTCAAAACGTTATGGCAGCAATTATCAACTTAGCTCACAATGCTTTTGAAAGCTCCAGGAAACCTCTATAACTTCATATTATAAACAATTATATTTTCAGCTAAAAGCCATTATTTAAGTTAATTTATTTATTTGTGAACAGGTGTATAATAATGTACAGTGAGCGAGGCCAAGTCTCCTGTTTATTTCAAAATAAATCAATGACTGAGATCTATCCCACACTTAATGTTCAGATCAGTTTTTTTTTTTGTTTTTTTTTTTTTTGGCTATTTTCATCTAAATTGCTAAATAACTAGACTATCTTCATTTGGGCAGTCCATTTTGCAAATTAACTACATTTATATTTTCATTATCTCTTTTATTAAATAGATAAACAGAATAATGAGGAAAAAAATATCCTAGATACTCTGATTCTGTCAAGTTAAAAAAAAAAAAAACATTAATGTAGGCTAACGACATGACATGGGGAACATGGCATTCATGGAAATGTTTTAGACTGAGTCATGGGCTAAACTCACCTGGCACGTAAAGCTATGGATTATTGTTTAAACTATTTCGAACTTACGTCGGTTATGTTCCACGTCGGTTATGTTCTTCATTAAAAAATCAACAACGATAAAGATTTGCAAAACACAGATGACCGTCGACAAACAGCTCTATCAAGTGTTGCAGGCAGTGCAAACTCATCTCGACTCTAATCTGCGTTCGATTGAGACTTCCTGTGTGGCAGAACTGAGAGCAGGCGAGCGCGCAATCAGCACTGCCTACAGACTAGTTTACGGTAACACTCTCGAAAATCGCCGCCTGTACCGACAAAAGTGCTCGTTTGGACTTAATCGGGAATGAAACGCTTTATTCTAACTATAATGTTGTTGGATAGACGTTGAGTGCGAGAACTAAACCGCAAAGAGATCCTCGGTGCGGGTCAAGCACATCTCACCCGACCAACTGAAAAAGGAGGAGAGGCCAAAAAAGACAACTGCAACTGGAGGAGGAAAAGTGTCTACAATCCTCACGGATTGCCACAACGTCGAAGATTATCGTGACATGATGGCCACGGAGGAACTCTACGAGGTGAATGTCGGCGATTTTTACCGTTCGTGTCCGTTTAGACGCAGTTAATCGATTACATTTGTGTGTGTGTGTGTGTGTTTGTGTGTAGTTGCACATAGACGACGCGTCCCAAGGCTCGTGTGGACTGCACTAGCAAACAGTCTTAACAATTGACTTACCCACTTCAATACTAGTTAAAGCTACACCGGTAATGTTGCATGCTAGCAAACTAAACTACTAGTGTGGAGCCAGTGTCGTCTTTGTTGTTAGTTTGTGGAGTTTAGTGTGGAGAGATGCTGGTGGAGGCAGTGGATGAGGCGGCGGGGAGGGAAGGAAGGGCACTTTGGAGAGTGATACTTCATCAAGCTAGCTGCTAACCATGAGGTCTGTGTGGTTTGATGGACACAACAGGGACAGCTGAAAGTGAACTCGGTCATTTATGGTGTGTTCAGCTCTGCGGGAACTTAGTTTCGACTTCTGTCCGGCAGGACCTGTGAATTTAAATTCGCTTGTAGAGTTTTCAACCTGCCTGTCTCTTAGCTATCCAACAGGGTTGTGTTTTATGATCGCCTTTGCTTGGTTTCATTTTACACTTAGATCATTCCAATTTTTGGCGATATTATTATTGTAAATAGAATATGGCGTATCATTTCGCATTTAGAAAGTCTTGTGTCACTTGTTTGATGGACTGACATTCTGACTGTATTATCAACTATAACGTTAGATCTGTTATCAGGGTTTAAACTGGTGATTGTTTTTAAATTATCAATACATATTGCATGTTTATGCTGCATGAATTTACATCAATGCTTGAATTGCATACAGTTGCACTGTGTTAACCCCATCTTTTGAGAATTGGCCCAATGAATATAATGACTCACATTATATGTTTAGAATTGATGTACTTATTGAGATAAATTCATTAATAATATGATCAAAAACTTTGCGAATGTTTGAAGAAGATACAAAGAAGTGATGGAGAGAACAGATTCATTCAAACATGTTTGACCAGTTTATAAAGACAAGTATGAATAATGCCCCCATTTTCAAACACCTAGATAATACTCTCCATTCAGATGATGACAATACCAGAACTGTTAGTCATGATCATGATATAAGTCTTTTTGAACTTTAGGTGCTTTTTGTTGTGTTGGGTCAGTAGCATACCTGTAAAATTTCAAAGGCTAGTTTATTTTTTTACTTATTTGTTGCACCCAAAATGTTGACTCCAGGTCCACTGTATCATAAAACTAAAGAGATGGTGCTGGACTTTATTTATTCAAAATCTGTTCAGTCTACTCTTCAGTTTATATAGTTTATATAGCCCATTTAATATTCTAAGCATGTAATTGGTTTAATTACATTTTTTATATATTTAAAGGATTAGTTCACTTTTGAAAAAACTTTTGCTGATAATTTACTCACCCCCATCTCATCCAAGATGTCCATGTCTTTCTTTCCTCAGTCGAAAAGAAATTTAGGTTTTTGATGAAAACATTCCAGGATTTTTCTCCATATAATGGACTTCAATGGGAACCGGATGGTTCAAGGTACTAAAGACAGTTAATAACTGTTTCAGATGCAGCTTCAAATGTCTTTAAACGATATCAGATGATGAATAAGGGTCTTATCATGCGAAACGATCGGTTATTTCAAAGCTTATTCCAAAAATGTAACTTTTCTAAGGACAAATGCTAGCCTAGCTCTATTCTGTGAGGCGCTTTTGTAACGTCACGTAATACGTAATTACGTTCAAAAGGTCACGGGCGACGTAGCCGGAAGTACAGAATCAAAATCGTCCGACATCGTTGTTTTACCTTTTAATTCCTTTTTTGTAAACGGCGTTTGAGTTAGTTTTCACGTTCAACCTATGCGTTCAACTTGTAAACACTCTGACTCTGTACTTCTGGCTACGTCGCCCGTGACCTTTTGAACGTAATTACGTACTACGTGACGTTGCAAACGCGCCTCACAGAATGGAGAAACCTGGCTAGCATTTGTCCTTAGAAAAGTTACATTTTTGGAATTAGCATTGAAATAACCGATCGTTTCGCATGATAAGACCCTTATTCATCGTCTGGTGTCGTTTAAAGACATTTGAAGCTGCATCTGAAACTGTTATTAACACTATATTTTGGACCTGAACCATCCGGTTTCCATTGAAGTCCATTATATGGAGAAAAATCCTGGAATGTTTTCATAAAAAACCTAAATTTCTTTTCGACTGAGGAAAGAAAGACATGGACATCTTGAATGACATGGGGGTGAGTAAATTATCAGCAAAAGTTTTTTCAAAAGTGAACTCATCCTTTAAAGTATGTATTTTACACATGTAATTAAATACATTTTAAGTGTTATTAAGATTAATTAATAAGAAAAAAAGTAGATCGGATCATGAGCTGCCAAAAGATTCCCATACTGTACAATAATTTATTGCTTGTCTTTGTCGACTAATACAAAAGGTAGAGAACTCGCATACCAGTATTAAATCGCAATATTGGTTAAAAAAAAAATCGCCCTATAGGTTGGTGTACTGATAAGTCAGTTTCTACAGCCCCTTTTTGTTGCAATTTTGTAGCGACGTGCTACATCGTTCTTTACCGTTGTTTTGACCCTGGTTTAGAAATGCGGGGGTCTGCGAGCGAACTGCAGTGAATAACCTCGCCTTATAGTGTTTATCACCCACTCTGACATGCCCGGTAACATTTCTCAAGCTTTTAAATGCAAAGCTAGAGGGAAAATTATACCCAGGCTTCGGTTGCTGTGTGTGTGTTACACTAAGCATGTGCTCTCTGCACACAGAGCACACTCTGAGTGAGTGAGTGTGTGTGGTGGTGGAAACAGTGTTTGTGTAGGGGTGAGCACTGAATAGTGGGCACATTTACTACATTTCAAACACAGGCGTCATGAGCCGGCTTTATTGATGTGGGTCGCGGCAGAGACACATTTAGTGTTTATTGGAAAAAACACTAAGTGAGTGTGTATCACAGGGTAGTGTTTATGAGTAGGGGTGAGCGCTGTACCGTGGGCACAATTCCTACATTTAAAACACACGCGGCGTGAGCCGGTTTTGAACCTGGGCTCTGGCCGCTGTATTGCTCCGTTCAAGTCCTCCTGGGAAGTTTGTACATATGAGGTGGGAAGTCGTGTTTACGACGTGAGGTGCGTTCAAGTCAGTTTCGTCGGAGCAAAATGGCGGTGTACCTTGCTACCTTCTTTTAATAAATTACACGAAAATACAGCAAGGTTTGTTAACTCTGCTAATAAAAAAAATGAAGAACAAAGAATGTGCATTAGATGCGTTTTTCTTTTTATGTTTTTTATTAGCTAATGAAGCTAATGTAAACTCTATCAATATGTATAATTTTTATATTACAATGATATAATATTTTGTGCAGAGAGCTTGCTTTATAAATGAAAAAGCCTTACAATGTCAATGAGTAAACATTGAAATTCAATTAAAATTTACCGTCAACAGACGTTGAATGAACGTTTCTCACTGACACGCCCCCAACTCATACAGATCGGGGCTTAAAGAAAATCCCGAGCTCCCCCCTCGTATTTACGACATTGTGGTGGCGTTCAAGTGCGTTCAACTCGTAATTACGATCTATACGAGATGACTTGAACGCAGCATATGTTTGTGACACAGTATGCAAAGCGCATGCTCTTTACACACAAAACACATTTCGTGTGTACTGAGCGCGTGTCAGAGGGCTAAAGGCCAATTTATACTTCTGCGTCGAGGGTACGCCGTAGTATACGGCGTTGGCTTCGCACGTAGGCGACGCCGTTGTGAGCATTTATACTTCTGCGTTCAGGTCTTGGTTGCTCTGCAGTACTGCTCCGAAACGCTAGGAGGCGGCGGAGGGTTTTAATGTTCCACTGTGTTTAGATTCCTCGCGGCTAGGTTACTACAAGCAATAGCGACTGAAAGAGAGTGGATCATGTTGGAGTTGGAGCTTATTGGGGTGGAAAAACAGTTCATTTTAGTGAAATTACTAAAACTGAAAGGCAGAAATGAGAGAAGACGTCGGAGAAGATGGTACGTGTGTAAATGCGTGAGAAGGTACGTGCGGAAATGCGTATGAGGAAATACGATGCTACCAAGACGACCAATCACCGATCTTGCGGTCCGCGTCGTCGCGACGTGTAGTTACATTTTTGAAGAGGTGCGCGTCAGGCAACGCGGAAGGGTACGCGGTATGGGACGCGTCTGTGCGTATGGTACGCCGTACCTACTGCGCGCACCCTACGCAGAAGTATAAATTGGCCTTAACAGTGTTTATGAGTAGGGGTGAGCACTGTATACAGTGGGCACAATTTCCTACATTTAAAACACACACCGCGTGAGCCGGTTTTATTGATGTGGGCCATAAGTGAGTGTATCACTGAACGGGCCGTGCTTATGTGTAGGGGTGGGCACTGGGAAGTGTGCACAATTCCTACATTTAAAGCACCTTCGGCGTGAGCCGGACAAACAGACATAATGCTCTGTGTACAGGCTAGCGGGTCGGGTGACAAGCTTTTTGACAGTAAAATACACTTCTCCTGCTGCCTCTGTTGAGGGACCAAGGCGCACTGTCTTTTATGGCAGTCCAGCCGCAAATTGGTGTCTCACCGTGGATTCAAACTCGGGTCTCTCACACCAAAGGCATGTGTCTTATCTACTGCGCCATCACCACCCCTTTTTACAAAGGCTGTGTTTAAATTACCGTCATGTTAATGTTACATTTTAAAATGAATATATTTTTAAAAGGTCGAAATCACAAAATCATTTCATTTAGCTAAGATTTGGCATGTCACTCGCGGCGGGTTCAGAGAAATGTCCACTCGGAAGATGAGCGAGAGAGTGTTTTATAGCCAAGCCAACACAAATCATTTCTGTTTTCAATGTCATGTCAAAACTAGCAACAATTTAGCTTGCTTATAGGTTTGTTATACTACCAGTTATGAGGGAAAATCCAATCATAAAAAAGAGACATTAAGAAGGAAAGTTGAACAGTCACATGAAAAATTTC